GAACAAGACAGTAAACCCGCTATGAACTGAAGTTGACTAAAATTAACCACATTTTACCATGCAAGCCTTCCCCTGGAAATTGGAAGCCTTTTAATAGACTCGAGTTCCAAAATAGTCACATCAGACAGATCCTGTCACTGTAATTGTTGTGTAGGTGGGGAGATAGATTCCTGGTGCTTCCTACTCTGCTGTCTTCCGAGAATCCTCTCTTCAGACCTGAGTTTTATTTCAGATCTTGATTTGGAGGTCTTGGTTCGTTTGGGATGGCTCATTACATCACTACGTAGGTAAAGGTTGTACCATTAAAACATGAGGGCTATACATAGTTCCCTGGAACTGTGAAACGATTGAGTGCTTATTGTGAGAGGTTTGTTCTCAAGAGTTTATACTGTGTTGTATTCTGTTAGGAGTCTTGATTTGTGTTTTAATAATGGTTTTGTAAGACTGTGAAAAGTGCTTAAGTTGAGTGTCCCAGAGGGCAAACCCTTTTCATAAGCAGCCTCAGTTTCTTTGCCTGTAAAGGAGGGGTAATAATACTGTCATCATAATATTAAGAATAGTAAATTAAATTAAATTAAATGAGATAATATATTGATGTTAAGAGAGACAAATCTAGCTGGGCATGGTGGTGCACACCTGCAGTCTTAGCTACTCAGGAGTCTGAGACAGGAGGATTGCTTGAGATGAGGAGTTCAAGGCTGCAGTGAGCTATGCTCATACCACTGCACTCCAGCCTGGGCAACATAGTGAGACACTGTCTCTTAAAAAAAGAGAGAGAGAGAGAGAAAGAGACAAACCTGGATTCAAATCCCAGCTCTACCTCTCATTACCTGGATGAGTTTGGCAGATCACTCAACCTCCCAAAGCTTGAGTGGCCTCAGCTAAAAAGTGAGGGTAAGAATAACTACTTCATGGGATTATTTTGAAAGCTTCTGGTTCATAATAGAAACCTGACAAATGTTAGTGTTCCTCCCATTGCTGTTATGTCTTTTAAGCCTTCTCTGCTTTGCCATGAGTAGGTTACACAGCCACAGCTTTGCAACCTAATTGTTACAGCTTGGGGCAGACATAATTTATAAATTGAGATGACAAATTGAGAATAGGAAGGACTCAACTGACCCACCTGAAATATAATATCTGAAAGGAACCAACCAAATACATAGAAAATACTGGGTGTGCCTAAGATGAAGAGCAACCCAGCTGTCTGTGTGCCTTTGTGTGTGTGAAAATATTGATCTCCTGAAACTCACTGTAGCAGTCCATTCTTGAATTGCTATAAAGAAATACTTCGGACTGGGTAATTTATAAAGAAAAGAGGTTTAATTGACTCACAGTTTTGCAGCCTGAGCAGGAAGCATGGTGGCATCAGCTTCTGGGGAGGCCTTAGGAAGCTTCCAATCACGGGAAAAGGCAGAGGGGGAGCACACACGTCACATGGCCAGAGCAGGAGAAAGCCGGGGGGAGGGGAGGTGCCACACACTTTTACATGACCAGATCTTGGCTAGGCGCGGTGGCTTATGCCTGTAATCCTAGCACTTTGGGATGCTGAAGTGGGTGGATCACTTGAGGTCAGGAGGTTGACACCAGCCTGGCCAACATGGTGAAACCCCGTCTCTATTAAAAATATAAAAATTAGCCAGGGATGGTGGCGCATGCCAGTAGTCCCAGCTACTTGGGAGGCTAAGGCAGGAGAATCGCTTGAACCCGGGAGATGGAGGTTGCAGTGAGCTGATATCTTGCCACTGCACTCCAGCCTGGGTGACAGAGTGAGACTCCATCTCAAAAAACAAAAACAAAACAAAAACAACCAAAGAAAGAAAAACGTATCTTGCAAAAACGAAATCACTACCATGAGGAAAATACCAAGAGGGATGGTGCTAAAGCATTCAGGAGAAACTGCCCCCATGAACCAATCATCTCCCACCAGACCTCACTTCCAACACTGGGGATTACGATTCAACATGGGATTTGCACGGGAATGCAGATCCAAACCATATCACTCACTTTGCCATTTGGTGTCTGAAAATGTATTCTGTGTTTCTGAGTTGGGTCCCCAAGCTGAGAATACTTGGGAAGGGTGAAGGCATGGCAGTGGGGGCCCCCTGATCTTTGATTTAGGCCTTGATGGTATTGGGGGCACTCCTACACTGGCAGGCCAGACATGACCAATAATTTGAGTTTTTTGTTGTAATTTTTGTTTACCCCAGATGGAAATTCTTGACTGTAAGACTGAGAAACAGCCATGTCTCTTGAACAAGACAGTAAACCCAGGTGTCATAGGTATGGTGTGCTGGAAAGAAAGTGTAGTAGAAACAAGATGGGGGTGGGGACAGACCATTCTGGGTGAATTCCAACTCTACCACTTACCAGTTACATGATCTTGAATCTCTCTGAGCCTCAGTTTAATCCTCATAGTTAATGCTGAGGTAATAATGTCTAGAATTAATTGACATGAATGAGTTTCCTGTATGTAGACATGTCTGACTTACATGTCCCACTTTTGACAAAATAGCTATAAAATGTATAAATATATCATTTTGGAGACTACTTGAAGGCTTATTCTTATTTAAACTAATTCCTAGATCTTAAAGTTATCTTGGGACTTCAGGTATCTTTATTCCAGATCCGAATGGATGGTGACTGCACCCCGTAGTTAGGCCAGTTTTAAATCCCTGTCTCTAGGTGTCATGGGTGTCATGAGCAACACTCATTTAGGATGATCATCACTGAATTGTCCTGACCCACCTGCCTCTTGGTCTCTGCACCAAGATGCTCAGGTGCTTTGGTTGGGTCTTACTAAACCCAGCCACTCAATTCCTCATGTTAACAAGTTGTAATGATTTTATTGCTTTAGTTCTTTAGAGTAGAATAGTATCCTTGATAGCCATCTCAAGCTTTGATCTTGGTTTGTTTTTTGTTTTGAGACAAAGTCTCAGCTCTATCACCAGGCTGGAGTGCAGTGGCTCAATCTCCACCTTGGCTCACTGCAACCTCCACCTCCCAGATTCAAGTGACTCTCCTGCTTCAGCCTCCTGAGTAGTGGGATTACAAGCACGTGCCACCACACCCGGCTAATTTTTGTATTTTTAGTAGAGATGAGTTTTCGCCATGTTGGCCAGGCTGGTCTCCAACTCCTGACCTCAAATGATCCATCTGGCTTGGCCTCCCAAAGTGATAGGATTACATGTATGAGCCACCGCACCTGGCCTGATCATGGTGTTGAAAGTAGATTCCAAACGATCAAGTCTCTAGAAGCTCCTTATTAATTATAAATACGTTTGATACCTGGGTGAAACTTATCCTTCAATTAGTGACATAAGGTTGATGTTTCTTAAATATTTTAGGTATCAACTACACACAAATATCATTAGACCACACACGCACAAATATGACGTTTAAATGTCTATGGCCTATAAATTGACAGGCAGTTTGACATGGAAAAGCCAAAATGTTTAATTTAGGTCCCTGTCTCTACCTTAAATTGAGCCATCTCCTTATGGCTGTTTAAAGCACTTGAATATGATGATTTTTTCTGTTTTCTTCTACAGATATTTAGTGCTGTTCCACCAGATAGTCAATGGGGGCACAATACCAGCAAGTTCCAGTCAGGATTCAGCTGGTGAAAGGGCAATTATGTTAAGCGTAGGCCACAAAGTGATCTGGGAAGTGTTTAATCAACAAGTGGTCCCAGTATAATAACTGGTGACTGGGTGGCCTTGGAACTGAGTTTTTAGCACATTGGCTGGGGGACTGAAAGTGAGTCCCAGTTCACCCCACCCATACAGAGATCTCTTGCTCATTTCAGACCTGCTCATTGGAGTAGCTGCTTGCTACCAAGAGCCAGAAAAAAGAAGCCCAAGACTTGTTTCTTGCCCTCTTGATCTCTGACATCATGCTCTAAAATTATGAAGCAAAATGATACTTTCTGTAGCATTGTCTAACTTTGGGAGAGATGAGACTCTTGCTATGGAGGAAGCATGGGAAGATGAGAAAGATGGTGGGTGCTGATAGGGCCTGGAATTTGGTGTGGGCAGGTTTTGAGTAACAAGAAGGGATAACATCACCTAGCCTTCTGTGCTGTCAGCCAGCCTGGGTTTCTGACCATTCCCAGTATCCCCAGGTTATAAGAAGGCAGTCGCTACAAAAACCCATGTAAAAATATTTATCAATGTATTTATCAGTATTGGCTGCAGGAAACTAGACTACATTAATCAGGGTGAATTCAGCTCTAGGAGATGCTTTCATTGACATTTCAGGGATAAATAACTGACATGGCCGGAACCCAAATTCCCCTGGGGCCTTTGTTAACCAAATGAGCACAGGTTCTGTCCTGTCAGGAGCTTCTGCAGCCTTGGCTAGACCAGACAGGGATCCATTCCAGGCTCTAGCCCCTAGCTGTGTCCTCCAGAATCCATAAGCCTGTCAGTGGACCTGGGGCCCCAGCGCTTTCATGCTTTCACAACCAGCACCCCTCTTTGCCTTGGGTTTTGGGCTACAAAACAGCCAAAACTAAACAGTCCAGGACCACTCAGACATGGCCTTCCCAGTGGCCTCTCTTCTCAGGAAACTGTCAGTCTCAGAGCCCACTCTGAGCTTTGCAGCCCCTGGGCAACAGAAGGTTACAGGAGGATTATCAAAGGATTAGGGGGCTCTGCTGAGTGAGCATGTACAGGGTGTTTCTGCCAGAGTGATTTTTCTGAAACAGTCCTGATCATGCCACCCCTCTATAACTCCATGTCTCCTACAGCTGTGTTTGAAAAGTGTCACCCAACCATCCCCTGCATCAAACTCACCCTGGGAAGGGAGGGATTATTAACATGCAGACTCCTGGGTCCACTCTCTGGCCATTGAATCTGAATTTCTGCATGTAGGGTTCAGGAGCCTACAGTAAAAAAACCTTGTGATTTTATGTTCATGAAAGTGTAAGAGCCAAGGTACACCACAGGATAAAGTCCAAATGGCTTAACATGGTGTACAAGGTGCACCAGCACATAGCTTAACCTGTTTCTATCTTCCCTGGAAGCACCTACCAAACCCACATCTCCCCACTTCTAGCCATACTGATACATCTTGGAGAACTTGCCAGGGTCTCTCTATCACTCCCATGCTACCCCCATTCTTAGTGTACTCTCTCTACCATTTCCCCCCACCCTTACTCTTCCCCCTTGTTATTCTTTTAGTCTTCTTAACAATGAGTTTAGTGATCATCTCCTTTGGATCAAGCATGCCTCTACTTCCTCCCTCTTAGTGAAACTCACCCTGAATCATAACACTGGGTATCTGCCTTTCTCCCTATTGGACATTGAGCCCTGCAAGACTGGGAACTGTGTCTTGTCCTTGGTTTCTCCGTGCTTACTATGCTTCTTGACCCATAGTAGGGGCTCAGAAACAGTTGAGAGCTAACAAAGGTCTTCAGTTAGAGATATCAGAGCTTTGAGTCTATTTGGGTTGAGCACGTCTTCTTAACAAAACCTGAATATTGATGGTTTTTAAATTCTGGTCTCTAAAGGACAATAAGATTAATAAAGAAGAAATAAACCCAAGATATGAGATTAACTGTGTACATTTAACTAAAGATTAAGTTAGGTATAACATACGGAACAAATTACAAATAGAGGTACCACCACAGTGTGGCCCTGTTCTAACTCTGCAGAGCCACCCACCTGAGGCTGGGGTTGGACTGGTGAGAGTGGCAGATGGGTGGGCTACCACTGGGAGTGGGGGAACCCAGGACCTGAAACTAAAACATGTACCTCACCCCAGGACTTTCAAGGAGAAAGGAGAGAGGTCTGAGTGGGCATTTGTCGGTGTACTAAGGGTCAGTGCTCCTAAGATCAAGTAACAACCATACCAAGTCTTAAAGGTAGGAATTAGGGTAGAGGCCACAAACAACACCATCAGTGAGGGTCAGGGGTCAGACAAAAACTGGGCCAAGCATGGGGAAGAGTTTGGGAAAGGTATAGCTGGTATGCTCCCATCAGTTCTTGGGAGGCTTGGCAGGCTCTGCCATGAGGCTTTATAATGAAGGCCTTGTTTTGGGCTGTCAACCAGAGGGAAGTTGTGGGTGCTGGTGAGTGTTCATGGCAACAGATACCTGTGGAAGGGTGGCACGTGGGCATGGTAGGCAGGAAGTCCTTGATAAGATTCTTCCCAGCCTCCTCTCTCTGCTATTAACCAAGGCTTTTGTGGCTTAAAAACAGGCCAGCACCCCTCCCTCTGCTCTGGTCAACCATATGTAGCCCCCTTTTCATCTCTTGCTCTCCCAAAATGAACTCAGATCATGAAAAGGTGCACCCATGAGTTTGCACATTTGAAACTTTATTAACACCCCTGAAGTTCTTTCTTTTTGCAGAGGCCTCTGATAGAAGATGCAATTTCCCTAAACAGCCAGCTCCTGTTACTTTGGCAGACCTTTCAACCTTAGCCTGACAAGAAGCTTGTGTCCGCCTCCCTGCATTAACTGAGTCTTTTTTCAGAATCCCAGGGTGTGTCAGCAGCAGTGTGTGTATTCCAAATGGCTCACTGTGCATGTTTCTCTAGCTTTCTTACATCCTTTTGTTTTATTATTTCCAGCTTGGCCCGTATTTGCCATTTTTTTCCACTTAATCAAAAGGTCGAATGAAAGAATGTTTATTCATCAGATTTCCATGGAACCATGCCAATAGGGAGTATCATGAAGGCGAGTTGTCCTGGCTCCCCACCTCCATCCTGGCCCTGCTGCTCTCTGCTTCGCTGTGTATGCACAACCCCATGGGTGCCTGCCTCCAGGTGGGAATGGCCACTCTCCGGCTCTCCGCATATGGCTTCAGCATTGTTTCAACCCCCTTCTCCATCCTACCTTGCTGTTACAGTTCCAAGATTTGTTTCTCACTAGCGTTTTAGGCCCTGCAACCACACTGTGTTTTTGAGAGAGAGTCTGACATGTATACGCAGTACATGCCATTTGGCCTTTGCTTGATACATGTCTGCTTCTCTGCTGTTCTTTTTAATTGAAAGGGAAAGAGGTATGTATACGAGCTGGAGCAGGACTGGGGCCGTTAAAACTTGAGCCTAGTCCTGGCTCTGGCATTGAGTTTCCCGCTGACCTCAGGCAAGTTCCCTAAACCTTGGCTTTTTTACTGGCTTTAATGAGTAGTCCGGCTGTTTCTTGGAAAACATGTTAAATATGTTGAAAATGCTAAATATTGAAAATACTTTCTCAGCTGCATCTTTTGGCAAATTCCAGATTCCTTTCTATCCCTCTTTGGTTTTGGAAGGTCCAAGGTCAGATATCCTAGTTTCCCTCTGCCTAAGCCTCTTCAGTTAGCTGGCCCAGTTTTCATGGAAATAGGAATATGAGGCATAGACATTCATTAACTGTAGCTGTTAAAATTCCCAAGCAAATCCAAGTAGAATGTGGTTATGAAAGCCAAGGCCTGTTGCCAAAGAAAGATGTATGTGTGTGTGTGTGTGTGCATGCACACGCGTGCGTGCATTGTGGGATATGTGCTTGTTATATAACTTCTGATCCTTGATCCCTGGATGTTATCCAGTGAGTAGCTGGTTGGATTTGGGGCTTAACATGGCTTGGGAGCTGTTTGGAGCCTTGGTGGGAACTAGATGACTCTGTGTTGTCTCAATCCTGCTGTGTAAATAGTCTCTTCTCCTGATTCATCTGCCACAGCCCAGCTGCTTTTCGGCTCCAGTGATCCTGCTTACTGAGTCTCCCAGAGACAGAGATCTGAATGGTCGGTGAGGAGCCCGTCCCAGGCTGGCAGGAAGGATTCTGGGCACTCTGGGGACATCTTTCATGTCCTGTACCGTAAGATATTTTCCGTGTGGGACTTCCAAGCTTGCTCTGTCAAGGAAATTTAACATCCTCTGCAGCTGCTTGAGTTTCTCTGGAGAGAGCTGTGTGTCCCACCTGAGCTGAGTTCACTTCCCTGTCTAAGCTAAGCTCCTTCCTCAGAGCTGGCCCAGGGCCCATTGCTGCCACCAGCGACAGGGGCCTGCAGGCCTGTTAACAGCATTGACTTAGTCTGGAAGGTCATATATCTGGCTGTTGGATGAATAAAAAATAATGTTTTCATCCTATCGCTTAAGTTACCCAAGCTCAGCTGCTGTAGCCAGAGACCCTCACTAACTTGGGCCACATAGTGGTCTGAGGGGAGTGTGCTGCAGTCCTGCTCCACACAAACGCTCAGGGACCCAGAGTCCTTCCATCTTGTGGCTCTGCCATCCTGAGTCCTTGCGGCTGTTTTCATGGTTGAAACTGGGTTACCATAAATCCACATTTCAGATGGCAGAGTTGGGGAAGAGAGCGTGGAGGGGCACTCCTTCTTGGACTTTGCACACATCCTTTCTACTTTGTTCTGCCGGAGAAAACTTAGTGACAAGGCCACACCTTACTATGAGCTTGAGAAATGTAGCTCTTACCTGGGCAACACCACCCACAGAGTTATTACTCTGTTACTGTGGAAGAAGAAAATAATGAATTTGGATGCATAGCTAGCAGCCTCCCTACATTCCATCCTTTTAAATCATTCAGATACTCTGTGAATTGTGAATTCAAAGCCTGTTGTCAGCCAGCTTCGTGGGTGTGTGGCCTGTTTAGTTGCACAGGATTCTACACTCATAGGGCTCTGCATTTGATTTAATGCTCTGTTACTGCCTTCTTGAAAGTCTAATTTTTTTAACAAGGTGACCACATTTTCATTTTGCACTGGGCCCCACGAATTATGTAGCCTGTTCTGTCTGCTCTTTCCCAAATTAACATTTTTATTCTACCCAATTCAGCATTTAATGAAAATACATTTTGTAGCAAGATACCATGAAAGATCATGTGAGGGATGCAAAGATGAGTAAAATTCAATATCAGAGATTTTGCAGTCCATTAGGGAGATGGGAGAAGTGAAGTAAGTTGTCATTTAGAACAGTTGTGCACATATGGTTGTGAATATTCACGGAAACGAAGGCAGCTTCTGCTTGATGGTGATGTTGGCAGGGGTGGTGGCTGGTGGTGTAAGATATTTGCTCTGGGTAGAATATTTTAATTTTTATTTATATTTATTTAATATATTGTAAAATATTTGTAGAGATGGTATCTTGCCATGTTGCCCAGGCTGGTCTCAAACTTCTGGGCTCAGGTGATTCTCTCAAAGTGCTGGGATTACAGGCATGAGCCACAATGCCCAGCAGGGATATAATATTTTTAAAGGAACCATTTCAGGCATATAAAAATATAGAGAATAATCTTAAAAATACCTGTGTGCCCACTACTTTTTTTGTCAATTCTTAAGGTATTGCTATGTTTGTGTCACGTATTTTTAAGAAATTTAAATATTACAGATACAGTTGAGCCTCCTTTGTAACTCTCTCTGATCTCATCCCCTTCTTTCCCCACCTAGGAATAGACCATCACTTCCTGAATTTGGTGTTTATAATCCTCATGCATGTCACAATATTTTTTTGTTTACTATATACACATGTATCTATAATATTTAGTATTTTACATGTATTAAATTTTATAAAAATTGCACCATACTTCACTTACTAATTCAGAAAATACCTTATTTTTAAAATAATTTCAACCTCTATTTTACATTTAAAAAGTTTATATGCAGGTTTATTACATGGGTGTATTGTGTGATGCTGAGGCTTAGGGTATGATTGATCACATCACCCACGTGGTAAGCATAGTATCCAATAGTTAGTTTTGCAACCCTTTCTCCCTTCCCTCCCTGCCCCCTGTAGTAGTCCTCAGTGTCTGTTATTATTATTGCCATCTTTATGTCCGTGAGTACCCAATGTTTAGCTCCCACTTATAAGTGAGAACATGTGGTATTTGGTTTTCTGTTCCTTTTTAATTTTCTTAGGATATTGGCCTTCAGCTGCATTCATGTTGCTGCAGAGGACATGGTTTTGTTCTTTTTTACGGCTTCGTAGTATTCCATGGTGTATATGTGTGTGTGTGTGTGTGTGTATGTGTGTATATATATATATATATATATCTCACATTTTCTTTATCCAGTCTACTGTTGATGGGCATCTAGGTTGATTCCATGTCTTTGCTATTATAAATAGTGCTGCAGTGAACATATGTGTGCATGTGTCTTTTTGGTACAATGACTCATTTTCTTTTGAGAAATAAATCATTCTGGATGATTTATTGGGATTGCTGGGTCAAATGGTAGTTCCAAGTTCTTTGAGAAATCCACAGTTGCTGAACTAACTTACGCTCCCACCAATGGTGTACAAGCATTCCCTTTTTTCCTGTCTCGACAGCATTTATTGTTTTTTGACTTTGTAATGATAGCCATTCTGACTGGTGCAAGATGGCATCTACTTGTGATTTCGATTTGCATTTCTCTGATGATTAGGGATATTGAACATTCTTCACGTGTTTGTTGGCTGCTTGTATGTCTTGAGAAATCTGTTCATGTCTTTTGCTCACTTTTTAATGGAATTGTTTTTTGCTTGCTGAATTAAGTTCCTTATAAGTTCTGTGTATTAGACTTTTGTCAGATGCATAGTTTGTGAATTTTTTCTCCCATTCTGTAGGTTGTCTGTTTACTCTGTTGACAGTTTCTTTTGCTGTATAGATGTTCTTTAATTTAATTAGACCTCACTTGCCAATTTTTGTTTTTGTTGCAATTGCTTTTGAGGACTTAGTTATAAGTTATTTCCCAAGGCCAAAGTCCAGAATGGTGTTTCCCAGGTAGGAAGTACTTTATTGAGTAATTGCTATGGCCAAATACTGTTTTAGACATTGGAGATACAGCCATAAAAAAATAAATGAAAATTTCTCCTCTGTATTCCAGAGGGGCAGAGAGACAATAAGCAAGATAAATAAGTAAAAACATGTGGTATGTGACAAAATGACAACTACTAACAATGTAAGAAAAAGCAGAGAAGGGAATGTAACATGAGGATGGCAGTAGAGGAAATCAAAATTTTCCTCAGAGTGACCATGGAAGATCTTGCTGCCATTATATATTTTTAGTAACATTATATTTTGAGACTTACCCATCTGTAGTTCATTTTTGTTACTACATAGCATCCATTGCATGAACAGGTCATACTTTATTTACTCATTTTCTCTTGATTAGCATTCAGATTGTTTTTAATATTTTGCTTTTATAAACAAGGCTGCAAGAAACACACCTGAGCATATCCTCCTGTGCACATGTCCAGTTTCTCTAAGACAGAGTAGACCTAGGAGAAAGGTTTAGGTTGGTGGACATGTACATCTTTAACTTTACTAGATGTTGTCAAATCCTGTCCAAACTGGTCCTATCCATGGACACTCTGCAGTAAATAGTTATCATAGCAGACCCAAAGCTGCTGTTTTCAGAAGGGCCTGCTTGCAAGGCTAACCCTTAGCTGGCATCTGGGAACTTGGGTTTCTGGAGTGTTCTTATTGTTCTTTAATGGATAAGCATGGCTTACTGTGCCTAGACTGTGGAAACAATGTGGTTCATGCTGAGCCCTTCCTTTCCTTCTGGGAGTCTGGAATTTTGAAACATGCTAGTTAAAGTGTGCTTATGTGACACAATAAAAACCTTGGGTGCCAAGTCTCTAATGGGCTTCCCTGGGCAGAAGCACCACACACCCGTTGCCGCATTTTCACCACTGGGAAATGAATGTACTCTATGTGATCCCTCATGGGAGGGGAAAGCATACAGGAGCCTGTGCATGGATCCCACCAGATCTTTTCCATGTTTTCTTCCCTTATGATCTGGCTGTGTATTCTTACTCCATTGCTGTAATACATCTTAGCCAGGAGTACACTTATATGCTGAATCTTCTAAGTCCCTCTAGCATATCTCTGAACATGTCTTGTGAGTCCCTCTAGTATATGCATCTCTGAACATAAGGGTGGTCTTGGGGACCCTCTTCACACATGCCCACTAGTAGTGAGAGTTCCCAATTCTCCATGATGATGACAGATTTGGTAGCATTCATCTTTCTGATTTTTGCCAACCTAATAGGTGTGAAATAGTATCCCATTGTTATTTGGATTTTTATTTCCTTGATTACTAGTGAGGCTGTGCATCTTTTCACATGCTTAGTGACTATTTGAGTTTCCCCTTCTGTGAAGTGTCTATTTGTATTCTTTGCTAATTTGTCTTTTGGGTTATTTGTCTTTTTTACATCTATCAGAATACTAATTATTTGTTCATTATGTACACTGAAAATAATTTCTTCCTGTCTGCAGTCTGTCTTTATTTTTTAGAGTGTGGTTTGTTTTGTGGAGGTTTTTCATTTTAATGTACTCAAATTAATGAATCTTTTCCCCTACAGGGTGTGTGTGTGTGTGTATGTGTGTGCGCACACGCGCATGTTTTGTTATGTGTCTTTGGAGAGGCTGTATGGAGTAGTGAGTAAGAATATAAGCTCTGGAGCCAGACCATGTGGGTTTAAATCCCAGCCCCATGGCTTACTGTGCAGTTTCGGTCAAGTTTACCTCTTTGGGTTTCCATTCATTCATCTGTTAAATGGAGATAATCATAGTTCCTGCCTATTACGTAGCTGTAAGGATTATGTAATTAAATATATAAAGTGCTTAAAACAGTCCCTGGCACATAGTTGACTCACGAGAGCCATGAGTCCCTGGCACTCATTAGGTGTTAGCAACCAACATTATTAAGAAAACTTTTCTTATCTCAACATGATGAAAACAGTATCTTATATTTTCTTCTAATGATTTTCCACTTTGGTTTTCAAAAGTGGTCTTGGGTACTCTTCCTTTCCCTCTTCTGTTTCCTTTCTTTCTGAGTAAATCATTCTTAAGGCTCTTAGGTGTTAGGGAGCTGGGTAGGTACCCAGGTAGGGCTCAGGGGAGCCTCAGGGGCTATGAGCAGGTGTAAGAGCCCAGGCGAGGCAAGGAGGGCGTCCATGTAGGAAGGTGGAAACCAGACCCCAGGCAGGGTGAGGAGGGTATCTGTGTGCTGGAGTGGCCCAGGGTGGGGAGTCAGAGCCTGAGCAGGGGGAGGAAAGTGTGGGTGTCAGAACCCTGGTAGTGTCAGGTGAGATTCTTGTTGGGGAAGGTAGGCAGGATCACAGTGGTGGAGATGGGAGATGTGTTATATCCAGAGGGATCGATCATATAAGTAATGTGTGTATAAATATATTAAAGATATTGGGACCCAGTTTTTCAGGGAAGGGAGCTGCAAATGTGGAAGGAAAAAATGAAAGTAAATGCTGTGATGTTGTATTGGAATCGGAGGTATCAGCATAACCTCATGATTGTTGATGTATACATTAATATATAGAGAAATAAATATAGATATGACTGCATGTATATCTATATCTATGCATATGTACATACATACATACATATTCTCTAATTGTCCACTAAGAGAGCCTAGATGTTGGCTTCTGAATAGTATGTTCCCTAAAAAGAACCAGGGCCCTTGGGGAAATGGGTGAGATAAACCTGGAATAACTTGTTGTGCCAGAAAGCAGGTAAGTGCTCAAAGAATGATGTGAAACACATCAAAAGGACACAAGAGCCATCTGATGGATTTCTACTAGCTAAATAAGGGACAAATTGGACATTAAGCTAAATAGTAAAGAATTAAACCCACTGAATATAATAGGAAGCCATGAATTCATAAATAGATACATGTAAATAAAATACTTGTAAATTAGAAAGGGAAAGAGAATCATCTTGTGGACGAGAAGCCTGCAGACACCTCCATAATCAAGTGATTAAAGTGAACATCATTAGTAATGGGTCAAGTTGAAATTGCACACCATCTAATAGGATGCAATGGAAAGAACACAGTATTGCTTCTGAGATATTCCTGCCAAAGATACACAACATAAATCTCATTATGAGGAAACATCAGACAGGCCCACATTGAGGAACACTACAAAATAACTGACCTGTCATCGTTAAAAGACTGAGAAGCTGTTCCAAACTAAAGGAGATCAAAAAGACATGCCAACTCAATGCAACGTGTGATTCTGAACTGGATCCTTTTGCTATAAAGGAGGACATTATTGGGATGATTGTTGAGACTTGAATGGGGTCTGAGGATTAGATGGTAGTGATGTTAATTTACTGCTGCTGGTGGCTGTATTGTGATCATGTAGGAGGATGTACTTGTTTGTAGGAAATATACAAACTATACAAACTATGAGGCTTCAGGTTGGCAGTTTTTTGTGAAACGATTGAAAAATTATATTATACTTGCAACTTTCTTGTAAATTTGTGATTGTTTCACAATTTAAAAATTATTACATAAAATGACTTCTTTTTTTAAAAAAGAATACTTTAATCCACTTGGAGTTTATCTTTGTGTATGTTGTGAGATAGAAGTAACTTAATTTTTAAAACACTTTCATGTAAATAACTAATTGTTAACACTGAATACAAATTTGAAAAGTGATATTCTAGAGAGAGGGGAGAGAATAGTTAAAGACAGGGACAGGAAAATGAGGGTTGAATTTAGGGGTTTTGTTTGGCTAGACTATAACTCATATGTGGACTGGTAAGGGGTCAAGCTGGAAGGGTAAGTTGGGGCCAAATCATAAAAGGCCTTTAATGTCAAAGTGAGGATTTTGCACTTAACTCTGCAGTTTATGGGAACCATTGAGAACTTCAGTGAACGATCCTTTTGGGAGGTCTTCCCTACTCCCTCCCACTTCCTGCTAGTTGAGTGTGCTTCTTTTGGGCTCCTATAATGTATTCTTTCATATTTTCTCAATCGGTCTCTCCTCCTCTTTCCTTCTCCTTCTCCCATCCCCTCTCCCTCCCTTTCCCTACTGCATTGACCTCATCTATTTCTGAGACAGCTTCCCAACCAGAGTGGTGTTAGGGACTCTTATTGTATGTGGCAGTTAGCACAGTGCCTGGCTAATAGTAAGTATTCAATCGTGGTTACCAAACAGACCTCAGGAGATGAATTTTAAGAAGCAGACTGGTATCAGCGGATGTGGGAGAGGCCAGGCCAGGCTTGGAGCTGGAACATCACCCAGACAGGAAGTAGTAATAAAGGCCTCTATCAGAGAAAGGACAGTGGTAAAAGTAAGGCAAAAGGGGTATTTGGGAATGACCTTGTGGTGTTGGAAGCTGTATTTTGGCAAGTGGTAGAATACAGGGGGTGAAGAATGTGGTAGAGAAGGAGTCTGAGGTTTTTTTTAAGCCTCTCAGGACAGGAGACGAGTCATGCCTACAACTGAAACAGGAAAATTAATCAGTTCAGGATCTCAGAAAGTGAGGACAATTAAAATAACAAAAAGTATAACATTACCTTATAATTGCTTACCATCCTGTAGTTTTCAAAGTTCATCATCTACACCTTTATAGCGATAAATACCACTGAACACTCCAAAATAGGGAATCCTCTCCAAAGCGGGGACTACAAATAAATTGGGACTTCTTGGCTCTTCCCTGACATTTTTGCCCAAGAGCCCGCATTTTAAAAGTGATCAACCTACTGACCTTGCTGTTTTGTTTCTATAGAGCTCCATAGACATTTAGCTGAGGGAACGATCATGAATGTTTGGAGCTGAGCCCTCAGGCTCCTGTTGGTTTAGGTGGAACTTGATGCTGTACCTATAAGACATCTTGTTACATGAAGTGCGGCTGATGGGAGAAGCAGGTAAAAATCCAGGCTCGTTACACCTTCCTGCAGGCTGGCTGCTGTCAGCTGTTGATTTAGTTCAATGAAGATCTAAAATTATAGTTTCTGAGCTTAAAATTGTCCCCATTCTCTGACCTTCAACTTATCTTTCAACATCTGCTGTCCCAGCTAAACTAGAGTTACTTGCAGTTCCTACTATAAAACAGAAAATGTAACAAGTGGTAAGTGTGTAGGTGGCGGGGCTCCCTAAAAGGCACCTGAAGCTGTCTCTGATGTCCCTTTACATTAATCTGTTTACTTCCTAGAACAGGGGTGGGCACAGTACGGCTTATGAGCCAAACCCAGCCTTGCCCATTCCTTACATGTTGTCTGTAGCTGCTTCCGTGAACCACAGCCAAGCTGAGTAGTTGCAACCAGAGGCTGTATGACTTGCAAAGTCTGAAATAGTCACCATCCAGCCTTTTACAGAAAAAAAAAAATGTGCTGACTGCTGCATTAGAATGTTAACACCGTGAAAGCAGAGCCTGTGTCTTGTTCTCTGCTTTGTCCCCAGAATATGGAGTAGTGGATGCTTTTTCACCTTCTTCTGCACTGTTTCCTCTCTCCCGTCCTTTCCCCCTCACTCCTTTGCTTCTTTGGCAGCTGTAAGAGGATGAACATGGCAATCAGTATTGTTCAAGACCAAAGAGGCTGCCTAGCTCTGGTGGAAAACAAGAATTGCACCAGGGCTAGGCTGTGTGCCTGGAATGCTGTCTGACCAGGTGCTATGCAGTGTCTTATGAATGAAATGTGCCCCCTGAAACTCACCATGACTCAAGACTGTGGGATTTGGCTACAATAATCTGTGGTCTCTTATGAAATGTACTAAAGTATAAAACCAAGAAGAAGGCTTGGGTCTAGGCAAAGCATGTCTCATGGGATGTGCACATCTGAGCCTGGACATCAGGCAGCTGCTCAGGAAGCTGAGTGTGTGTCATGGTAAGCTGCAGGAAGGGCCCTGAGTAGAGTGCCTTGGGAGTCCTCATGCCATTTGTGTCTCGTGCTTAAAGTTACAAACGAAGCTAACAAACTGCTAAATAACCACCTTCATAATGCCCTGGGTTCAAATGTCATCTTCTTGGCCTCCTTGGAGTTCCACACTGGCCTGTGGTGGTGCACAGCCCACTCTCCCATGGCTCATTCCCCTTTTCTTCCTTCCCCTGTTTTCCCAAGTGGCCTCGTGTGCCATGGGTGGACACTAGCCAGCACAATCCGGGACCAGCCTTGACTCAGCTCACACAGGCCCTAGAAGTGGGCTTTAGCTCATTTGGACAGGGAATTGCAGAGTTCTGGGTCCAGTGGGCATGTCCCCTGGGACCTGTGGATGCTTAGCCCTGGGAGAATGAAGCCACTTAAGGAGGACGGCAGTGGAGTGGGGCTGCAGGGAAGGCTGGATGGCCTACCAAGCCATTGAATTTTTCTGGAATGTGCTTTTCCTTTTCTATTAAAACAGTGGAAACAAAACAATCCCACAAAGGCTTAATTTGTGAGTATTGAGGTATTTTCCAACTCTACAAGCCTATGGCTTTATGAATCTGAAAATTCCAGTACTTATGCTTTCCCCAACTTGACAATTACCTTGGACAAAATGTGGAGCAATCCTCCCCTGTTATCATCAGGAGTCATGAACTTAATGCTAAGCTCAGGGCACCTGCTCAGGCATTGAAATGCTGCATTGAGGAAACCAAGCCCCAGGTGGCTGGGGCCCACGGGCTGAGTCCTTCTGGTGCCTGAAACAGCTACCCCACAAGGGTGAGGCTGCTTTATTTCTAGAGGAAAAGCTCCTCCCTTGCCCCATAATCCCCGCAGGCCTGCTGGTGCAGAACTTCCTCCTCACTGGCCACAGTGAAGGTGCCCAGGCTGCCACAGAGACCCTGTGCCCCAAGCCCAGATCTTTGCTGATGGGTTCTCTGCCCCATTTTTCTCTTCCCATCTCTTCAGGAGAGCTAGAGTGGGCTTTTCACTCAGGTTGAAAGAGATTTCTCTTTTTATCCCAGCTATTCCAAAATCTTGAGCTTCCCAAAGAAGAACTGGAAACTTAGAAATTCTGGCAGCACATCATATGCCTGGAGCATCTCTTGACTGGCCATGTTTTCTGAACTGACTCTTCCATTTCCTCCTCCTTTTCCTCATAAATTTCCCTTATTAACAGACTGGGGCATCTTTCAGTAGAGTCACACATTCTCAGGAGATCTGGGCCTAGCTTCCAGCTTTAACCCTCTTCAAACCCAAGCAAGCTGTGGCTTTGCTGCCTCCTCCTTGCTTTGTGGCTTTTTGTTGTTATCGTTGTTGTTCTTGTTTTTGTTTTTTTTTCTGAACGGAGTCTCACTCTGTTGCCAGGCTGGAGTGCAGTGGCACGATCTCAGCTCATTACAACCTCTGCCTCCTGGGTTCAAGCAATTTTCCTGCTTCAGCCTCCTGAGTAGCTGGGATTATAGGCATCCACCACCACACCTGGTTAATTTTTTTTGTATTTTAGTAGAGACAGGGTTTCACCATGTTGACCAGCTGGTCTCAAACTCCTGAGCTCAGGCAATTCACCTGCCTCAGCCTCCCAAAGTGCTAGGATTAGACGTGAGCCACTGTGTCCAGCCTGTGGGTATTTTTAAAGCACGGCATCCTCCTGCTCCACTTGCCCTTTGCTGCTTTTTGGAGGCATCATTTTCTTGGACCCACTTATTTTCTGTCTATTTTTCTTGCTGGGTTTTCATAGTTTGCTAGGTTTTCAGTTTGGTGGGTATTAGTTGAACATATTCTGTGTGCCAGGAGCTGGAAAAAACAGGATGAAAAGACACAGACCTCAGGTGTAGTGGAGATAAAAGGTACACTGAGATTTTTCCTTAAGGGGGTGTGCAGATTTTACCTACATCCAACTATATCCACTTCATGATGCCTTTCCGAAACTCTCACAGCCAAACAGAATGGCTGCTAAACCACCTCCTCTACCCTACGTAGTCTTTTTTTTTTTCTTTTCTTTTCCTAAGCAGCCCCAAAGATTGTAGTCTTCTTTCCTGTGATATTGTAGTTGCTAATTTAAATTCTGAGACCAGCCAGGATGCAGCAGTGTGATGCAAGCAGTGTGATGCAAGTAGTGTGCTGGGCTTTCCCAACCTCTATCTTAGCCCCAGCTAAAATGGTCTTACAGTTTTGGTCATTGGTAAGTTAAAAGAAAAAGTCAAAACCAGATGAAGCTGTGGGGCTACCAAATTAGTTGTATAGTCTCTATGGGCAGTTATTTGCCTAGCATCTAGTAGGTGCAAAGTGGCAAGTCAGGAGGTGTGCAGGACTTAAAGTTGTGTAGCCCTTGCCCTCTGTCTGCCTCTAAACGAGCACAGGACCCTTCTTGCTGAAATAAAAATTTTAGCACCTTGTGCTCACTTTCTTCCTCATCCTCTTCTCAGCCACAGTTCCTGGGCCTCAGCATCTCTCCTCTTTCCCTCTTCCTTCACCCCGACTCTGGAGTCTATCCTCAGTATAATGAAAGCATATTTACGAAGAAGCCCATCTCTAGGTCATGGAGGGAGACTGCCCTGGCAAGGAAACCCACTGTTCTCCTCATCCACAAGTCTTTGGAAACGTTTGGTTCAAAAGGATTATTTTCTGAATCTTGGTGAGCATTTATGTGAACTAGATGTCCATCCTCATTCCTTTCTTTTGTTTTTTTCCAGAAGGAGTCTGGCTCTGTCACCCAAGCTAGAGTGCAGTGGCGCGATCTCGGCTCACTGCAACCTCCGCCTCCTGGTTCAAGCGATTCTCCTGCCTCAGCCTCCTGAGTAGCTGGGACTACAGGCACGTGCCACCACGCTCGGCTAATGTTTTGTATTTTTAGAGACAAGGGGTCTCACTGTGTTAGTCAGGATGGTCTCGATCTTCTGACCTCGTGATCTGCCCGCCTCAGCCTCCCTGTGTGCCAGGATTACAGGCGTGAGCCACCACGCCCGGCCTTCATTCCCTTCTAACACCACTGCAGAAGACGCACATGGTAGCATTGCGGAAATGGCACAGCAGCATGTGAATGAGGTCCTGAACTCTTCAAATGGTTACAAAGTCCTGTCGGATCTCAGGTCCAACCAAGGACCAACTCTCGCCTGTCCATGCCTCTTTGTCTCCTGTCCTAATTACATCTGTGAGGTAAACACTCAAATAAGTTGGGCAAACAGACATGAAACTTAAAGTCGGTAATACTCAGCTGACAATGGATAATGTTTATAGGCATTACTAGTTGGGTGTTTTCTTCAAACTCTACAAAGACTTGACATGGAACATTAAGACTAGTCCATTCACTTCCAACCTAGTGTTGCAGAATCTTGCCAGAATGAGCAGTCCTGAGGCAATAACACTCACAGAAGTGCATGGGACTGACAAAGAGCTATGCACCCACCTAAAAAATGTCTAAAACTATACTAGGTGGTGCACACCAGGGAGACTGTGGATTAGGACAATTTGTGATGAGTGCATTTGCATTTTATTTTTCCATGAAAATCACACACACGCAGACACACAGACAAACACAGAGAAAAGCAGATCCGCTTGAAATGAGAGCAATATGGAGGCCAAAGCTGCTAGTGGGATGGCCCGGGGTTTCTAACTCTGTGGTCTGGAGAAGAAGGATTTTGTATTTGTTTGGTTTCACCATCAAGTGTTCCGGGTGAGCAAGTCAGTTTCGGTTTCCTTCTGAAAGAGCCTCTTTCTGAATTCGCTGCACGCTCCTCGTGTGTTTGTTTTCTGCTGCAGTGGGGTCATTTATGCTGGCCAGTCCATTTGGATGACCATATGAGCACAGGCTCCTGCACCTCCAGCTGCCCAGAGTTCCTCTCTGGCTGCAGGAACGAGCGGTGTGAAAGATCAGTCCTGTGGAATGAGATCACATGGACTCGCGTCATCTTGGTTTTCTGAGATGGTGTGACTACTTTTAGATTTCAAAAGCTAAACAGTTGTCAATCAGTCTCTGAAGGGCACTCAGCTGAGGGCACTGTGATTCCGTCAGATCACCTGGGTTATGGGCCATCTTTCTCTCTTTCTCTATGAAATCTATGAATCAGGTCACCCTGGTTCTAAGATCCAGGCATTTGTTACAAAGACTCACACATATGAGATGTGTGCATACATGCTTATATCCTGGAGGGAAGCTACATCCATGGTGCTGTTTCCAAGGGCTCTTATGGGGTCTTTGGGGGCTTTTTTTAGCTTAAGAAAGTTACCATTATCTTAAAAGCCAAGAAATCCTGATTTAGGTCAGCCCTGAGATACAGAATTCCCTTGACCACTTCCTGTAGGGGTGGCTCTGGGAAGCTTGAAAATGTGACTGGGGGAGGGGAGAGATGAGAGCTGGAAGGCAGGATATTAGGCTCCAGATCAAAGCTTGCACTTTGATTAACAAAGGTGTCCATGTTCCTTGAGAAGTGGACACCAAGGTGACCTTTTTAACTGGAGACACACTGTCTCCAGCTACAAAGTGTGGGTTGAATTCCTGAACGAATGCCTGCTGTGGGGTTGGGGTAGTGTGGGTGAGGAGGGGATTGGACAAAGGCCTGACCAGTCTAGATGAAATGTGGTTTATCCCGTTATCTGATTTAAAATCACCTATCCCCTTAAGAGGATGACTAATACAGTACTCAGGGCTGAGAACAGGATTTGAGGTGGTGCGAGGATCCCCATCAAGGCTGAGGGTACTTCAGAAACTTCTGAAACTAATAGAAAGATACAAATTATATGGGGGAACTGGAACAGTGTAAGAATAAGGATTAGAAATTGATCTGAGTTGTTCCTAATTTGGGAATGCACATGCGATGGTCACACAATTTAACCTATTTAGGATGTTTCTAAGTTGTCTGATCATCTGTCACCTACTTAATTTATTAAAACCTTGACCCTCACCAGTTTTAACAACAGAGTGTAAGATTGCATAAGACCTTATCCCAAAACATGTTTTCCAAGATGGAGTCCTTCGTAGAGTAAAAATGTTCTTGATAATCTAACATGCTGATTTCTAGATAAATATCCGTGTGGTCCTGGCTCACAATTTGGAGTTGTCAAGCCAACAGCCGGATGAACTTCCTGAAGTTCTCGCATTTGCTTAGGAGCAAGTAGTAAATTCTCTCTAGAACTTCTTGAGAGAAATTACCTTTTTCTTATTTGAAGGGTACTTTAAAGGAAATTATTTTGAGGTGGTATAATGTAAACAATAATATAATTACTATTTATTTCATGACAGACCTATACAATGCTATATGAAAGAATTTTCGCAAACCTTTGTAAAGATAGTATGTTGTAAAGTCAGAATTAGGTTTGGATGAAAATTATCATTAAAATATGCCAATAAGTGTGTTGCAGGTTTTCTAATCTTTGTGAACAAAAATGTAAAAAACACAATAGAAAAATGATCTCACCCAATAAGGGGTAAAAGTTTGGAATTAACTGTTGTAGATCATAGAACATCAGCACCCCTGATGTTCTGCCTGGCCCAGAGGTGATGTGGGATTAGTCCTTTAAGAGCGAACATGCAGGAAGGGGTGGGGAGACCACTGGGTAATTCTGGGAAACAATTTTGCTACCCAATTATATCTTCTGAGTTATAGAGTTATAAAAAGGATTCATGACTGCAAGTGGTTTTCAAAAATAATTTTCAACTGATGTCAACAGCAATCACCAGATCTATAAATGGGAATCAGTGGCTGGAAGATCTCAGTAAAAGCAACCTTTCCCTATCTAAAGGAGCCTTTACTTAGGCATTTCTGGGCCCTCTGGTGGGTAAGGGGTGGGAAGACAAAGTCAATTTTGCCAAGTAGCCATTAGGTCTCTGCTGGTCAAGAGGAAGCGAAAAAATTCATCACAAGCACTGCTCTGGACAGCAGTGTTTCAATAATTAACTGTATTTGGTTTTTCTCGCAATCAAGAAACTGGGCAGAATAAAAACTTTATGGGGAAATAAGGCTTTTGCATATCCTTGCTTATTGATTTGATTTGATTTACTCTCCAGGGAAGTCAGAAGAGAGTGGCTAATTCATCCCTCTAGAGTCCCAGGCTTAAGCCAAGGCATTGGGATGCTGGTACCTCCTCTAGTACTTACTCTAGCTCTCTCCTTCTTTGGTGGTGTGCTCTTTACATGGGCACTGTGTCAGGGCAGGAACCTGCAAGCACCTATTCCAAGAGTTGTCACAAGCCAGGAGACATACCTCTTATTGCTTCTTTCTCCATCTTCTTGATTTTTTGTAAAGAGCTAAGAGGCTCTTTCCTACAACAGGTGCTATTCCTTGATCTAACCAAATGTGTCTGCCACTGAAATGATATGCCAATTAAGTCTCTTCCTTTGAAACTCAAACACATGTCCAGACATAGATGTCAAGCAGCCAAAACATTCTAATATTCTCTATTACCCTCTCTGCTCCTTATTCCCCAGATCCAAGCTTTTCTACTGTAAGCAAAAACATGGGAAAGTTCTTTTCAAAAATGCTCTCCCATACTATCCAAATGGTTTCCTGATTACAACAGGAACCCCTACAGCTACTGAATGAAAAGTTCTTCAGCACAGAACAGGGGGACAGTGGCAGGGACTTAGCAAGGATGTGATGAGGATGTGGTGGGGACTTGGTAGGGACCATGGTATGGGTGGGACTCTCTGTAGGAGGCATATCTGAGGCCTTGAAGCAACTCAAGCCCAATGAACCAGCTGGGCTCTGAGCCGAGGAGCTGCCTCAAGCTGTGGACTGCGTAAGCAGCAGGGGTACCTGGGCTTGTCGGCTGGCTCCAGCAGCTCGAGGGTGCAAAGGGAGGTCGTGAATTTCATTCTGCTGTTTAGCAAAATTTACAAATACCTGGAGGTAAGAGAAGATCAAGATTAGGTAGATATTTCCAGGAAAACAGCACCCTACACCCACCTACCCAGTTTGCTCTCTATTTTCCACAGTTCACATACAGCCCAGCTGGTATGGCTTGTGTCCTTCCCGGGGGAGGCTGGCCCACCCACGGAAGCCTGGCCACCAGTGCCCTGGTCAGAGCTATCTTCTTAGACTAGACTCCCGAGTGATGCCACAGGAGTTCCTGCTGGAGGACTCAAGGGACTTGGGCACCAGACATTGGGGTAATCAAGGCAAGGCAGATTCTCAGCTAGCAGCATCCTAATCCTCTAACTAAAAAAAGAAAAAAAAAAAAGAAAAAAAAGTCATTGATCCCTGTTTGGCTCCTCGTTGAGTGTGCATGTGGCCCAGACTCCTGCTCGTGCCTTCCCCTGCTTAATGCTGATGAGAAGGTGTGGGTGAGCCAGCTCCTCAGGGGTTAAATGGAGACTTCCCTGTTTCCATTTTCCTTGCTTTACTTAACTTTCTTTAAAGATGTTTATTTTAAAACAAACATATATAAAAACACAAAACTCAGAAACAACCCAAATGTCCATCAATGAATGAACAGATGGATGAACAAAATGTAGCACATATACATACAAAGGAATATTATTCAGCCTGGAAAAGGAAGGAAATTCTGGCATATGATATAACACGGATGAACCTTGAGGATATTATGCTAAGTCCTCACATAATAAGCCAGACACAAAAGGACAAATACTGTATGATTCCACTTATGTGAGGTATCTATAGTAGTCAGAGCCTTAGAGACAGAAAGTAGAACAGTAGTTGCCAAGGGCGAGGGGGGGCAGGAAGTGGCGAGTTAGTGTTTAACAGGCACAGATTTTCACTGAAGCAAGATGAAAGAGTTCTATCGGGGATGGTGGTAATGGTTGCACAACAATGTAAATGTACTTAATACCACTGCACTGTGCACTTAAACATGGTTGACATGGTCAATTTTATGTTATATTTTACCGCAATAAAAAATGTGATTACATCTTAAAAAACCACACACGGAATGCACATTTATCAAAACTCACTAAACTGTACATTTAAAATTGGTGTTTTTGTTTTGTTTTGCTTTTTTGAGACAGGGGCTTGCTCTGTCACTCAGACAAGAGTGCAGTGGTATGAACACAGTTCATGTCAGCCTTGACCTCCTGGGCTCCAGCAATATTTCTGCCTCAACCTCCCATGTAGCTGGGACCACAGGCATGCAACACCATGCCTGGCTAATTTTCTGATTTTTTTTTGTAGAGACGAGGTCTCACTTTGTTGCATGGGCCCGTCTTAAACTCCTGGGCTCAAGTGATCCTCCTGCCTTGGCCTCCCAAGAGCCTGTGTTTCATCGTATGTTAATTACATATCAATAAAGCTGAGTTAAAAAAAAAAACAAAACACCACCACAAACCAGCGAGAATGAAATAACACACCATAGGATCACAGGGAAGGATAATGTAAAAAAAAAAAAAAAAAAAAAAAATCAATGAAGTTTCCTGATGACTAAAAAATATTGTTAGAAAACAATTTCTGATATACCACCTTTTACCCCAATAAACAGAGGGCAAGAGTTTGTTAAAAATCGGGAATATTATGCCTCCCTCTTATGGCAATTCCAACCCACATTGGATGTTCTGGGCCAGTCTTTGCTCAGCTCTTGGTGCCCCGCGGCCAACTTGCCTGGTCCAGGGTGGTCTGTGTGACTGAGTACTCCTCGATGAGCAGGCTGTCCTTGTGGGAGAGGAGGAGCTGGAAGATCCTCGCCAGGGAGGAGGAGGAGACCTGGAACTGGAGCATGTTGTAGTGCCTCTCCCTCTGCACGCTGCCTGGGAAGTTCCCCTGGAAGAACTGCTCCACAGGGTTCAGGTCAGGAAGCAGGTCGTCCTTCGGGGATCTGATCTTCATTGTGACGATATAGCCATCTCCAAATCTAGGGGATGCACACAGTGCAGGACAGGCCTCTGTTAGTGGTTGGGGCTAAGGTAATCCCAAAATAAGGAGTAGACTCATCACAAATTTTGGGGATTAAGCCCGGCTTGGTGGCTCACACCTGTAATCCCAGCAATTTGGGAGGTAGAGGCGGGAGGATCACTTGAGCTCAGGAGTGTAAGATAAGCCTGGGCAACAAGACCATGTCTCTACAAAAATTAGCAGGCCATGGTGGCACATGCCTGTGGTCCCAGCTACCTGGGAGGCTGAGGCGTGAGGATCACTTGAGCACAGGAGGTCAAGGCTACAGTGAGCCACGATCATGATACTGCGCTCCAGCCTGGGTGACAGAGTGAGACGCTGTCTCAAAAAAACCTGAAAAACGAGAAACAAACCCCAAACAAGAACAACAAAAAAAGAAATACTGGAGATTAAAGGCCCATACCATAGACCTGGGTACATAGGAAAACTAGGAGAGAAAAACCATGGTAGTCCCTGGAGAAATCATTTGATACCAGTTTTTAGAGGTCAAATGTCTGCATGGTAATGTGGGACAATCGTACTTGCTGAAGTCAAAGGTAGTTTTATTTTATTTTTTTAATTAATTAATTAATTTATTTATTTATTTGAGACAGAGTCTCACTGTTGCCCAGGTTGGAGTACAGTGGCGTGATCTTGGCTCACTACAACCTCCGCCTCCTGGGTTCAAGCAATTCTCCTGCCTCAGCTTCCTGAGTAGCTGGGATTACAGGCGCCCGCCACGACACTCGGTTTTTGTTTGTTTGTTTGTTTGTTTTTTGTATTTTTAGTAGAGACAGAGTTTCACCATGTTGGCCAGGCTGGTCTTAAACTCCTAACCTCAAGTGATCCGCCTGCCTTGGCTTCCCAAAGTGCTGGGATTACAGGCATGAGCCACCGCACCCAGCCTATTTTATTTTTTGAGACAGAGTCTTGCCCTGTCGCCCAGGCTGGAGTGCAGTGGTGTGATCTCGATTCACTGCAACCTCCAACTCCTGGGTTCAAGCAATTCTTGTGCCTCGGTTTCTCGAGTAGGTGGGATTACAGGTGCACACCGCCATGCCCAACTAATTTTTGTCTTTTTAGTAGACAGGGTTTCAGCATGTTGGCCAGGTTGGTCTCGAACTCCTGACCTCAAGTGATCCGCCGGCCTCAGCTTCCCAAAGTGATGGGATTACAGGTGTGAGCCACTGCACCCAGCCGTCAAAGGTAGTTTTAGCCCAGTATGGGGATCCCAAGACCACCCATAAAGACACATGAACCAGTGCATACTGAGTGGTGGTAAGGGCTGATGGGCCAGGTGGGAGCAAAGGCTCGGGAAGGCAGCACTTCCCTGAGGAAGCTTCCCAAAGCAAATGGAGCTGCTAGCGCCCGGGCCATTGGTACTTTCTTCCTCCCTCAGCAGGATGGCTGGTTAACCTCACTTGGATGAGGGATGGTCCACCAGAGAGTGTGTGCACAGCTAGTGGGTGTCAGTATCCTATGCCTTGGTATCCTGTGTCAGTCATAACTGACTCCAAAGCTCCCTCCATGGTCTAGGGCTGTTCTCCTCTGCAGTAAGATGCTGTTCACCTTTCAGCTCCAGAAAACTCGCCATCCCTCCACACAGGCAACACTCCTCTCTCACCTCCTCTATCATGCAGATATTGAGGAGTTAGAGGGAAAGGAATAGGAGAACTTCCCTTTCTCCAGCAGCTGGACACAGGAAGTTGCTGACACAGGTCTGGTGACCTGACATGCTGCTATTTCTATAGATATCTATGCAGTGTCCAAGCTGTAGTTGCTCAATAAATCATGGGTCAAATGTCCACTTGCCACAAGCAGCTAATCTATTAGACCTTTCTCTCAGTCATTTATCTGCTCTGACACATATGAAAGGATGACATTTTCTGTGCAACACCCTCCCGTGGGTGCATCTCAGCATAGATAAGGTGGGTTATGTGCTGTTCCTCCACCAACCAGCTTAGTGACTTATATGCTGAGCTCTTAATAAGTGTTTGTTAAATAATTGTAACTCTGCTCTTTTCTAGGTTATAAAGCTTATCAGAATGTGAATGAGCATGGCAATATGCTGATAATCTTAAACTGTTAGCTTTGGCATGCAAACTCTTAATAATAAGGAATTATCTACAATAGTTTACAATGTGTGGGTACGGAGTAAGGATAATTCTACTCAAGATTACTGGCGTTGTTGGTTTGTCGTATAACATATGGTCTTTTTTCAAACTCAAAAGCATACAATATTCTAAAAACAAAAACAAAAACAGGTCCTCAGGCCAGTTGGTCTCCTAACCATTCCTACATTGGAGTGGACTCTTAGTAAATAAGCCACAGGTCCTGGATCTGTTGGGATAAGTGGTGGAATACTGAAGCAGTGGTAGTGGCCCTCCCTCGTCCCAGCCAGGCTCTGCATGTGTCCTGATCAGACACCCCATCCAGAGAATTGGGTGAGTCTTCGACCACAGGAAATTAGGCCAATATAGAGGAGTTTCTTATCAGCATAATGGACTTCTCCATCTGCTGCTGGAGAATGAGGCCCAGCCACCACCTGCCTCTGCCCCAGGGGATGACAGGGCAGCAGGACTCTTCCAAGTGTCAATGGAGAACATAGGATCTGGTTGGATCCACAGAGGCAACAAGGCGCACGCCCCGCCATCTGCTTACTTGGACTTGAGATGCTGAATGGTGCCCATACATCGAAAGGCGCCCTTTACCATGATGGCCAGCCGGGTACACAGCGCCTCACATTCTTCCATGCTGTGGAGCAGGAGAGAGGAGGTGAGCAGGAGAGGACTCCCACCCACCTTCCCCAGCCCTGGGAATCTCTTGCCTGTGGGATGTGAGGACCACAGCCCTCCCTTCTCTGATGATGCTCACGATGACATTCCACAGCATGCGGCGTGCCTGGGGGTCCATCCCTGTGGTGGGCTCGTCCTGGTGGGTGGAGAGAAGGTTAGGGAGCACAGGCTGGGAGCTGGCCCTTCCGATTACTGCTTCCCCTTGGCCTGGCTCCCCTGAGGAGGATGAGCTGACAGACAGACGGCGCACACAGTCACTCCCCTCACTTGAGCAAGACAGGGGTACCCTCGTGTAGGGTACAGAAGGCAGGAGGTGGATCAAAGAATAAAGAAGCATGGTGTCCACCCTGGGCCCATTTCAGCCCACGAGGGGATTAAAGTGGATTAAGGCAATGACAGAATTCTCCTCAAAAAAAGAAAATCCTGCAAATACATTTGTCGGGAGGCAGGGAGATCACTCAGGTCACTTTCCTGGTTCCTGCTATGTCCTGTGCCCTGTGCCCTCATGATCCTTGGACTGCGTGGGCATGGTCTCAGGCCTGGCCCGGCTCAAGAGCCTTTGACCCAGCTCAGTGCTCCTGTTTGGGGACCAGACACCGACACGCCACCGAACCGGCCAAACTTCCCGGCTGTGAGCCCATGGCCCACAGGAGACATCCCGGGAACGCAGGATGTGCACAGTCCCAAGTCAAGGCTGTGCCATGACTTGTTTTTCTCCAGAGCTGTGTGAACCAAACACTGGGCTAAGTGCTCAAAATGAGCAACACAGGAAACAGTCCAGACTAAAGCCAAATTGCTGCAGTTTCTAAATCTGCCGACCCAGAACCTATTTCCCCAACCCGAGAGACGAGAGACACAGCACTTGGTTTAAGCCCTTGGGGCGGCCTAAGCCCGCAGTTACCAGCAGCACCAGGGGCGGGCAGCCAATGAGCGCGATGGCTGTGGAGAGTTTCCGCTTGTTGCCCCCACTGTATGTGCCAGCCAGGCAGTCGGCGTAGACAGTCAGGCCCAGGCTCTTAATACTCCAGTTTGCAACCTAGGGAAGAGAAAGAAATGCCATTTGGAGAATACAAGCAAACACCCCAAACCTCCCCCAGTTCAAAGCCTTGGGCTCCCAGATCTCATGCCTCCAGAATGAAAGCCCTCGCTAGGCTGAAACAGGCTCCTGCTGGCTCCTGTCCTCTGGCATGTGCTTCAGGCACCAGACAGGGGCTCCTTCACTCTGTGTCTTGGATCCCAGGGTGGCCCGGTCAGCTCAGCACCTGTTGGATGTAGCCCCCTGGGAAATGGCCTTCAGCCTTACAAACAGCAAGACAGTGGGTCTCACCTAGCGTCCTGGACCACGGCTAGCAGTGGAGGAGGAAGGGTCTGTTTGAGAAGATGGTGAGTCCCAGACCTGTTGATCCCACCCCTCAAGAGGGTCACACCCAAAGCCTTGTGCATCCGACACATACCTATGGATCACTGACCATACGCCGGGTACTGAACCAGGCACTGGAGAACAATGTGAACACAGCCATTGCCGCTGTCCTCAGACTGCAGGGAGGTGACAGTCAAAATAAACAGAATACTGGCAGATCGTGACTGCGAGGGAACGATGACAGAGACACCAGGTGTGTGTGCACATGCGCAGGAAGGGACCTAGGGAAGCCACTGGAGACAAGCTCACCATGCTTCTGCCTTCTGTATTAGTCCCCTGTGCCTGGAATGTTCCTCCCTAGGTGTGCACGTGGCTCCCTCTCTCACCTCTAGTTCCTCACTCAGGTCCTCTCCTCTGCAGGCTGTCCCTGGGCCACCCTACCTCAAAGTGCAAACCCTGCCCCAACACTCCCTGCATTACTGTTCTCTGAGGACTTTTCACTCTCTAATGCACTGGATATTTTACCTATTTATCTATAGATTGTCTATCCCTCCCACTAGAATGTAAGCTCCATTTTTAACTTTTTATTTGGAAATAGTTTCAAACTCATATGAACATGTAAGAATAAAAATAGTTCATAGAATTATTAACTAATAAACCCTTCTCTCTCACACACACACAATCTTTTGTGACCCATTTGAGGGAAAGTTACTCATCGTAGCCCTTCATTCCTAAATACTTCAGGGCATATTTCCTAAGAATAGGGATCTTCTTTTACATAACCACAGTACATTATCAATGTCAGTAAACTTAATGTTATGATACATTTACCTAATCTACTGTTCAGAGTTCAGTTTTGTCAGTTGGTCCAATAACATCCTTCTATCATTTTTTTTTCTCTTCTGCACAAGATGTAGTCTATTGTCTGTTATTCAGTCATTGTGTCTATTTAGCCTCCTGTGATCAGAGATATTTCCATAGCTCTTTCCTTGTCTTTTACGACTCTCATATTTTTTAAGAATACAGTCTCCTTTTTTATTTTTAAAGAAAAGGAATATTCCTTCTTTGGAGCTTGTCAGATGTTTCCTTATGATAAGATTCAGATTACATGTCTCCAATCTGGATTCTACATAAGTGAAACTGTGTCCTTCACAGGATATCGCATCTCTGGGCATGAGATGTCCATCTGCCCCTTATGGTTAATTTTGATCACCCAGTTAAGGTGCTGTCTAATTTCTCCATTGTAGAGGTTAATTTTTCATCACCCAGTTAAGGTGCTGTCTAATTTCTCCATTGTAAAATTACTATGTTTCTCCCTTGTAACCAGTAAGCAATCTGTACAGAGATATGTTTATTTCTTTAAAATTACATTATCATTATTTTTTTAAGAGACAGAATCTTGCTCTGTTTGCCAGGCTGGAGAGCAGCGGCTTGATCACAGCTCACTGCAACCTCAACCTCCTGGACTCAAGCATTCCTCCCACTTCAGCCACCTGAGTAGCTGGGACTATAGGTGTACACCATCAGGCCCAGCTAATTTGTTTGTTAATTTTTTGCAGAGACAGGGTCTCCCTATATTGCACAGGCTAATCTGGAACTCCTGGGCTCAAGCGATCTTCTCACCTTGGCCTCCCAAAGTGCTGTGATTGCAGGTGTGAGCTACCATGCCCAACCTGTTATTTATTTTGTTAAAGCACTTTCTTACTTTCTGGCATAAGATATTCCAGGTTCATTTTATACCTATGCCATTCCAGCCCTGGAATGTGTCATTTATTGAAGGAATCAGGTTTACTTTTAGTGGGGAATGTTATTAAGACAAAAGCCTGAGCACTCAGTGTGCTCATGGCTGCTGGGGTGTTTTTGCTTCTTGACTCTTTCAGAAGACAGATATACACAAGCAAATATACGTGTATATATACACGCCTGTGTGCATGAAACATGAACACACCTGCATGCACCCACAAACTCAAGCATATAAATATTCCGGAATTCCCAGTGCTATTTCCAGTTCCAATCCATGACCTCACAGTTCTTTCTTGCTTTTCCCTTTTCCATATTTGTAAGTCCCTTCTTCCACAGTGAGAATTCTGGGTTCCAATAACATCAAAACATTTATTAATTTACTTAATCCTGTAACACATCTAACATTTTCAGAATCACCTTGCCTATACCACTATAAAATACAAACTAAAAATAACTCAGAAATTATTTGTGGTTCTTCTCCCCGGCTCCACCCTGCCCAGGAATGAGGATCTAGAGTCAAACACTGTGTTCATCAGTTGTTTGTATTAGCTCTATCTCCCTTTTGCAGGATTATGATATTTATTTGAAATAAAATTGGGTTACTTTATTTAGTTTGTTGTCAGTGTTAGGTTTTCTTTTTGTTTTCATTTTTGCCTCCTTTGCATCCTTACTAATTTTTTAAAAAATATGTGGAACATTGACATGCTTCCAAAAGTTAAAACTATACAAAAATATATCCCCAGAAGTACTATTCCTTCCCATTTTTCTTTCTTCCCATTTTCTTCTTGTTGGTCACCAAATTCATTGTTTTCTGGTTTATCCTTTCTCTGTTCTATTTGCAAAGGTAAGCAGACATACGTTTACTTTCTTGTTTTTCCTTCTTTCTTACATAAAAAGTAGCATTCTGTATGTTCTGTTTTCCACTTTGCTTTTGTTCATTTAACAGTATTTACTGGAAATATCTCCATATCAGTTCATTGAGTTTTTTTTTCTTTTTTATAGTTGCATAAGACTTTATTGTGTGCCTGTACCATAAATTATTCAGCCAATCTACAATGACTAAACATTTAGGTAACTTCCAGCATTTTGCAATTACAAATGCAACAGATCACCTTGTACATATTCATTTTGTACTGTGGGAGATGTATCTTCAGGATAAACTCTTAGAAGTGTGATTGCTGAGTAAAAGGATAAATGCATACATCATTTTGTTAGATATGAGAGTGGGGATTTTTTTTGTCTGTCTTATTCACTGCTATACCCCTGGTTTCTAGAATAGTACTTGGCACACAGTAGACACATAGTAAACATTTGTTGGAATGAATGAATGAATGAATGAATGAATGAATGAATAGCATGCTTCAGTTTCTTATCTCCAAGAGAATGCACTCTCATGAAACAGGCTTGTAATTAACCAGACTCCTATGTGGCCACAACAAACCATTTTTTACCTTTTCGATTTCCTCTGCTGGTACACCTCGAAGCCGGGCATAAAGGTAAAGATGTTCTCGTCCTGTGAGCAGCTCATCAATTGCATCAAACTGAGGACAGTAGCCCATATTTTGATGGACTTCAGAAATATTGGTTAAAATACTGCAAGAAAAAAAGCAATTAGTGAGTATCCTTCAAGGAGGTGGAGGGATGATCATAGAGCTATGGCTGGAGAAGCTTCTGCCAATGGGAAAAGGAAGCTGCTGCTTCTCTGCTATTTGGTTTCAGAAATGCATGCAATATTTGGGAATCAAAACAAGGACCCTTCGGTTAGAAACTGAATCCTGTCAGATTCTTCCGTGTTTCCATGTCTAAGATTAATTGAATCCCGGTTATGCCATAAGTCAGCTTTCATTTTGGATCAGATCATCTCACATGTGAGTTTAAAAACAGAGGGAAGATCAGGTTTAAGAAAATGATTCATGATTTTTCAATACTTTTCAGACATTTGGGAAGTAACTAGAAAAGATGGATCTGTCCCGTTGGAAGTAAACTTCTCTATCTGTATTTATTGGCAAAGATAGCAATGAAAGAGGAGCCAGTCAGATAACTACCCTCAGCCAGGGGCCTGCAGGGAGAAGGGATAGAGTGAGTTGGGTTCCACCAACTCCCTTTGGCTAAAATATTCACCCTCACTAAAAAATATATTGCCATGATGGAAAATAAACTATACATAGACATTTAGTCTAATCTCATCCTTTTCTTCTTAAAGCTTAGGGTCTATGAATAAAGGATGGATGATACAGGATGGTACAGAGAGAGACTACTGCAGTTCCCCACAATGACAAAAGCCTCCAAAGGCATGGGCTGGGCCAATTAAAACTACTTAGGGAAACAAGTAGGGTACGTCTCCAAATTAGCAGGTGCTACCCTACCAGATAATCCCAATTCTGTGTCTTAAACCTATCGTTTCTTTCTAGCGTCCAGCTCAGTTTTACCTTCTGGAAGTCAGACTGTGCCTTACTTGGACACAGTTGTAACTTTGTGTCTCATAAATGTGCTCATGGAAAATTCTATGATATCTTTCCCCTCCTCCACCCTGCCATGACTCCTTTTGTCACCATCAGGAAGTCACCTGCATGGTCACTTGCAGGTGAAGCTGGATCTGTTGAGATAGATTCAGCCATGACCTGGCTTCACCCCTGCCTGTCCCTTTTCTATAAGCCCAGTAGGGCTGGCTGTAGAGGCCAAAGAACCAGATTCATCCTATCTGAGCCAGTGACACATGCTCAGGACTCCTCCTGCCCACTGGGCATTGGGCCATGCTGAGGATGGCTTTCAGGGGAGAGAAAGAGGCCCCAGTCAAGCAGATGCTGGACAGATGTCAGCAGCACCTAACTCCACTTATAAACCAGGGCAGAGGCTTCATCTGGGCACCTCTACCCAGTGTGCTGAAGTTTTACTGTTCAAGCTTTTCCTGCAACCAGGAAAGAGGCAAACAAGAGAGAGCTCATCCTCTCTGTCCTGCCCATAGAGGACCAGTCTCTTTAAACACATTTTATTACAGAGAGCAGCAGTCACCCTCCAGAATCCAAGGACACATGCCAGTTTTCCCTGTATGCTCCTTGGTCTGGCAAAGCCAAGTATCAGCCTACAAATAGCCAATGCAGGTTAAGCTACCGCAAGGGCGCATGAATGAGCCCCTATCTAGAAACTCAACCCAGAGGAAGGATGCTTCATCACAGGGGTTCTTAACCTGGGATCCAAGAGCTCCTGCGGGATCATAAATGTGACCCAGGGCTGAGTAAATTCCCTGAAACTTTTTCAAAAATGTGTGGAGGGAGGTAATGGGAAGCAATGGTGCGTTTTTATAGGAATAGGCTACAAATGTTCATTGGATGCTTAAAAGGTTCCATGACCTCTAAGCGATTAAGAACCACACACTTAGTGCTTCCTTGGTCTTTCCAAGAATCCATCCCAACAGAGGAATCTCTTAACCATCACAAGTCAGTTCAATTTTCCAGTGGGTCTATTTGTTGGGCTTTTTGGGCCAGGCTCTCTGGGAGGCCTCCTTCTCTGTACACATCTTTCAGGGCCTCAGAGCCACCCTAGTATAGGGTCTGATGATCACCCTTCCTATTCTGGGAGAGGGACAATGCCCAGGACCTGTGAGAGACTCCCTGAGACAGGAGGAGCAAGACACTCACCTTTTGCCTGCTACAGTGGCATCCCCTGAGGTCACTGTGGTGTCCCCAGTAAGCATCTTGAATGTGGTTGTTTTGCCAGCACCATTCACTCCCAGGAGGCCAAAGCACTAGGAGAAAACACAGAGCTAGCCTGGCCCTAGAGACCAAGAAGGTCTAAAATGTCAGACCCTAGGGTAAGTGTGTGAGCTGGGGGAGGCATTTTAGACCTGGGCTGCATCAGAGGCCACGAGCCACGTGTGGCTACTGAGCACTTGAAACACATCTAAGTCCCAATTGACATGGGCCCTGAGTGTGAAGATTCAAAGACTTAAAAACAACAAAAACTTGTCAAATATCTCATTAATAAGGTTTTCAATTAATTACATGTTGAAATGATAATATTTTGGATATATTGAGTAAAATAAAAAATACTGGTAAAATTAATTTTACCTATTTTCGTTTTACTTTTCTCATGTGGCTAGTGGAAGATTTAAAATTATATATGTGACTTGCATTATGGCATTATGTTCCTATTGAATATCTCTGCCTTACGGGGAGGAGAGGCAGGCACAAGAGCTGATGTTCAGAAGCCTTTCACCCGTGGTCTGCAGAGTACCCACCTCTCCAGGGCGAACTCCGACACACAGCCTGTCCACTGCCGGGCTGGAGGTGCCTGGATAAATCTGCAAGATACGAAGAAACCAGACTTAGAACTGAGACAGGGTTAGAGCAAGGAGGGGAAGAGGGAACAAAGAGCAAAGATGGTTTAGGAGAAAACTACCAGCACTAAGAGGTTACATATTGACATGGGCAGGCACAGAGGGGCGGTGAGTACTGAGACATCTCGAAGCTGACCCATGCTCTGTAGAAACGGAACACAGAAAAGCGAGTGATGCTCAGCTGGAGTGATTCTCGCTGAGGCCCTGTGTCACTGCCTGAGATGAATAGCAGGGAACACACATTGGAATTAGATGTTCTTGGAAGACAAGCTATAACACAGAGATGATGACCCCACATAAAATTAGGAAACCAAATTGCTTGCATAAGCATATCAATTGATCTATAGAAGGAAAACAGCAACATCATGCCAACTGTGGATCTAACCAGCACCTCCAAACTCATACCCATTCCCTTACCTTGGTTAGTTCATGTAGCCTTAAGATGTCAGTTTTATTTCCACCAGTAATAATTCTTTGTCTTTCTTCAGCCACATCATCATCTTCATCAACAATGGGCCCCTTAGTGGGCTCAGCAATCCTAGATGAGGAAAAGGGGTCAGGATTGGGCTGGCTGTACAGTATCCTTGGCACTGTCCTTTCCATTGGACCTCTCTTTCATTTCCTTGCTTTTGCTTCCTTCTGGGCTTCCATCCTTTAAGACTTAAATTCTAAAAAGGGCTCCCAGCAGGAGAGACATCAGGCATTAGGTAGAGAGGTCAAGTGCTCATGTCCAGAGTCAGCCGTGGGTTCCAGTCCTGGCCCCCTCATGTGTGATCTTGGGCATTGGACCTCTGAACCTTGCCTCCTTCAACCATGTGATGAGGAGAGGGGTGACAATACCTGTCTCACAGGGTTGTGCTGAAGATAAACTCAGCACAGTGCCTGGCACAGAGTAAAGACTCAGGGTCTGGGAGCACCGTCAGGACTAAAACCCTTCCTCTACAGCAAGCACTCAGTAAGGGGTAGTTACTAACCTCCGAGCCTTCCACTTCCTCCAGTCTGCCCTGCCAACTCCACCTCTCCAAAACAGAGTTGTCATCAGGCTACCTCATGCCTCAAAACCTGTGGTTCTCCATCAGCTGGAGGTTGAAGCCCTCCCTCTGCAGCTGTAGTTACAGCCCTGCAATCCAGCCCCACCTACCCTTCTCACTTACCTCTTGCACTAACTCGTCTGTCTGCAATTGGCATCTCCCCCTTGTTCCCAGTCCTATTGGTCATTCCCGTCTCCCAGCCTCCGCATGTGTTTCCAGTCCCTCAATGTCCTCCTCCTCCTGCCCCACCAAATGGAATCTTCCCCATCCTTAAAGACACAGCCTCTTCTTTGAAACTCTCCCTGACCTTCTGGAAGCCAGGGACTATGGTATACTTCTCTGGTCCTCTTAAGGTCCTAAAGCAGGCAGGACTCATTCAAATGTGTTGACATCAGAGTTTGAAGCTAATGAGTCAATTTGGGTAGTCAACCTCCTGACCCGCTCTCTCCCACACAAAGGCCTCTAAAAGGTGTGGCCAAGGCTGCAGAGAGGGTCTGCAAGGGCTGAGGGTGCCAAGGACAACAATTCCTGACACTGTCTCCCATAACTAGAACTGCTTGTGTATCCTGTTTCATCAGAATGTGTTGACACCTGTGATCTCATTCACCTCTCACAGTCCTGTGAGTAGGGAGGCAGATTCATTTCCAATAAATCAATTCCCTGTGGATCAAAACATAAAACCAAGTCCTTGGAATCTATTTACAGGTGACCACACTCAGCCCGAGAGGAGGAAAAGTTAAGAAACAAAACAGTATCGGGGAAAGCTTGCTAGGAAGGGCTGCTGCTTGGCAATTCAGGCCCCTGGGTAAGGACAATAAAGGTAGGCCGGGATTGCAGAGGGGAGTGAGGCAGGGGCCCACCCAGCTTCAGGAAGAGCCTGCGGAAGAATGGCAATTGCCAGCTAACCTGGCATTTGAGAAGCCCTGGTCAAGAGTCAGGGTTGGCGGCTACCCACCTTCCTCCAGGGGTGGGAGGGCGTGATCACTGCCTGCACCCCTCCACATGGCTCCCATGTTACTCCCATGCTCCCAAATCTCTAATTAGCAAAGGGGCCTGCTATGTCCGTTCTCTCATAAATACATTAGTCTATTTCCTAGTACTTTGGATATCCCGTAACCATTGTTATTTGCAATACTATCATCTAATCAAAATACACATTTGGTAATTAAATGAGAAGGATTAAATATCAGCAATTGAAATTAATAGCACTGCATTTTAAATATTTTAAAGAGGATGCTCTTCACGTATTTGAATGTGCCATTTTAACCCAATTCCCTACTTGTATTATTGGAGAAAAGCCAGGCTTTGAGAATGTAAAAAAAACATCGTGGAGTGGGGCTCCTGAGGAAAGAGATAACTGTGTGGGCGTAAGGTCCAGTCCCGGGTGGCCTGAGCTGCCCACTGACCCCAGGGTGTGGCATGGACGTACCACTGGGAGAGGAAGAAGTGGCGCTGGACCAGGAGAGTCAGGAGGAAGTACACCACCCCTTCCACCACCATGGCAAACAGGTTCTTCCCAATCAGGTCCCAGTGGAACGGATTTGCAGAGTGCTCCTCACCTGGGCATCAACAAGAATTGAGTCCACTTCAGCTGCCCCGGCTCACCCCACAGACCTGGCCACTGCACACAACCCACTAGATCAGGCCTTGTGTGGGAACTGAGCAAGAGCCAAACACCTGCCTCTGGGCTGCCCTCCATCCCTCCTGTGGCTCCCTAGCCACGGAAACAGAGGCACCCTAATCGCCTCTAGCTGGCAGGACTCTTCCAGCCCAACAAGGTCCCCTCCCAGCACCAGCCCCTGCCGCAGACTGATGCAGAAGCCCCCCCGGGTAGCCCACCCAGCTTTGGACCCAGGGCCCATGCTCCACAGGCCTTGGCTACCACCCACCAAACCGGGCATAGACATCTGTCACAGCCTGGCTCAGTGCAAGGTCAATGAGGCCCCGGCCCAGGCAGAAGTGGGGGAAGATAATGAGCAGCTTCCTCAGCACGGCGTTGAACCTGAGCAGCGTCTGAAACAGAGAATTAGGACTGTTGGAAATGGGGCAAAGCCCACCCACCCCTCTCTTCAGCAGGGTGGGGCCCAGATACTCTCACAGGACAGCACAGGGGAAGGCCTGCAGACGGAGAGTCCTTGCAGCCAGACTGGCCACTGGAGGGATTTGTCCAGCAGAGCATAATGGGTTTGCTGTGGACGTCATGAAGTACATAAAAGCAGTGCCTCAGGCCAGGCCAAGGAACTAATCAATTAAATGGCCAATCAAGGACTGAGGCTCCCTGCAAGTGTCTAGTGGGCAGGAGCTGCCCCTTCATCTAGCCAGGCAGCATCTTCTAAACATTTACTATGCTCAGTACCATGTGGGCACCGAAGCTAACTGTGAGGAACCTGCATTACTGTCCTTACCCCTCCCCTAGGTGACTCGGGGGGTGACAGCAGGAATGTGCAGAGAAGCTGCAGCTCTCCTGCTGTCCACTTAGGGAGCTCTCCCTGCAGACTCACTTTGAAACAACAGGAGCCCTCCAAGGCGTTTGTTAACAACAGCTGCAGGGGGACAGCAGGCCCTGAGCCATCTCCAGTTCAGCTTTTCAGCCCCTCTTGGGGCAACTACCATTGTCTAGGGAGAGGAGGGCTGGAGACTCTCTCTGGGGTCTGTGTTAAGCCAGGGACTTGTTTTCAAGTGGTCAGACTTGGCATGTTGGGCAGAGCCTCCCCTGAGAAAATAGAAGGGACACTGAGGGGTACAAGGACAGTATAGCTCCAGGCTGGACCACTGCTGTCCATTCCATCTGGCTCATCCCTGTCCCACAACCTCCTCTCTCTCCAGCTTCCACATCTGTGTCCACATTACCTCATCCTTCCCCGCCTACCCCCTGTCTGCCCACTCTTTCTGGAATCACTGCTGTTTGGCCTCTAGGCCAGGGCATGTGCAGGCTGTTACCTATTGCTCCAAGCAGGAAAGAATGCTCTTTTTTCTTCTGCTTTCTGAAAGATTCCTGTTCTTTAGATAGCTGGCTCAGAGAGTGCCTTCTCCTATAAGCCTTCCCAGATTCCCATGAGAAAGTATCCATTCCTCTCTCCCAGCACTTATCACATTCCCATGATTAATTTTTTAAAAATCTGCCTACTTTCTCTGCTAGTCAGGGGGCCCCTGGAGGGTGGGCATTGAGTCCTAATTATTTTTGTGTTCTTCCTAAATACCTGCAGAACGATTAGCTCTGAGTAGGCACTTCATTATTTATTAAATGGGCTAACAGAAATCTACAGGCTGGCCGGGCGCGGTGGCTCAAGCCTGTAATCCCAGCACTTTGGGAGGCCGAGACGGGTGGATCACGAGGTCAGGAGATTGAGACCATCCTGGTTAACACGGTGAAACACCGTCTCTACTAAAAAAAAATACAAAAATACTAGCCAGGCGAGGTGGCGGGCGCCTGTAGTCCCAGCTACTTAGGAGGCTGAGGCAGGAGAATAGCGTGAACCCGGGAGGCGGAGCTTGCAGTGAGCTGAGATCTGGCCACTGCACTCCAGCCTGGGCGACAGAGCGAGACTCCGTCTCAAAAAAAAAAAAAGAAAAGAAATCTACAGGCTGAAATTGGACTTCCTCCACCACGGCTCCCCCAGCCCCTGCAGCCTGGCTCTTCCCACTGCCTCTGGCCTGCAGCGTGTTATCCGCCTCGCTCCTCTGATGCTCTGTCACACACTGTATTATGGAGGATCATACACTGTGGCTTATATCAGTTGCAAACTTGGTGGGCAGGTCCTTTCTGGACTGGAATGGGAGCCTCTGGAGGGCAGGACGAGTGGGCCATGCTTGTTTATATCAGCACACCCAGCACATGGTGTTCAGCTGGTAAAGACCTCCTGACTGTGCAGGGGCGGCAGCTGCTGGGAGCTGGGGAGCCTCCTGTGGGATACTGGGGGTTTCCGCAGCAGCTGTGTATCTGATAATTTACATGAAAATACCAGCTTTTTGGAGGCGGGTGCTTAGCAAATGTTGGTTAAATGGGTGCAGCCGCAGAGGGGAAAATGTTCTAAGTTGCTTTAAGCTGCTATTTAATTATTCTGAAGGAACACTCTCTTAAGACTTAGTGGGTTTTCAATCACCTGGGGGCTCTGGCCATCTGCTGGGTTGTGTTCTTATCCCCCGGCTTTCCGGAGTCTGACTCCGACATGCTGAATTTCTTATCATTCATAGGACAGATGAGGCTTCATTACTTGCCTAGCGGCCACAGAAACCCTAACAAGATCTGGAAAGAGTCAGTCTCAGGGGCCACAGGTCTGGGCGGTTTACGGTGGAGACTCTGCACAGATTTGTCCTGTGTTCCCCAGCGGGGCCCAGAGGCGGGTGGAGGTGGGCGCCGCAGGGCAGCAGTGCAGATGTGCTGGCTGGTCCCACCCTCTGAACTGGGAAGAGCTAATGAGGAGAAGAAAGGTTGAGGCGCCTGGGGACACAGACACGTGGGGAGGCAAATGTTCCAAGGACAGCCACAGCCAGGACTCAGACACAGTGGTGGGGACTGGGAGTGTGGAGTGTAAAGACAGCCCTGCAGCGACTGCCTTCTTTTTTCCTGCCTCTTTTTATGATTCCGTTTGGCCATCTGTCTCTGGACAGGGGGAGGTCAGATGGAAGGGACAACTGGGCTTGGCAGCTCATAAAAGTGAGGCATTCAGCATGGAGAATCCCCAGTCTCTTCCTCAAGATAACTTGCCCAAGGAATAGTATATGTCAGAGTGTTACAATTTCCATAAGAAAGTGGGAGAAAGGACGTATGGGGATTTGCTGATGTGTCTCCAGAGCACACAGGAAGCTCAAATAAGAGTTTGCCTCTGGAGAAGGGAACTGGGTGAGTGGGAAACAGGGGTAGGAAGAAGACGTTTTTATTGTATGCCTCTTTATTCTTTTTAGATTTTGAAATCACCCAAATGTATTGTGTGTGTGTATAAAACCCAACACCCAAAGTCCCTAAGGAAACCTTTCTGAAAGAGTAAGCAAAGCTTAAAGTTTATTGCAAGAATAAAGTTTTGCTTGCAGAATAAACACAGAAAACAATTTCACTCAGAGCACAGAAATGAAAAAGGAGTTTATAGGAGGAAAGAAGGCAGAAGGAAGGAAGGAGGGAGGGAGGGATGGAGGGAGGAAGAAAGGAAAATAGGAGAGAGGGCAGAAGGAAAGAGGAAGGGAAGGAGGGAAGAAGGAAGGAAGGAAGAACTGAAGAGTGAAGGAAGGAGTGGGGAAGGAGGGAGGAGGGAGGAGAAGAAGGAAAGAGGAAGGAAGGATGGGAGGGAGGGAGGAAGGAAGGAGGGAAGGAAGGAGGGAAGGAAGGAAGGAAGGAAGGAAGGAAGGAAGGAGGGAGGGAGGGAGGGAGGGAGGGAAGGAGGGAAGGAAGGAAGGAAGGAAGGCAGGCAGGCAGGGGGGTCAAGGGTGGGGAGGAAGAAAGTGGCACTCATCTGCATTCAGCTGCTACATGTATGACACTTGCCCCTGGCTCTGCTTGACCAACACATATTCTGCTATCCTACTGATCAAACACAAAAGCCAAGAAAGTGATGCTCACCCGGTTATTCTCAAATAATTCCAAGATGAAGGTAATAGCACTGCTGTTGATGCCGATGAACAGATTAGCACAAGATAAAGCCACATAGGCTGTGCTGGGGACATCAAACAGGAAGGATGCTGGGTACATCATGGGAATGACCGCCCATCTGTGTGAAATGAGACAACTCAGAGCAATGGAGTTCTACTTTCCATTCCATCTGCAATACATCTAAATATAATGCACTACCCTTACACCTGAGGTGATATGTGTGAACTGGCCAGAGTCCCAGGGGACCAGAGAGATACTCTATTTGTTGGTCTCTGTGCCTCAACTTTAAATGGAGATAATGATGCCTGCCCTGACCACTTCATGGGGTTTTGTGAGGAGCAAATGGGCTGCTAGCTGTGTATGTACTCTGTAAACTACAAAGCCCTGTACAACTCACAGGTGGGTTCTCCACCCTGCAACACCTCCCACTCTAGCCTGGGTCAGCAAAGCCCAGCCAAGGGTCCCAGCGAGCTCATCTTCACAGCTTACAGTCAGGTTGGTTCCCAAATTCTCTATTTCCAAGAGAGATATGTGGAGACCAGTGCTCTGGCAAGGCTCTACTGGCCCACAGAGGAAGGACCAGGATCACTATTTTCATTTTACAGATGAGGAAACTGAGGCCCAGATGGATGTATTACTCATTCAAAGTTACACATGTGGGAAAGAAAGTTGCATGCTGGGCCCTGTAACTCTGCTGATGTAACCCCTGTGTCATCCTCTGTCCCTGACCCAGGAGGAGCTTTTTGGTCAGAGTCTTCTACTGTGTGCGGTAACTCTTGGCCAGTTCACATGGGGACGCTGAGGTGGACAGATTGGCCACAGATGAGTGAGAGTCAGAGCTGGGTGAGGAGCTGGGGAATGGCTGACCCCCAGGTTTTGGTCAAGGCCTCAGTTTGAGTAGAAGATTCAGACCATGTGGGACTTCTCTCATTGTTGCTGACCGGACCAGGCCTCAGAGATACCTCTGTCGGTGGAGTCAGAAACAGAAGCTAGACAGATCCCTGGTTATCAGCCTCAGACCCTACCTGGGGCTGGAAGCTAAACTTGCGGGTGCTACCACCACAGGACAGCCCAGGTTTTCTGTCAGGAGATGATCCCCCACCCCCACCACTGGGTTTCTCTTCAGAGGCATTAGCTAATGGCCCAAACGGCTTACCCATACAACAGGAGCAGTGCCACAAGGGCAGGAAGGTTTTCTGGAGAAGTGTAGGCTTTCTTCTGAAACCCGACGAAGATGCCCACCACCAGCCCAGCACTCACGGAATAATTCATCTCAGAAAGAGAAGAGGAGAGCAAGTCACTTAACCTCTCAGACCTGCTTCCAGCTCTGCAAAATGAGGGGTGGGGCCAGGCTTCTCCAGTTCGTAGGGTCTGGGATTCTGATTCGACTTGCTTGTTAAACAGTTCTTGGTTGGCAAACATATGTTAAGCTGTCACTAGTCCTCCTACCGCAGCCCGCGCCCTACCTCCCTGCCAAGGGAACCTTCAGTTTGTATCTTTTGAAAGGATCAGTTACAAAATTCTGCCTGGTCTCTCACTCTCTAACTGGTCATAAAGTTTTGTTGATTCTTCTAAGCATGTCTTCAGAATTCAGAAAAACTTAAAGCCTAGTTCCTGGCTTCACAAAACTCAAATAAATAATGATACCCTTTTAAAACAATGTAGTCCTACAGCCATTACACTGGGCACAGAAAGGGGACAGCAACAGTGGGGTTAGGGGAGGAGCCACAGTGGTCAGGAGCAGGGCAAGAACCAGAGAAGGGCTTCCTCAGAAGGCAACCTGGTGTGGGGTGTGGGGGCCTCAATGGGATGAGAAAGATATCCTTATAGGAGGCTGATCTGGTGCAGGGTATCAGAGCCAGAGCAGAACGAGGAGGACCTGCACGCAGCAGAGGCAGCTGGAGCAGGGAGAGGACGGCATCCACATGGGGAAGGGATGGTGGCAGAGTTGAGCACTGTTGATGTTCAGGTGTATAGCTCCGGTAGATAAATGAGTTGGGAGTAAGAGAAGCCAGCGTCTCACTATTGAAGGGAGTTACAGATGTGGAAAGATAAAAAACTAGAACGAGCCCTGTGGAGTTGGTTTTGGTGAGCTCATAGTGTTCAATGTGTAGGTAGATAGAGAACTACAGATAGAGGTGTGTGCATACCTGTGTGTGTACATCCATATCTTCCCTAGTTCTAGCACTGAGAAGGCCTGGGAGGTGTGTGCATACCTGTGTGTGTACATCCATATCTTCCCTAGTTCTAGCACTGAGAAGGCCTGGGACCAATAGTGCTCCAGAGGCAATGAACATATCTAGCACACAGATCTTGGTTTCTGAGGGCCACTTCCCACTGGCAGGAACCAGGGCTTCTTGGGGAGAGGGTAGGACTGCGGATAATGGAAGGATGAGCCTGGAATATCTTGCTGTGCCATTGAGCATGGAGGAGCTCTAGGGGAATGAGGACACGAGTCAAGACGATACAGAAGCCAGCTTCAAGGGGCCCCCACTGACCACACTGAGGATAATGTGAATATCAAAATAAATAATGATAGTCTCGGATCATAGTCCATTGATTAACACAGGAACCATGACTGCATACAGAGATAAATAAATGGGTGAATAAATGGAAAGTTGTATAATTAATAGGATATTTATATATCTTTGAAGTGCCTCTACCAGAAATTTGTATTTATTATAGAGGGGAAAAGAGTAGTTTTACAGTAAAGAAGCTCAGCAGACACCTTCTTAAGTGAGCGAATTGCACATCATCAGTAACAGAATAAATGGAAATCAGAAGCTACCTGATAGGATGCAGTGAGAACATAGCATCTGCTCGGTGATACTGCTGCCAAGAAGCACACCCTCAACCTGGGCAAGAGGAAACCTCAGACAAGCTCAGACCAAGGGACATTCTGCAAAATAACCAGCCCGCAATCCTCAACAGTGTCAAGACCATGAGTGTTAATGAAAGACTGTGGAACTCTTCCAGGCTGAACAAGACTAAAGAAACAGCACAATCAAATGCTACACATGATTCTGAGCTAGATCCTTTTCTCTGAAAGACATCACTGGGGCAATGGGCAAAAAAGGAGTGGGGTGTGAGGATTAGGTGGTGGTGACACATCAGAGCTGGTTTCCTCATGTTGACAGTTTGTGTTGTGGTTGTATGGGGTGTGTCCTCATTTCTAGGAAGTACACATCGGAGGCGCTGAGGGGTGTGAGAGAGAGAGACAGGAAGAGAGAAACAAATGAGAAGGGGCATCTTCTTGAGAAGTTACTTTCAAATGACTCCGGAAAAAAAGGTTTGAACTGTACTTGCAACTTTTCCATAAGTCTGTAACTGTTTTAAAATTTTAAAGTAAAGAAAAATAGATGACACATACAAGAATTTAAAACATCATATATGTGCTAAGTGAATGACATAAGCAATAATTTTTTTTCTTCATTCAACTTTTTTTGCCACTGGCTAAAGGCAGTACTAAGTTCCAAAATGATAGATCACAGAGGTCAGATTCCAGGCCAGCTTTAAAATTCTGGAGCATCCGAAAATCTGCTAACATGGTGCCTGCCATCTTCTACCCCTTCATTGCCCTGCCAGCTAGTATCACCTCCCACCTCAGATGTCCACTCTATCCTAGCTACATCTTTCTCCGAAGGCTCAGAGATCCCTGTAACCGCACGTGCACGCACACACACACACACACATGGGCCAGCCCCAAGTGTAAATTCTATTTCTCATCTTTAAAAAAAAAGTAAAATTAAAAGCCCCAGCACTTTTCTAAGTACCTTTTCAGTGCTGGTTGGCCTAGCTCCTTTTATATTAGAAACACAGGGCCAATGTGGCACCTGCAATTGATGCTCTTATCCAAAGAGAGGCTTTCAGGCTCTGACCTCCTCCCCATGGATTTATGAGTGTTTCCTCGTGTAGACAGAAGAGAGAGGAAATAATTTAGTTGCTACTGATAATTTCTGGTTTTGTATTGTTAAGTGATAGCTGCTTACTAAGCTGAGTAAGACAGAAATCATATCTTCAGGAATTCTAATATTCACCATCATTTTTAAAAGCCATGGAAGAGAAGATCATTGGTGTTGGTCTCCATCAGTTGGTATATCTTATCATTACATGAAGTGGAGGCTCATGTTGGTCTTAAAATGTTAAGATTTCACTACTCAAGACACCTAGAATAGACGGGGGTTGATGTCATAATGATCCCTGCTACATTATAACTAGGTCTTTACTACCAATTCCTTTGACCCTGCAGCCTGCAGACCCTCCCTACCCCCACCAACCTTGGATGTAAGGAAGGTGATAGTGTGCTATTGACTTGATAAATATTTTTTCTTCATTTTTCACTGTAGTGGTGGCTGATATAGTGAAGGTCTGATTACTTTGGCCACTGGCTGGGGTTGCCAGATTTGGCAAATTAAAATCTAGGATGCCTAATGAAATTTGAATTTCAGATAAACAACCATCTGTTTTGTTTTGTTTTTAGTGTAAATATGTCCTGTGCAATATTTGAAGTAGGGTATGCTTATACTACAAATTATTCATCATCTGAAAATAAATTTTACTGGGTGTCCTGTATTTATCTGGTAACCCTACCACAGGGGAAGTTTTACCCTTACCCTTTTGAAAGTGGGGCAGGATTTGAGAAGGGGATTTGGGGTGAAAGACCCCTTCGTATTACCTTCTCAGAGCCAGACTGATTCCAGGAAAGCCAGGCTCATGCCTGCAGTGCGGCGATTATTTGACAGGTCAGAGGCCCCTTGGGGCAGGACACAGAGAGCCCCCATCCACCAGTTGTTAAGCTGCACCCCACAGCCTTTCCTAGCTTTGGGCTCCTAGTTCTGTGCCTTTCTAAGAAGATGTCAAGGGACAGTAGATACACAAGGCCCTTGGCCCAGTGCCTTTCAGCAGCCCTGGCACCGTGATAACCCCTCCCCACTCGGTCTGGTCCTTCAGAGTACACACAAGCTCCACCTCAGGCCCACGGAGGGGAGGGAGGCGCTATAAACTGACACTTACAATGTCCCAGAGGAAGTTGGTCACCCAGTAGGTGGTGGGGCTCACTCCACTGATAAACTGGAGGTGCTTGGATTTGTTCACCCGCTCCTGGATCAAATAAAGGACAAAGCTGGCTGGGACGAAGGACATGGAGAAAATCACGCAGATGGCAACCACAGCATCCACTGAAGTGGTCAACCTGCAGCAGGTCCAGAGACACAGGGAGAAGGCGATGAAGAGGAAGGAGCAGAAGGAGGAGAAGATACAAAGTCAGGCTTTGGGAAGGCCTGATGCCTACCCAGGGGTGGCCTCCAGGTTCCCCTTCTCTACCCTGAAGCTGTCACTTCTCTAAACTGTCTTAATCCATATGGACCAAAGTTAAATGGGTATTTGTGGGTTGCCTTTCTGTTTCATGTGAATATTTCTAGACAACATTTCTTTTTATTATATTCTCTAATTATTTTTATGGTGTATAGAAATATATGTCTATATTAATCTTATGTACTGCAATGCTCTTATTAGCTCTAATAATCTGTCTATAGAGCCTCTTGAATTTTCTATGCTGACAGACATATGGTCTGTGAGATTTATCTTTTGTTAATAATCATCTTGTTAAATCACATTTTCAAGAAGTACGTCATAACATAAGGAAATGTTCATAATGTAAATTTAAGTGAAAAAGAGGGCAGGTAAGTTGTACAGGGGCTTGGTTCTATTTATCCTTTCCTCAACCAAATAGAAGGCATCTGGCTAAGGGATAAGTTAGGGTAAAGCCAGCCTGAACTTTATGTACATAACCCCTGGCATGGGACAGTGTCCACCTACAGAAAAGAGCACTTTTACTAATTTCCACAAAGGTATCCTATGTGGTAGCCACTGCCCTGATAAAACTACAGATCATATCATCCATACACGTAGTAAGCTTAGAACAAATGACTGGAAGGAGACACACGAAAGTGTGGCTGAGTGAGAATTAACAGAGGACAGTCTAGGGCCCTAGGGTGTTCAGAGGAAGACACCAAGGAGCCAAGGCCCAAGTTTTAGTGGATGACCCTCGCATGTTCACTGGCACTCAGCATGTGCTAAGAGAGTAAAATCAGGACCCCACAACCTTGCAGAAGTTTGCACCAACAAAGGCACTCCTATCAACCCCTCCTCCATGTAGGCCTCAAATAGAGTGAACATAGTACAAAACGCACAAGACCACTGTCTCCACTGGCTGAAACTGTGCAAGAAGAGCCTCAGCGTGAGGGTAGCAAAGCTCTGTCGACATCTCCAAAGTATGCTCTTCTGAGGAAATTCCTGGAATCTAAGATAATTACTCTGAAGGAGCTGAAAGGTTTACTGAACTTTGCCAGTTCCTGGCAGCTGCTTTGCACATAACAAAGATAATAATTGTATAAGCTCCAGCAGAAACTTGCTATCAAGAGCCAAAAGGGAATGGAACCAAATGTAAACTTACTTTCCACATAAATGTGGGGGAGAACGAATGACCAAGAGGTCTGGCACGTGAGGCGTGAGGCACTTATTTGAAAGTCGTATGTTCATATGTGCCTGACTAAACAGCATTACCATCCAAACCAGCACTTCACAGTGGTGAGAATTCTCTTGGGATGCTGAAAGAGTGGAGAAGGTGACAAGAAAGTGGTGAGGCTGGGGCCGCGGTGGCTTACACTGTAATCTCTGAGAGCTGCTCCTTGGTCAGGTTCAGGGGTTGGCTAATGACGGTGATTCCGTATTCCTCGGGGCTCCTGTCCTTGGGCAGGCTGGCCCGTAAGATGGCGTTGTGGGCCACGTTGAGAAAGCTGACCAGGGCATGCCAGCCTTTGTTATTAAACCACACCTAGAGGGTGGAGAGGACATCTGAGACGTTGCACTAACAGCTAGTTAAAGAAGAATCAGTGAAGGAAAGGAAATTTGAGAAGCTGGAAGGGTTTGGTAGCTGGAAGACATTCCTTGCTAGATTTCAGCAGGAGGAGGGATGGAATTCAATGAAGGTGGGAAAGTACAAATCAAATAACCAGCTCAGGTGAATTTTCAGCTCCAGAGCAGATTACACACAGGTCAAGTACCTTAATGTTGTCTTCAGTTTCTAAATGTTGAAGGAAATCAGGTATTTCTTTAGAGGCCTCTCTAGTGATAGGGCCCTAAAAACCATGTAAACAAACAAACAAGAGGGTTTTTGGTTTTTTTCCTGTTATCGCTCATGAGAGTTTGTAGTTCATGGTAATTAAGCAAGTCAAAAATCCTACTCAAATCTCCAGTCTGTTTACATACCCCGCTCACATTCATGATCCGGCCAAGGTCGCTTAAAAACCCAACGAGCGCTTCCCCCGTGACGGGGACGACTGGGAGCTTTCCTCCGATGGAAATTCCTCCATACCTGGCGAGGGAATGAGAAATCCTCAGACCAGCGCCACGAACTTCATGCCTACTAGTAGTAGCTCTCTCGCGTTTTGTAGGGAAATGTGGACTTTCAGGGGAATTGCCTGAACCAGCAAGCAACATGGCTCCATTTTACAAACCAACTTTTAACTCTTTTCCCACTGCTGCTGCCTCTAGGAAGGAGTCCAGACCCTCATCCTGGCCTCTGAGGCCATTCTGCATCTTGTCTGTGCCCCTTTCCAACTTCATCCTTCCTCAGCCCTTCCCTGGAGTGGCCTATTCTGGACGTATCGAGTCACTCCAGAGTTCCTCGTGGCCCGGACTGCCTGTGTGTCTCTGCCTTTGCAGGGCTGCTAGCTCCCCTCGGCACCTTTCTCTTTGGGAGCATTCAGGCAACTCCAGGTCCTCTTTCACATGTCATCTCCTCCCACCCCAGCCAAGGACTCCTTTTCTGTGCCACCCCTGTGCTTTGAAGCTACTTCTAGCAGCACAGGACCCATCTTCATCCTGTCATCCCTGTCTCTTGGGGCTTCTGTGCCGCACCCCTGTTCAGGGAAGCCCTTAGCCTCTCCTGCCTGGACTTGTGCTCTGCTTCTTCACTGGCCCTGGGCTCCATCTCCCGTACTGGCCTGCAAGTCTGAAGTGACTGTGCAGAAACACCAGTCTGAGTGCATCACTCCCTGGCCTGAAACCCTTCAAAAGCAGGGCAAAAGCTAAACTCAACAGAACAGAATGAATTAGCTGGTCACATAAAGCAGAGGAGGAGCTCTTTCTCAGGGCCTTGAATCACTGCCTCACTCCTACTTTCTGTCTCAGCTGAGGCCCCACAGGTCCCTCTGGAGAGCAATCCTGAAAGCCAGATTTCATGTGTACGGTCTAGAGTCTGCCCAGGAAAGCACATGCACGCCAGCCCCGCACCTGTTCTGAAGGTGCAGTTCCTGAGGGAGGCTGGGAGGCAGCAGGCTCCTAGAGTCCCCCTTGATGAGGCTCCAAACCTCTGGAATCATTTCAACCTCCAGGATGCCTCAGGAATGGGGTGGGTCTGGGGCTGGCCCACACTCCCTGAAGCTTAAAAGGAATGGGCCAAGGAGTGTCCTGGGTTTAGGCTACAAGGCTCTCTTGTTGGAGTATTATAAACTGTTATATACTCAGAGGTTTTAGAAGCTTTTTTGGGGTGAGAATGCTCTGAAACGCCTCATCAGGGAATGCCACCCCCACTTATATCCTCCAAGAAGAGACACCACTTAGTGTCTTCTGAGTCTGGGATGTCCCTAGACACATATTCTTCAGGATGTGTCTTGTGACTTCCTGAGCACATACTGAACAGCCCTTCAACATGGCTGTGAGGTGTGCCTTTTAAAAGTGTGCGATTATTTCAACAATGAATCAAGCTGAGATTTTAATTCTGATAAAAATAGTTTCTTACCTCTGTTCATTGACCCAGAATTTGCTCTTTAAGCTGAAAGCCGAAACAAAATAATGCAATGAATACCACAAGTACAGCAGTGCTGTTAACTTTTCCTTCCCAAACATTCATTTTGAAGACTGAAGTCTCAGTCTTCAGGGGCATTTTTGCATTTTCTGATACCCAAGCAATGTGGAAGCCGTCCAGCCCTGGGACATTGCCTGCATACACATGCAGAGAAAGGACCTATGATTTCTACCACTGGCTCTCCAAATCATATCACGCATGCTGGACTTTCTAAGTGGTACTGTTGTCAGGTCATACGTCAGGTCAGTATGCCCGATCTGGATCCAGAACACATGGCAACGACCATGTCAGTGTGGAATGAAGGCTGCAGCCTCCTGTCTTCCACTCTGCACAAATGAGACTCTAACAACCACCTGCACACCTGGGGGGAGTTCTGACTCACTCCACAGCCCAAAGTTAAGGCACTGACATTCAGTCAATCAAGGGTAAAATGACAAAATGGGAAATGAACAGATGTCAACTCTGGACCCCAGAGCTCAATCCCATGAACTGTCATTGTCATCAACCTTTCAGTACACACGCACAAGACCCAAAATTTCATACTGCAGATTTGCTGCTGAGAACTAAGTTTGGGATGGTTACTGTTTATTGCATTCTCTTTACTCTGCTTTTATTTTGGGGCTTGGATGGCGTTCTTTAATTTGCTAAGTGCTTTCACCATCTGCAGTGTGTTCTAGTTAATTAAGTCAATTTATCCCTCGTTCAGGGCTCTGGCAGGTGAAGCCACAGAAAGTCCTACTAAAGTTAGACAGGAGGTTTTATCTTAAAGTTCCAGAGTCTGTGCGGACTGGACCACATTTCCTTAGGATCCTCTCTCCTGGCATGGCGTGCCCCTGTCAAGCTGCTTGTTCTGATACGGGCTCTCAAAGCTGTTCCATTCTGGGTGGGGCCGATAAGAACAGCTGGAGAGCCGAGAGAGCTAGATACTTGTTGACAAGTTCATTGGCATCTCAAAGGGCAGTGATAACAGATAATTCACAGTTAGAATATGACAGCTGCAGCTGACCTGGCTCGCCCTGGCCTGTGCTGGATTCAGATACTATCCTGCTGCCTATTTTCCACCCTATCTTTTTCCTTTCTCTTTTTTGCCTCTTACTTTTTTTCTTTTTTTCTCTTTTTCCTCTACCTTTTCCCCTATACTCCTCCACTTCCCTCTAAATTTTTACTCTCTGTTTTAACTAGTTAAAATATGTGGCTACATTTTTGAATAACTTCTATGGTCTTCTGATACAACTTTTAATAATACGTGGGTTAAAATTTAAGACTGCTTGCCCTAAATGTAAAAACAAACAAACAAACAAAAAGAATTAATCTTAAGTTACATTTTACTTGTATGTGCCTCAATTGCTTTTTTATGTTGAATGAGGTGCTTGAATTAGATAAAAAAGAAAAAAATCCACTGCCCTGATCATAGATAAATTGTGAGAGAAAATTTTCTTCTGTCCCTAGTCAATATCTTCTACAGGGAGCCAGGATAAAAAGCATAAAAGGATTTCTTCTTACCTGCTTCTTATAAGAGCAGGATACGTTTTTACCAAGAAGTCGGAGATGTTCCTGTCCGTCAGGTCTTGTAGAATTTCCGTGCTGCGCTGTGTTCTCTGAGGTAATGAGACACCCACATTAATTACTTTGGAACCTGAGGACTTACAAGCAGTTTGTGAAACTGCTTGTTCTCCTCCAAAAATTGTTTATGGATTCAGCTGCTGTGAAAATACTAAATAAAGTACTGGCATCTCCCTAGTTCTCACTTCAATGATGTGTAACTCATCTTTGATGCCTCTTTTTTTTCTCCAATCCATTGACAAGACAGGATGGCATCACTCCAAAATAAATCTCCAATCCATCTGCGTTTCTCCAGCTCCAATACTGCCACCCTACCCAAGCCACCACCTAGACCACTAGAGAAACTTCCACACTGGTCTGCCTGATTCTGTCCTTTGTCTGCCGACTTCCGTTTTCCACCCAGCAGCCAGCTTGAGCTATAAAAATATAAACCCAAGCACCTCAGTCACCTTGCTTACTTATCCACTCCCATAAACCCTAGGATCAAATCTCGACTCACTACCAAGTCCCATGTGGCCGATGTGTGTGGCCCTGCCCCTCTCTGAGCTCACCTGCCGCACTCCCCTCCCTGTCTCTCAGCGAGCACCTCTCTCTCCCGGCACAGCTTTGTGCTTGGCTGTTCACTCTGCCTGGGAACTCTACCTGACCCTCCCATGGCTTGCTCTCAGTCCAAATTCTATTCCTCGGAGAAATGTTCCTGTTTCCACTCACTCTATATTGTCACAGACTGTTGTGTTATCTTTATAGCTCTCATCTCCAGCTGAGAATTTCCTCCTGGTGGATCTGTTTATGTATGGTATCTGTCATCCCCCGCACGATATCATTTTGGTGAGAGCAGGGACTTTGCCTGGTTTGTGAGCTGTTGTGTCCCCAGCACCCAGAATAGTGCGTGGCATACAGTTGACACAGTCGATTTGTGACATTAATGAAAGAATTTGAATAGTGCCTTACAATTTACAAATTATTTTCAAAATACATCTAGGACTGGAAGCTAGTACATCGAAAGATTTTGGAAAATTCAAAGGTGCATGGGTTTGTCCGCCAGGTGGCAATATTACTGCAAATCTGGGAACACATTGCACTTAGTTTCTCTTATTAGCCAACTTCACAGGTCAGTCATGACCCTGGGTAAAAGCATTCACTCTGTCAAGGGTGCTGCCCAGAAGTAGTTGAGGGGATTTTGGTGGCATTACACAGCCATTATTGCGCACCATTCTTTCCTTTTTATACACTTTCTGTCTCCTCCCCTGTTTTCCCATTTGACTTGCCTCTTCTTTAATTCACTCTTTTCACCTTGTTTCTTTCTCTCCTGCCAGGAGGAGAGCTGGCATACCGAATGCTCCCTGTGCGTCGGGCACTATGTTAAATGCCCTGTATACATGATCTCACTTCATCCTGACACCCTTTGAGAGAAGAATTTTTAACTTAATTTACAGACAGAGAAACAGAGGTTCAGAACAGTTAGCTGACTTGCACTGACTGGGCTGCAAACTTGCAGGTGGGTGGCCCAGGGCCTAGGAGCTAAGTCTGCCTCTGTCTCCTCCCTGCTCTTTTCACTCAGTCACCTGCTTCTCAAGCTGAAAATGGCACTTAGAAGATCTGCCAAGCTCCCCTGGTGGAATCCAGGTTGGAACAATTGCTACTGGCTGGGATAGCTTACGATAAATTGTTTTATAAAAATTCTGCCTAATAAAATATTTGTGTAACCCTATTTCCACATATTCTAGAAGTCAGGGACAGAGTGCTTCCACCTCAGGACCCACCACATTCAAAGAATGTTAGAGCAGGGAGGGTCCCTGGAGACCATATTGCCCCACTTCCTAGATGAGAACAACTGATTGCCTCTGAATCAGGCCCACACCCTCTGGACTTATTCCAGGCTGAATAAGGACTGTGTTTGAGTGGCTAGGGTGAGCAGATGTGAATAAGAGTGTGGGTTTGTGAGTGTGTGTGTGAGAAAGAGAGAGAGAGAAAGATTGAGAGAGAATGAGAGATAGAGTGAGAGAGAGATTGAGAGAGAAAGAGTAAGAGAGAGTGAGAGAGACAGAGAAGGAAAGAGAGAAAGAGTGACAGAGTGAGAAAGAGAGAGAGAGAGCGCGCGCGCATGCTGCTCCTGTGCATATTCGTGGCATTCAGTTTTGTTCCAAGGGAAGGCATATATAATAGTGAGGGAATGCAGAAGTGAAAGAAAATTGCAGCAGGAACTTTGGCTTGCCTTTTTCCAGAACTTTGGCTGTTACATTTTGTCCAGGGACCAAGGACCAACACTACTGAAAATAAGTTTCTAAGCTGCACGGACAGCGTGGAAGTAAGGATTCGTTTAGGAAATGAAACACCGTGTAGGTAGGCTTGGCCTCCCCTCCCTCGCCCTGGCCAAGAGCTCAGGGTACAATATCACAGCCTTGATGTCCTGAGGCTGGAGGGTTTTGAGTGGAGGCAGCCACAGGGGCCCTGAGCACTGACAGCAAAGCAAACAAGCAAAGCTTCCTCTTGGGGCACAGAGGACTGAGACAAGCTTCTCGGGTCCTTCGTTTGGAATCCCTATGATGCAGCGAATGAGCTGTGATTCAAAGAGATAATATATTGCTTAAGAAATATAAAGATATATGCTTTAGAATATAAAAAGAGCAGGGATTGGGTGTTCTTGGTATAACACCATTTATAAGCCAGATTGTGATAGGTGTGGTGGCAAAATCTAGTTGCTCCCATTATTTGCTCCTCCCTGCTGCCTCAGCCACAGGCTTTTTTCTTGGGTCTGTAAGTGGAAGTGCTATGTGGGAGCTTCAGAAAACCTTCCCTAAACATAGCACATGTGCACACTCTGCCCTCTGTTTTGCTTCATCCTTCTTCCATTCCGCTGCCTGGAAGACAGCTCCTGCCACATTGGCTGATGGGGCTGAGGCCGTTTAGTGTGGAGGAGAAACAGAATAGAACATCATGCACCACCCATGTAGACTTTTAGATGAGTGAGGAACAAGTTGTGTCTTGTTTTATCCACTGTTAGTTTAGGGTTGTCATCACTTGAGTTGAATCTAATTCTAAATAATTCCTTGCCCACATGATTTCATTAAATCCTCATAATAATATTATGAAATAAGCAGTTATTCCCAATTCACAGGTGATAAAATTAAGGTTCAGAGAGGTCAAATAGCCCACCCGGGGCTCTCCGTGTCCTGTACGTGTGCTGTCCCACCATACTCACAGCCTCTTTGGGAACTGTTTATTCATTGACAAATCATTGGACAGGGCCGTCTAAGGCCCAGCCCTGGTAAGTCAACTGGGAAGCCCATTATCAACCAGGGACACAGCCTTCTTCAGTGTCTCTAAATCCCCCAGGAGATGCTCACTGTAATCTATTCTGGACTTTAGAACTCCCAGGACAGGGTGCTGCTCAGAGCCAAGATGACTAATGTCCCTGCAAAAGACGGACGCTGGTTGTACATGTATTTGTGTACATACCTGCAGATGTTAGAGACACAGCATATGGAGAGCTTCTTAATTAAGACTGTTAATAAGTGTGTAAATACATTTGCATTTGAATGTATGTCATAGCATTGCTTATAATGGTGAAAACTAAAAAACGTAAGTGACCAATAATGCGAGATCAGTTAATTTGAAGTAAATTTAGGCCAGGTGCGGTGGCTCACGCTTGTAATCCTAGCACTCTGGGAGGCAGAGGCGGGCAGATCACTTGAAGCCAGGAGTTCAAGACCAGCCTGGCCAACATGGCAAAACCCTGTCTCTACTAAAACTACCAAAAAAATTAGCCGGGCATGATGGTGCATGCTTGTAATCCCAGCTACTTGGGGGGCTGAGGCACAAGAATTGAACCTGGGAGGCAGAGGTTGCAGTGAGCCGAGATTGCACCACTGCACTCCAACCTGGGTGACAGAGCGAGACTCTGTTTCCAAAAAAAAAAAAAAGGAAATTCGAACAACGGGATAATATACAGATATTAAAAATGATGCAGATTCTATTTATTGACATGGATGCATGTTCATAGTAAGTTATGCAGTAAATCAGATTTCAAGACAATATTTTGAATTCCATCTGTTTGGGTGGCTGCAAACCAAACATTATTGGTGATTATATCCAAGTGATGATTTTTTTCCTTCTGACTTATCTGTGTTTTCTAATTTTTATATAATGAGCACATATGACTTGTATAATTTTTTTAGTGCTTAAACACATTTTTCTCCTAGATCGAATAGGAAGTATCTGGTGGAAAATGAAGCATTTGGTGAGTGGCTTCCTCCAGTTGGCAGCCACAGTGCCCTGTGGGGTGCCCCTCCCAGAGGGCGCAGGGAGTTTGGTTTAGTGCCCTACTCAACTGCCAGTTTGAAATGTTAGTTTGCGAGAGACTCAGGAGATACCAGGGACTCCTCCTAGTCCCCATGTGGCAGGCAGACCCGGGGCCCTGTTGTTTGGGGGTCAGGTACCTGGGGGGGCGGGAGGCCCCCGGCGCCCTCGGGGCACTCTGGCAGCATGGTGAGCTTCTCCCTGGTGCTGCACCTGCAGGACGGCGAAGGGTTGGCCTCTGTCCATTTCTGCTTCTGGAACAGCTGGGTGATGTTTGGGGACACAGAAGGAGTCTTCCAGGGTGTTGAATTGCCACAAGGGTACTCCCTCATGGAAGACAAGAAAATATTCCACAATCAGCTCCAAAGTTGATGATGAATCCCTAGGCATAAGAAATAGTGCCCAACCCTTTCCTCCTCCTCTTTAGACCCAGGTCCTTTCTTATTCTCTTGGAGGCTGGTTTCTGCTCAAGCAATATCAAAACTAGGGTTTTGTTGACTGACTAGGTGTGGGGCTGGGGAATAAGCATCTCTAGCTGTGGACCGTTCATCTCCCTTTTTTCTCCTAGCAGCTCTAGCTGTTGAGAGACACAGCAACCAAAAGAGGAATTTGAAATTAGTCTATTTTCATCCTTATTGACAGTTTTGAAAAAGACTGAGTGAGAAAAGTTAAAATTATATTGAACTTTTAGGATTCCTGGTGGATGTCAACGGCCCTCGTTAACTCCCTTCTCCAGACTCATAACAATCACGGGATACTGGTCACTATGTCACTCTTGCCATTCAAGGCCCAGTTACACAATAGCATAACCCCATTTCCCTCCCTTCCCGCTCAGAAGCCTTTCAAATAAGTTATGGGGAATCATCTGTCAACTCAACATAGAACTTCCACGCTGAGAAATATAGAACTGTCCAGTGATGCGGGGGCTTCCTAGGAGGCAGTGAATGCCCCGCACACAAGTATGGAAGGAGAGGTGGAGGGGGGTGCTGGTCAGAGATATGGAAGTGACCAGAGGAGCAGGATTGAGTGGGGTCTCCCCAACGCCTGCCATCCTGAACCCCACTGTTGGGTCCTCCCAGGGGAGCTAGTCTTGTTAGGACAGGGGCGCATAGGGACTTACGGAAGCCACCCTTCCTTCAGACAGCGGTTGCCAAAGCCTGGCTTATTCAGGAGGACGTCTGCAAGTACCGTGAGCTGCTCACTGCCCGGCTCATCCATGCTAGATAGAGTGAGACATGTGACTGGGACAGAGCAGACACGTGCCAACAACATGCAACTCAGAGCCTTTACTGGATAGCTGCTGTGTGCCAGGCATGTATTGGAGGCACTGAATGCTGCCTTGGGATGGCGCTAGCTCTCCTGGGAGTGCCGTACGCTGCCCAAACACTCGCAGTGGTCTGATGGCACGTCACCTATGCCTCAAAAAGATGGCGCTTCAACACACTCACCCAAGCTTTGCATTCCTTTCCCTGCTCGTCCTTCCCAAGCAGTCCTGCCTGCCTATCTACTGGGATCACCTTTCCAAGCAGAGACAGATACATTAAGTTCCTTTCTGCAGGGAGCCCCAAGACCCCTCCCTCATTGGTGAAGGTCCCAGTGAAGTGGGAAGGTCAGGGCCCTTTCAAGCAGTGTGTGACCCAGGCGCCCCAAACCCATGGAGGAGAATGGTGACTCCAAGTCTCCGCACCTGAAGAAGGTGTACTGCTGCCCATACATCCAGGGGTGAAGGGTCAAGGCAGGGTATTCGCCAAAAGGAGGGATAATGATAGACAGCATCAGAGCCAAAAACACAAAAGTGGCTGGGAGCACAATCTGTGGGAGAATAGATGTGGAATAAACATGACTGTGGCATGGAGATGTCAGGCGCTTGTGCACACACATCTTCATTCTTTTAAACATTTATCCTGCAGCCTCCTAATCAGCCCCTGGTGGAGAGGGTTGGGCTTCTGGGAGAACATAATAGGCAGGGTGTGCAAAGCTAAGATGTGCAGAAGAAAACAGAATGTTCTGGTGGCCACTGAAGAATCTGAATGAGCCCAGTGTTCAGCCAGACGTCGAAGGGCAGTTCAAAGAGTGAGTCATATGACTCGCTGTTCTTTGAACCAGAGCTTCTTTTTCTAAATTAAAAAAACATTAAAAGAAAAAAGAGGACAATGACTTTGATATGTAGGGTCACTGCAACAAGGAATGAAAACATGACTTTACCCCTCACTGTAAAAATAAAAACAATATTAACATTTTCACTATTACTCTATTTTCTTTGCTAAGGGAGGTCCAACTTACAAAGAAGATTCATGTTACCAAGAATCAAAATAAGGGTTTGGAAAGCGGGAAACAAAGCCGGCAGAATCTAAAGAGGGTGCTCCTTGCTGAATTAGAACCCATGTGTGCAGGAACACTCAGGAGAGGAGGGGAAGGCTGGGAGGGGAGCCACTGAGCTCAGCTAAACACTGACGGACAACAGTACCTGTGCCAGGAAGTCCTTGTGACTGCGTATGGTGTGTTGGAATCGCTTGACCAGCAGCGCCTGCACGTGCTGGAGGACCAGCTGTGCCCCTGTGTTGAGCTGTGGGCCTGGGCACTCTGGCTCTGGGGGAGGCTGGCCCTCTGGGTGAGCAGCTGGAGCCCCAGGGGAGAAGACATTGGAGTCCTGGGGTGTCTGTCCGGCCTTCCCTCTGGGACCCAAGCAGGGGTGTTGGGGGTTGATGTTTTCTCTTTTCTGCTGAGCGCCGCCTGTTTTGGGAGATTGAATTAATAATTTGGAAGATGCCTGTGAGGTCTGGATCTCTAATGCCATTTTTTTTTTCCTTACAGCATTGGTTTTTCTCTTCATTTAAGTCAGCAATGAAATACCAGGTTGGTAGCTTAATCATCTTTATAAAAGTCTACTTTCCAGTGTAAATTACTTATACAGAGAAATTATATAGATTCACCTGAAATTGCCTTAAAATTCTCTATGAACATTAAAGAGAACGAAATAGCTCTAAAAGCATTGACATGGAGAGGTTTAAAATATGTAACTTAGTTAATAAAAAAAACAAAACTGGCTGGGCACGGTGGCTCATACCTGTAATCCCAGCACTTCGGGACCTGAGGCGGGTGCATCATTTGAGGTCAGGAGTTCGAGACCAGCTTGACCTACATAGTGAAACCCCCTCTCTACAAAAATACAAAAATTAGCCAGGCATGGTGGCAGACACCTGTAATCCCAGCTACTCAGGAGGCTGAGGCAGGAGAATCACTTGAACCCAGGAGGCAGAGGTTACACAAAGCCGAGACTGCACCACTGCATTCCAGCCTGGGTAACAGAGCAAGACTCCCTCTCAAACAGCACAGCACAAAACAAAACACACACACAAAAAAACTAAGGTGCAGGTCAATATGTGTAATACATTTACATTTATGTTTAAAATTCATGTATCGTACACAAAGAAAAACTGACATCTTATGTACACACACACACATAACTGTAAAACTCTGGAAGAATGCCCACCGACTGTCAGCAGAAGCTGGGGAGGAGAATTGGATAGAAAGGGGGGAGGAAGTGAGAAGTGAGACATTAGCCTTTTGTGTATTATATGAAGTTTTAAACAACAAAATACATTCACCTATTACCTGTGTACTTAAACAAATGAAAAATCAGAGTCAATGTGGTTCTTTCTGAATTCTTAGACAATACTGAGAAGTGGTAGAAAAATTAATGAACTAAGAGTTAGGGGACTGAGGTTTGAATATGGATTCTTACAAGATACATAAATTTGGGGAAGTGACTCAATCTGCCTAAATCTGAGTTTTCTCAGACTCCTCATCTGTAAAATGAAAGTGAGGTTAGGCATGGTGGCTCATGCCTGTAATCCCAGCACTTTGGGAGGCCAAGCTGGGAGGATTGCTTGAGACCAGGAGTTTCAGATCAGCCTGTACAACATAGGGAGACCCCGTCTCCACAAACAATTAAAAAAGGAATTAGCCAGGCATGGTGGTGTGGGCCTGTAGTCCCAGCTACTTGGGAGGTGGAGGTGGGAGGACCCCTCGGCCCAGGAGGTCAAGGCTGCAGTGAGCTATGATCGGGCCACTGTACTCCAGCCTGGGTGACAGAGCGAAACCCTATCTCAAAAAAAAAAAAAAGGAACATTTCACAGGATTGTTTTGAAAATTAAATGAGATAACACATGGGAGCATGCTCTAGAAACCATTGCAAATTGTCGGTTATGTTGAAGCTATAGTTTATAGTCACTGATTAATGCTCATTTGCCAAACAACTATTGCTGGACACGGAGAGCCTAGAGGACTGTTCGTTGGTCCCTACCTGCTTTCTTAACCCTCCTCAAGCCCCCCAGGACAAGCACAGTTGTAAAGGGAATTGGGTCAGCTCAGTCATCCTTTCAACTACATTTACCTATGATGTGCCAGGCCTGGGAATGCGAAGGCCGGGTGGCAGCCCCAGCCCTGGTACCTGCAATCAGAGAGGCGAAGTTCTGCCGGTTCTCTGTGCCAGAGCCCCAGTTCTGCTGGCTCCTTCTCCTGATCTGGGCTCAGGTTTGATGTCTGCTATGGCTGGCCCTCCCTCTGGGAGGATCCCTGCTGCCCCTCCTTTTTGCTGGCTGATATCATCTCAAACCTCTGAGCTCTGATCTCTCCCCGAAGGCTCCATCCTGACTGAAGCCCACTGACATGGCCAGAGCTAAGGGTTCCAGGCCTATTCAGAATCGCCAGTTTGTCCCTGGTTATCTGCTGCTTTCTAGTTACTGACTGTGAGCCACCCCTTCAGAGGAGGCATTGACCCTTGTTGGAGGCTGCACAAATGTTTCTGATGATTAGGCATAATTGAAACCTGTCAGTAACAATATGAACCTGTGATCAATTAAGCAGCTGACCAATCGTTACCTCCTGCTCCTTGCTCTTGTTACCCAATAAATAACGACGGGCTGCAGAAGCTTAGGGGGTTGCCTTTACTCACTAGAAGCAGGAAGACCTTTTCTTCTTCTCTTCTTCCCGATGCTAGCCTTTCCTTAAAAGAGTTACTTTGGTTTTTTTGTTATCATTTCTATGTTCATTCCTTCGTTCAGTCTTGTATGATGTTCTCAGGCAGTAACAGTAGTAACTGCTGTAATGACGGTCTCAAGTAGTAACTGTGGCAGTCAGCCATAGACCCTGTCCATGCCACGCAATGTGTGACCCCAATGCACAGCTACAGGTTCCTTTAAACTCTGGAGACAAGGTCAGAAAGTGACATCCTCAGGCCGGGCGCGGTGGCTCAAGCCTGTAATCCCAGCACTTTGGGAGGCCGAGGCGGGTGGATCACGAGGTCAGGAGATCGAGACTATCTTGGCTAACATGGTGAAACCCCGTCTCTACTAAAAATACAAAAAACTAGCCGGGCGTGGTGGCGGGCGCCTGTAGTCTCAGCTACTTGGGAGGCTGAGGCGGGAGAATGGCGTGAACCTGGGAGGTGGAGCTTGCAGTGAGCCGAGATCGCGCCACTGCACTCCAGCCTGGGAGACACAGCGAGACTCCGTCTCAAAAAAAACATATCATGGACTGTGAACAAGTGTCAGGTATCAAAGAAAGTGACATCCTCTAAGACTGAGTTAATTCAAAATAAATGTACTTAGCCCTCTGAAGAGTGGCTGAGAGTGTGGCATTGAGCATCCCAGATTTGAGAGCCAAGACCAGAGAGTGAGACCCAGCAGCCTGGGTGACTTTAGGCAAACCCTCCAACCTGTGAGCTCAGTTCCCCCAGAGGCGGCAGACCCCTGCCCTACCCGCTTCATGAGATTACAGTGATAATCAGATAAGACAGTGGATGTTAAGTGCTTTGAGGTAAAAGATGGTTTGTAAACCTTGAGTCTAGAGTTGCTAATTTTTAATCAGCGATCGTATACTGTTTTATAACTTGGCAAGCATCAACTCATTTAATCCTCTCAACAATGCTACAAGTAGATGCTATTATTATCTCCATTTTGCAGATGGGGAAACAGGTACAAAGAGGCTAAGTACTTACCCAAAGCCAGTAAGTTTGCAAATTACGAAGTTCAGGTTTGACGTTTGGTCGGCCTCACTCCAGAAGCTACACTCTTACCCACTCCCCTTGACTGTATCTTTGGAATATCCTGTTCTACGCTTACGCTGACTAAACAGTCCTCTGATGTGTAATTTATTCTGAGAGGGCCTATTTATCAAGAAGGAATATTCGGCACAGGTACAAGGCCCTAACTCTTGAATCCAGCAAAGCTTCTGATATAAATTAGCATATTTTCATTCTGGTCTTGGTTAATACAAGTCTTTGACTTCGGGTGAGCTGAGATTATTCAACTTCTGTGTCAGCAGAGCTTGAAAGAAACTTGGGCTATGTGGTGAACTGCTCCTGCCCCCTGGAGAGAACTGCTTCCTGCTCCACCCCCACTCTGCCAGGATGACTATATCTTTTGACCACCACATGATGTACTGGGATGGGCTGAAGCCTATCTGGGCTGGTATATGTGTCCATTGGTAGTTCTAGGCATAGTAGATAGATGTTTGGGATCACTTATGAAGAAAGATGAAAACCAAGTTATCTTAAGAGCTCATTCCAGAATCCCCATAAAGAGGAAACACTCCAACAGGAAAACATTGAAATATGCCACACTGAGAAGAAGGAGGTAACTCATGCTTTAGGAGGTGTTAGGAACCCAGGGGCAGCAAAGGAAAATCGCTGCAAAGCTTTGCCTGCACCAGGGGAGGATTTTACAGTGTGGATGGACGCCTCGTGTTCTATCAGGAGTAGTTTCTGTTTGTGTGGCAGGTAACCCTGTCACATGTCTATCTCCCCACCCTCCACCCTCTGCCGTAACCTCTGCTACACTCACAGATGCTTTGTGTGGCTGTAGGTTTGGTAAAAGTTTATGGAAGGAGCTAGTTGGTGCCCAGGCTGACACATGTAGAAGGGAGACTTCTAGAATCCACAGGAATTTTGGTTCCCATGTTTTCAAAGCCCATAGACCACTAAATAAGCGTTCAAAATGATTTTATGTTGATCTCAAAGGGGCCAGGAGACTGGCATCTGAGTTGTGTTTAATAAACGCTAAGGACTCTGCCAGCTGTCACTCATGCAGACAGGGATGGATCAGAGGCCTGCTGGAGATGACAGGAGGAGATGAGGATGATGACGTGGCAGGAACAAGGGACTGGGGACCCAGCATGAGAAGCTGAGGGACGGAGCTACCAAGCTGACCTCCATAAGAATCCTCATTCATCCAAAGTGTCCCCACCCAGACCTAACTCAGTCTGTTATTCCTTTGTCACTCAAAGCCATCTAGGATGCAAAGTGCCTACTACTGGGGAGTCAGATACTATGGAGGAATATTTGCCTTCTTTGTTGTTTCATGACTTTTTCCTTAGACTTTTTTTTTTTTTTTTTGAGACGGATTTTGCTCTTGTCACCCAGGCTGCAGTGTAGTGGCACAATCTCTGCTCACTGCAACCTCTGCCTCCCAGGTTCAAGCGATTCTCCTGTCTCAGCCTACTGAGTAGCTGGGATTACAGGTGCGCGCCACCATGCCCAGCTAACTTTTGTATTTTTAGTAGAAACGGGGTTTCACCATGTGGCCAGGCTGGTCTCGAACTCAGGTGATCCATTTGCATCAGCCTCTCAAATTGCTGGGATTACAGGCATGAGCCACCGCACCCAGCCCCTTAGACTTTCAAGATAGAACTTGGGAGGGGGGAGAGGAAGGGGACAAGCCACAGTCTCCAGCACCATACCTGCAAACAGAGGTCCTGAATCAGAATCCTCCGTGACCTTCAGAAAAATCTGTCAAGAAGAAACAAAGAGAGAATTTTATTTAGTCATTCCTACTCTCAGAAAAATCTAACCCAAGCTCCGTTTTGTTGGGTATTGCTTCATAATGGGAAGAAAACCCATTATGACTCTTTATCTAAGAACATCGTCTTCTATAAATGCAAAAACGTAAGCACACAGTAACCACAACTACATAAAATATGTATGCATACAGAGAAGCGGGAAGTATGCTAAAAATAAAGATAGTTGCTATGCTTGGGTGAGGAATGATGGCTTTTTGCTTTTACACAACTTTGCTCTAACGTTAGACTTTTTCAAGGAACCACCACTTCTGGCACTTGACAGAAACCAGCTGGAATCTCTACTTTACCTCTTCCAGGGGAGTGTCAGAAATTCCAAAACTGCTGAGACCAAGGTCAGCCAGCGTTTCCTCCAGCTCTCTGAAAAGGCTAGCATATGCTCTGTGCTTGAAATTCTTACTTGGAAGAAGGAAGATAAGTTCTTGACCAATGCACTCCACCAGCGTTGCCTCTGGAACATGGTGGAGAACTACATCCATCAGCTCATTTACATCCCCTAGGACAAGAAAAAAGACTGATGCCAGCTCTGTTTTCCAGAACCTGGAAGATGGTGAGGTTACCCAGGTTTCCTACTTCTCTCCACCTCCCCTTTGAGGAAGAGGCATTTTGTATCTCGGCAGTGACTCTTTCAGAGGACTGATGCTCCATCAAGTCTGTTTTTAGCTTAGTTGGCCCTGAGATCACCATTGACAGGCAGAGGGAAATGGAAGCAGAGTCCTCCCCACTAGCCAGCTGTGCAACCTGGGGGCGAGGCGGGGGGTGCAGTCATGCAACTTTCCTGTGCCAGTTCCTCCTCTGTTCAACCAAACGTTCTGTCCCCTCAAGCTATGTTACATTGGGTGGGTCACACTCGAGTTTCCTCATCTGTGAAAAGGAGAAAATAATGGTATCCACTTCATTGTTGTTTTTGAGGACCGGATGAGTTAAACTGCACAAAGCAGTTAGAGAAACACCTGGCACCTAGGTGAGTGCTGGCTGCTATTGTTGTCATTTACATCATCTCGGTAAGAAATCTCTTAGTCATGGTTGTTTTTCATTCTCATTCACTGAAAACTTGAGGGCTAAGTCAAAGTCGTTTTCATTTTTCTGGTCTGTCCTCAGCTATGGGGGACTTGCCCAAGACACAAACCTGGAACCGGTGACCAAGCTGAGTGAGAAGCGCCTTCCCTAAATCATACACCCGTGCCTGCTCTAACTTCTCAGAAGACTGCACAGTTTCTCTTGGGATTGCACCTGCCTCCACAAACAAAACTGAATCCTCAGCTCACAGGAAATGCAGAGGGGGGTTGAGAAGCAATGGGGAGAAGCTGGGGGAGGGGGTAGGATATGGGGTGCATATCATGGACTGTGAACAAGTGTCAGGTATCAACTGTTTATCTGACACATGTATGCATTCAGAATTGAATTTTGTGTACAAGTGTGTATTACCTTAAAATTAAAAATCTAACTGTAAAAACCTCACTTACATACACTTGAAGAGAGAGTTCTCTCACACACTGTCTTGAGAGGCAGGTCAAAGGGAGAGGGATTCCAGGACTCAAAACACAACTCTCAGAAAGCAGCTCTCAGACTTGAGGACACCCAGTAGGTTCTTTTCTTTTATTGTTGTTTAAAAAATGATCCATATGAAGGGATTTCATGGCTTTCAACCAAAATCCTTCTGCCTAGCTGGATTGGAAGTCTTCTTTATGTCAAATCTGCAAGTTGGACTTGATTGTCTTTAGCTCTGGGATGACTTCATACGGAGGCTGGAGAGTCCTTTACCTTAAGGAAGCAGCTCTGCCCTAATCGCTCTCCAGGGGTCATGTTCATTGTTCTCTTAGGAAGGAAATTGAACCCAAAGCTGCTGGATTCCCAGGAATTGTGTCTTAGGCATGTGTCAGCCTTTCCAGAAGTAGCTCTGTAGGTCAGCGGGGCTTTGGGCATCTGGGAGGGAGGTCCGTGAGTGTGTGTGTGTGGTGTGTGGGTGTGTTTGAGTGAAAAGACTTTCAAGGAGCTAACTGAGGATTAAATGATTTTCCCTGTCTTATTTGAGGCCTAACTATGGACTGCATTTCCCACCATTCACGGCATCCCGATTCTATACAAAGAAAATCTTCATTTAGAAATAAAGTAATTGAAAAAAAAAAAAGAATCATTCAGCCACTCAGGCCTTGTTTCCAACCCAGTTTTGGCAAATCACAGTAACTTACCATATTAGTATTAATTTAAAACAAATATAAACTTCTTGACCAAGATTCAGAGAGTGGGGCGATAGATAACCACAGGAAGGCAGGCTAGGAGGAAGACCCAGAAGTGTCATCCTAGAAAGATGTTTTCTGTTCCTCACAGGGTCTCTCAGTGTAAAGAGAAGGCAGGTGCATGAACCGTGACGACGGCTCTCTGGGCATGTTCCCTCCAGTTGTAATGATCGGACGACACAAATATTGTCCGGTTCTCTTGCTTCACCGGACTTCAGTCAGTAAATTCTTAACATTTAGAAAAAGTTTGTGCTAAATAGAAAAATGTGCTTTTTCTTTGATAAGCAGATACTTTCCCCATTCATTAACTTGTATCAGTACATAAGTTTAGTTTTGCTCCTGTGTGGGAATCTGTTTCTCACATGTTCTCTCACATAGAGAGGGGATAGCCTCTCTACTGCAGCTCCCTGGAGATGGGAGCACCCCTGAGCGCTTCCGTGCATCCTAATTAAAGGGAGACTCACTGGGAAGTTGGGAAGCTGAGGGGAGAATCAGGAGTGTAATAGGAGTGTATGCTATTTCCAGACTTGCCATCCAGACTTGCAATCTGACTCCACAAGTTCACTGGAAGAGCCGTGCATCACCATGCTTCCACTAGAGGGCGCCATGTCACACATGTAAAAGAAGCTCTCCCCGGACTAAGGAATGTGGCCTGGAGCCAGGGCAGGGAGACCCCAGGAATGAAGGCTTACTAAGGGTAAGAGCAGAGTGTATTCCTAATTAAAGGCAGAGGGCCCTTAGGTGCATGTCTTTTAAAATCCCTTTGGGAATGAAGGAAGGTGGACGAGGAGAAAGAAGCTCAAAGCGAAAGAACAACTGCGTGACCTTGAGAAGTACACAGTGTTCTCTTTGCTCCCATTAAAATGCATCACAACAGGACACACCCAGCAATAGTGGGAGATGGCTGCCAGACAGGAACCCAAGTATGGCCCGTCCAGTCCTTACCATCCAGGACTTGTTCTGGAGTTAGGTCATCGACGTGGGCTGGACAAGTGGTGGAGAAACTCTTAGACGCGCAGCTGCAGGTCCCCTGCAACAGACAGATGGACGGGATGACTGACAAGATACACATCCCTTCAGTGACAGCCTCTCCCTGATGCTGGCTGCTGTCACTGCCTGCTTTATTTATTTCTCACTGCCAAATGTAGTCAACACATTTTTTTCTTCACTGTTTAATCTGTTAATTCATCTGAGCATTCTGAGGGTGTAGTTGCTTGATTTTATCCTAGAGTGTGTGAGTCACGCACAGAGAGCAGCAGAACCTCCAAGGGTCCCTTTGGCTTGTCTTCAATTATGTGGCAGCTGTAGGTTCTGCCTGTGGGAGACATTCTGCGCCTCCCTCGCTGTGGATGGAAACAGGAAACCCCAGCAGCAGCCAGACACTTAAATCAGAGGCATAAATAATGTTGCCATGTCATATTCGTGACCATTTGAATGTGAGCGATGCCTGTTCTTAAGAAGCCCAGAGCACATTTATAATACTTTATCTCATTTATCTTCACATCCCTAAGAAGCAGAAGCAGAGGTCATCAGCTTCATTTAACATGTGAAGATGAAAAAAAAAATAAAAAAAAATAAGGAGGGCCTTTCAGCCAGAACCGCCATCTTCCAGTAATTCGCCAAAATGACGAACACAAAGGGAAAGAGGAGAGGCAGCCGATATATGTTCTCTAGGCATTTTAGAAAACATGGAGTTGTTTCTTTGGCCACGTATATGTGAATCTATAAGAAAGGTGTAGACATCAAGGGAATGGGTACTGTTCAAAAAGGAATGCCCCACAAGTGTTACCATGGCAAAACTGGAAGAGTCTACAATGTTACCCAGCATGCTGTTGGCATTGTTGTAAACAAACAAGTTAAGGGCAAGATTCTTGCCAAGAGAATTAATGTGCGTATTGAGCACATTAAGCACTCTAAGAGCCGAGATGGCTTCCTGAAACGCGTGAAGGAAAATAATCAGAAAAAGAAAGAAGCCAAAGAGAAAGGTACCTGGGTTCCACTGAAGCGCCAGCCTGCTCCACCCAGAGAAGTACACTTTGTGAGAACCATTGGGAAGGAGCCTGAGCTGCTGGAACCTATTCCCTGTGAATTCATGGCACACTAGGTGTTAAAAAAAAAAAAAAAAAAAGACCTCTGGACTGGAAAAAAAATAAGGAGGAATTAAATAATTTGCCTAGGATGACACAGTTTGTCCACTTGGCAGCACAGACATAAAACTGGGTCTCCTGATGTGCTGAAGTGGTCTCCGTTGGTTGGTATATTTTGGCTTCGTTTTTATGTTATAGCACCCAAGGAGGCCTCCTCTTAGCCTTCACTTACCACTGAAATTCAGGTTTAATTAGGGAATATGAATGTTGAAATGAAAAAAGAACGAAGTTTAACCAATTGCTCTTAAAACAGCCTAACCTTACAAAATAAGACACTCACTTCTACGTTGCACCAAACCACATCTGAAGCTTGGGATCCTGGTGTGTAATCTGGCATGTAATAATTGCAGACCATTTAAAGCTAGTTGTTTCATTTTGGCTACAGCATCTCTGTAGGAGGAGGCTTCAGAATATGTTCATCGAAATCTTCTGCAAATGGTCCCAGAACAAAGACACTGATTCTGATGACGAGAGCCTGTGTGAGTAGCCCTGTCTGCAGTGGCAGCCCCGTGCTGTGTGCTCCTTCTCACCCAGGCCAGGGTCCTTCCCTGGGCAGACACCTACCTCACTGCCTTTCCTTTGGCTCTGGATGTTTTTCATCTTGCGCACCAAGGTTAAGTACAAGCCCGTGCCAAAGCAGTTCTTCAGGAAAAGCGGGGTGCCTGAGCAGTAGAGCCTTCCCTGGGCAATGATGGCAATGCGATCCCCAAGGAGGTCGGCCTCGTCCATATGGTGAGTTGACATGATGATGGTTCTGCCTGCAAGGTAGGGGCCAGGGCAATCACCAGCCCTGCCCTGGGTTAGGTGTGGTTGGTAAAGGGTGTACAGCAATTTCCTGGCTACATAGTTGCAAAAATCAGGAATTAACTAAAAAAAATCCAAGGGAACTAATTCAGCAGCAAATTCCAGGATATTAGGACAATAATAACTAACATTTCATAGCATCCTACATACTGTAAGGCATTGCCACACACAGTGTCTCTGCATCCAGCATAGGATCTGATTCAAATAAATCTCCATATTAGGGGCTTATGTATTATGGTCAGCATCTAGTGAGTTTCATACATACATTTTCTGGATCATTAAGCTTTGCATTTGTAATCTTCATAAAGAACACACACGTGCATACTCTCCCTAACTGGAGATGTCATTAAAAGGAAACAGCAGGCCAGATGCGGTGGCTCACGCCTGTAATCCCAGCACTTTGGGAAGCCGAGGTGGGCAGATCATCTGAGGTCAGGAGATCAAGACCATCCTGGCTAACACGGTGAAACCCCATCTCTACCAAAAATACAAAAACCATTAGCCGGGCATGGTGGCAGGCGCCTGTAGTCCCAGCTACTCGGGAGGCTGAGGCAGGAGAATGGTGTGAACCTGGGAGGCGGAGCTTGCAGTGAGTGGAGATCATACCACTGCACTCCAGCCAGGGCGACAGAGCGAGACTCTGTCTCACAAAAAAAAAAAAAAAAAATTTGAGGAAGAAAACAGCAATGAGGATTCCAGGATGACAAACCCTCAGAGAAAGGCACAGGGCAATGCTGTGTGAGTAGAGTGAGGGGAAAGCTCTGGCTTGATCATGGGGTTGAACCATGCTATTAACCTCTATGGGCACTCAGCTCTGCCTGCTGTGTCTTCCAATCTGAGCCCCTTGTCTGAGAGGTGCCATGACAGAGGAGCCACTTCCATCTGCGGCCATCCTCTGGAGCACCGAATGCCCACCAGGTCACCTTCACACTGGTCCTGAGTGGTCATCTGACAGCTGTGGAGCTTCTAGGTATGTCTGCAGGTGACCTGGGTCCCCATGGGCAGACAGGACTTTCACCTAGAGTAGCATCCATCATTTCAGACAGAAGGGCTGCAGGTCGAGAGAATTTTCTAAAATATTTTCGGAAATAGGTTGCCTCATCAATGATTCCCTGTTTATATTTTTAAAAACCTCAGGAGGCTTTAGTTGGAACTTAGATTCACCAAGTCACTGACAAACCCCCTTCTAAGTGTAGCCATGGTGGTTCCTGTACTCAGCTATGCCAGGTGAGAGAGTGGGGACCACAGGTAGAGCCACAGTGAGAGCCCAGGAGACTGAGCAGTGGCTGTTACCTGAGCGATACTTCAGGAGCAGGTCCCAGATCGAGCGTCTTGAGTAAGGGTCCACCCCAGAGGTGGGTTCGTCCAGAATCACCACCTTGGCATCTCCCACAAAGGCAATGGTGACTGACAGCTTTCTCTGCATGCCACCTGGAGGCACAAGAAGGATAGAAGAGTTAAGGGACTGTGGAGGGTGGGGACGAGAAAGGCCCAGGGCCAGTGGCATTGTGGGGGCACCCTAATCCAGCAGCGGTTTGATGCTGCCTCTTAGATGTTCATAGCGTTCAAAGCCCTAATACTGTTGAGGCTTTGTAAATGCAGAAAGGGCAACCATCGCCTCCTTGGATCAGACCCTTTGAAGACTGTTCAAACACATCAACCTCAGGACAAATAAAACCCAGGCTGCTGTGAGACACTGCTCTGCAGGGATAATGCTCTGGGGGCTGCTCTTAGATTTTTTGGGTAACTTCACAGAGGTGTTCCCACCCTTAGAAGCTCTCCTGCTCCAAGCCTCCCCTGCCTCCTGGGTGCACTGGGAAGTCATGGATTTGCCATCTGTGGCCCTGTCTCCATCCAACTCCCAGCACCTGATAGATCCTGAGCCTCTTCATTCCGCTTGTGGTGGAGGCCTGTGTCCTCCAACATGGCCTCCATCTCCAGCTGGGCCTCCTCCCAGGACTTTCCTTTCAGCTGGGCATAGAACAGTATGTGCTCAGCCACCGTGAGGCTAGGAGGACGGGACAACGAGAAAAGCAATGGCTCAGCACTTCCACTTCTAGCAGCCGATCTTACAGAAATAATTGAGGACAAGTATTCTTGATTTAGCAATCAAGATGCTCACTGCAGTGGTGTTTATGATACAAAACAAAAATAGCAGACCCTGCTTAAACAGCTAATAAGAGGATGGCTTACATGGTTCATTCATACAATGGAATAGTCTGTAAATATTAAATATTATTTTATAGAAGAATATGTAATGACATGAAAGATGTTCATGATATCTTATGTTTTAAAAAGCAATCCTTTTTTGAAAAAAATGTCAGGTTATAAAATTGTATGCATAGTTTTACTATTCTTTATGATTTTAAGGTATATGTGTTTATCTATCTATACATGTATAGGAGAAAGTTCTAAAAAATTATATACCGATATGTTAACAGTGGTTATCTCTGAGTAGTGAAATTACAGGTGACTTTTATTTTCGATTTTTTGTTTACCTATATTCCCTTCCTCCCTCCTTCCCTTTCCTTCCTCCTTCCCCTTCCCTTTTCTTCCCTCCCCTCCCCTCCCTTCATCCCCTCCCTCTCTCCCTTTCTTTTTTCCTTCACTCCTTCCTTCCTTCCTTCCTTCTTCCTCCTTCCTTCCTTTCTTACTTCCTTCCTTTTCTTCCTCCCTCCCTCCCTTCCTTCCTCCCTTCCTTTTTTTTCTTTCACAATGACTACGCATAGCTTCTTAGATAAGAAATAAAAGATACCTTATTGGGGGAAAAAAGTAACTGAAAAGCCCCCTGAAAAGTTTGCCTTTCATGCCGTGGCTTACACAGGAAAAAGGAACAGTGGTCCTCCTGTCTTTGGTCCCTGAAAGGAAGTACTTCAGGGCTGCAGAAGGGGCTAGGGGATCAATCAGCTGCTCTGTCAGAGTGAAGGCAGCCTCACCCTTCTGAGGGGGGAGCCCTCAGCTCTGAGCGGCAGAGCCAGAGTCCCATATTCTGAGGGAGAATTCTCACTGCAAGTAGGACAAAGGACCTTAAACATGGGGGAAACCAAATAAGAGTCTGTATCTCTGCCTGTGCCCAGGCCCAGCACCCCTGAGCTGGGCTCTAGAAAAGTGTGCTGGGGGCAGAGGTGAGGAGACGGGATGGGGAGGTCTCAGTTCCTGCGTTGCTTACTGGTGGAACAGGATGTTGTGCTGTGGACACATGCCAAGGCTCTGCCGGATTGCATCCAGGCTGGTTTCAATGTCCCTTCCCCCAACGAGCACAGTCCCAGAGGTTGGTGGCAACAGACCCGTCAGGATGGACCTGCGGAACACAGGAGTCAGTGGCAGAAGAGATGGCCTTTAGCAACATGCCTTAGGAGGGCCGCCCCACACCGTGTTCAGTGAGAACTCTCACTGGATTCCTGCCTGAGCTGTCAATCAAACCCAAACTGCTATTAGCTGTGGGGCCCCCTTAGCACCAGCGTATGCATCCAGGCCCTAATGCAGAGGGCCACCTCGGCCGTCCTTCTCTGCTACTTATTTCCTGGGGCTCCCAGGCCAACGCTGAGGGCCTCTGGGATTCCCAGCCTCAGAATGTTCATGTGCAGTCACAGGTATCCCCGGCTCAGCCATCATGGAGCCTGGTGTTGGAGAGGATCAATAAAAGGTGTTTGGTGCATGACTCAAGGCTTTGCCTCTTGGGTGAGCAGTCATGGCTATTGAAAAGCCAGGTGTCATCATCATAAAGCCAGGTAAGGTCTTGATGAAGGCGATAACTCTAAGCAGTCCTAGGCATTTGTTGATTAACTGATGGAAGCCAGGCATGGGAATTACCACCATCAGTATTAGCTTTGCATCCAAAACATAAAAAGCCCAAGAGCAACGGTGGGCATTTTTTTTTTTTTTTTTGTAAAATGGGAACTATGACTCCCGTGTCCCTAGGTTGTTGTAAGGCTTAAATGAGTTAATACACTTACAACATTAGAACAGAGCCAGCATAAAGTAAAACTCAAAAATATGATCACCGTTAGTATTAAACATTGTTTTAACCCCTGGGGGAAGTTGCATGTCAGCAGCTGATGAAGTAATGTGTTTGCCTTTGCGGAGCCCTGGGGTGCTGGACTTTGCTTCCAGCTCTCTGACCCTATCAGTTAGCACGGAGAGACATCAGATGGATGCAGGACCGCCACACCCAGCTCTGTCCCTGAATTCTGATACCATCTCAGGCTATCTGAACTTGTCCTGATGGAGAAGCTGAAATCTCCGCGGATCAACCACTAGAGGGAAACAGAACCAAATAGAATGGCACCGGCCGCACATTCCATTCACACTGAACCGCCCTAGAGAACATTCCATCACAGGGTGTACACACTGCTGTTCCTTCCTGGGGCTCTCCAAAGGACGTGAAGACTGTGTCACGTGGGTTCACTGCCCCCTGCGAGGTCCATGTCTGCTGCTCCTTGGGAAACCATGGCGGGCCCTGTTCTCCTCTCAGCAGATGGCGCTCGGGTCCCTTGGAGGAGAGTGGGACGCCTGCGGAGCTGACAGGTCCACGCAGAGCCCTTCGCCTTCCGTGCCCTGACCTTCTGTTGCCAGGCGGTTACTCCACAGGCCCCTCTAGAGACTGATTTTTTTTTTTTTTTTTTTTACTTTCTCCAGAACTACCACTAACCCTCATCAGCTGATGTTGAAGCCTGCCTAATGATCGGCAGGAAAAGGAATTTTCCTTGAAAATAGCAGGACTCTGCCTGGTGTGGTGGCTCATGCCTGTAATCCCAGCACTTTGGGAAGCTGAAGTGGGCAGATCACCTGAGGTCAGGAGTTTGAGACCAGCCTGGCCAACATGGTGAAACCCTGTCTCTACTAAAAAAAAAAGAAAAAGAAAAAAAATACAAAAATTAACTGGGTGTGGTGGTATGCACCTGTAGTCCTACCAACTTGGGAGGCTGAGGTGGGAGAATCGCTTGATCCTGGGAGGTGGAGGTTGCAGTGAGCCAAGATCACACCACTGCACTCACCACTGCACTCCAGCATGGGTAATGGAGTGAGACACTGTCTCAAAAAAAAAAAAAGAAAGCAAAGCAAAGAGAAAGGAAATAGGGAAATAGCAGGACTCAATACTTCCGTGCACGTGATGACAGTGGCCATCACTTGATCACCACCATGGACTGTTGGGATGGGGGAAAGACTCAAGATGTGAGAAACAAGAGGCAACCGCGGTGCCTGGCTTTTGCCCCCACTGAGCCATGACAACTCGGTGGCCTCAGGAAAGTCACTTCAACTCTCTGAATGAATGTCCACTTCCCCGGCACACAAAAGGGGCAATAAACTTATTCTACCTCCCCCTCAACAGAATACATATGAGTGAGCTTTGAATACTGCAGCAAGCTTTTACACATTCTTGGGGCCACAAATATTTGTCACTAAACTTTGTGGGAAAGAGGGGACAGCCGCTGACAGGGAAAGACTAAGCCAGGAAATGACAGGCTAGCACGGCAGCCAGCTTCTCTGCTGGAAGACTCACAAGGTGGTGGTTTTGCCTGCTCCATTGTGGCCGAGGAATGCGGTGATCTGGTTCTCGTAGAAGGTGATGTTCAGACGGTCCACAGCTGGCCGGCCATAGGGCTCAAAAATCTTCACCAGATTCTTCACACATACCCCAGGAACCCACCCTGGATGCTCACGTTCAAAGAAGGAGTCTTGGGGGAAAATAATGAACATGATGTAAACATAATGCCTAATTACACGGCCCCAGGGCTTTTTCTCCAGACCTTGTCTTCTGCCTGTAACATCACCTGCCCCTGTAGACTGCAGAATAATAATAGTAATAATAGCATCAAACATTTATATAGCACCTCCTATATGCTAGGCACTGCTTCAACTGCTTTACACAAATTACCTCAATGTACTTTCATAACGGTCCTAAGGTGTAAACATTTATTAGGCACATTTCCATAGCCGAGGAAACCTCAGACACAGAGACATCAACTCTCCTATTAAGGACACATAGGCATGAGTGGCAGAGTTGGGATTTGAACCCAGAGCCCATGCTCATCAGAGTGCACTCACTGTCTATAGGGAGAGTTGGCCCCAAGTTCAACCTTGGTCCTAGGCCCTCATTGCCAACAGTCCATGGGGGCATTTCCTCATGAATTTCTGGAAGCGGCTTAGGCTCTTCATCTTCCCAAAACAACATCTGCTTTCAGACTCTCCCATGACCTTTTCTGGACCGCCATTCTCCTAGTCACCTTGGCTTGAATCTTTGAGTTGACTTTGACTAAGGCTTCTTGCTCCTCAGAACTCCCAGAGTTTTCCAATTAGGCGGGTAGGGCAGTCCATGCTTCCCCATCACCATCCCTCAAATCCCACTCCCCTCCTTCCTCCTCCCATGCCCCCTCCACTGCAGACCCTCACCTAGTGCTCTCACTTCTCCCTGACCTCCCGTCTCTCACTGCTTCATTTCACCCTATATGGCACAGCTTAATTTGTCATCTTAATACTGTAGCTCTAAGCATTTGTTTCCCTAGGGGGAGAAATTCCACTGTTTCTTCTGTCTGTGCCGCCTGGTCTTGCCTGCAACTGAGGTGGAATCAGTCCCCAGCCTCCTGATTTCAGCCTCGACTTTCCACTGTGGGAGGAGGATTTGCCCAGAGGCATGGTGTACTGCAGTGGGCAGTGGTGGGCTGGAGGGATAAAAGCCAGACCCTCTCCTGCCCTGTCAGGCAGAGCCCGGGGGCTGTGCTGCCTGTCTAAACCCAGAGCATTTTGGCCACAGAGAAATGCATATGCTTAGGGAATGAAAAGCCTTGGGAAAAATACAGAACTAGTTTAAGAGAGAAGATGAGGGCAGCAAAAGCCAGGAAAAACACAACTTGTAAACCTGGGTCATCAGTTTAGGGATTATTAGGTAACTTCCACTGTCAGGAAAGGCTTCTGATGGTTTCAATGAATGGCCTTCTAGATTTGTAAGCCGTAAGTGAAGTGTAGTCAGCTCCCCTGGAGTCTCTTTTCCCCTGGACACAGAAGCATTTATTTTTGTCTTTCCTTATAGCTCATATCCGCTTTAAGTCCCAGTGACCAAAGTTATTGTTCTTGCTAAATCCTCGGAAGTCAGCACATTTGTGCAACCCACTTGGGATTTGCCTAACAAGGGCACAGGCACACTACATAGTTGGTATTTGCTTTCTCCAGGAAATATGCGCTAATGTCTGGGCTGAACCATTCATTCCACACACATGCAGATGGACCTCTGAGAAGCGATCTGGTTTAACACTTGTCAACAGAGAGAGTCAGTTTCCTGGGCTTCTTTCCACCCTTGCCATGAGATGTTTTGCTCTGGCCCTCTGCAGTGCTTAGAGCCTTTTCCTCGCCTCTGCTGTGCATTCTTTATTGGGGTTTTACCGTGTATTCCTTCTGGGTGTTCCGGATCCTCCGTTTCCTCTGTTAGGGGCTCGGTCTTTTCCAGGGCTCTTTCTTCTCTGGTTGAACACCCTGCACCAATCAGAAGCCAGTGTTACTCTACCTCTGGGAGCTGAGAACCAGCAAAGGCAGGAAAGGAGGGGAGAGGTACGGGGAGCAAATGAGTTTCCTAGCCAGCCTCTGACCTGCTTTAGGGCTGTGAGGTACTCAAGCATGATCGCACAATCTTTGCCAGTCCCAGAGGAAGATTTGTAACAGGAGCTTCAGACTTGGAGAGTTTCACCTCCTCCTCTCAAGGTGCCAGGAGGAGCCCACAGTTTCAGAAATTGTGATTTTTAAAAAATTAAGAAAACCAGTTTTGAATTTGAAATGAGTTAATTTTCTTTAGCCCACCACTGGTCCATTTTACTCCAATCCACAACATGTGAAAGTCATGGCGAACCTTGAGTAAAAGTCTATTCAGGGGCCAGATGTGGTGGCTCACCCCTGTAATCCCAGCACTTTGGGAGGCCAAGGCCAGCAGATCACAAGGTCAGGAGTTTGAGACCAGCCTGACCAACATGGTGAAATCCCGTATCTACTAAAAATAAAAAAATTAGCCGGGTGTGGTGGTGCTCACCTGTGATCCCAGCTACTCAGGAGGCTGAGGCAGGAAAATCACTTGAACCCGGGAGGCGGAGGTTGCAGTGAGCCAAGATAGCGCCACTGCACTCCAGCCTGGGCGACAGAGTGAGACTCTGTCTCAAAAAACAAAAACATAAACAAAGTCTATTCAAAGTGCTATGACGGCCAGCCAGCTTAAACTACAGCTTGAGAAATGGTTTACCTGAGAAATTCACCTAGATGGGCATTTAAGTATCTTGGAATTAACACCAGGGTTGAGCCTGGTGATGGTATTAATACAAGCCTGGACAAATTGTGAAGTGTGGTATAAACACACACATTGCACACACACACACAGACACTTTTTGGCAAACTTGGCATTTGGTTTAAAAAGACATCAGGACATCCTGGAAGGGGAAGAGAAGCAGAAGGACCAGTCAGTCTGCCAGACAGGAAGGCAGGGACAGGAGGAAACCACTGTCACCAAGCATCCAAGGGCTCTCGGCCTCAAGTGCACACACAAGAGCAGGGCGAGATTTCTCAATGCAACAGCCACCCAGGGCCCCTCTGTCCCCTGCCCTCTGAAAACGTGCAGGAAGTGTGCTGGAGCGGCAGGTAGTGGGCCTGGTGGTCAGGGACCTGCCGCCTCTAGTACTGTTCTTCTACTTCTGCTTCCTGAAGGACTTTTGAATCTATGCCCCACGGTTCCTTTGATCACTTTACTAGCTATCAAACTGCACAAATAGGTAATGAAATAGCAAGAGGAAACATCCTCTTAAAGAGTTTAATCACTGGAATGAGTTTCCTGCCAGGCAATATATGTGCAAGTTCCAGATTTTGTCCCAAGTGACCAATGGGGGAAGATACTGGCTGTCTCCTGGGCTCCATTTTTTATTTTTTAATCTGTGAAAGGAGGGAGGTTGGGTAGAGACCCTCAGCTCTTTTCTGGTTTAGGAGAGTTTTAGAAATCCATTTCAGTCCAGCCTATGAGACAGGTGAAAAATATTTGCCTCCCGTTGGCAAACATATTTGTGATTCACTTTTGAAGGAGCATATTTTTCTTATGACTTCTTTTTTTCCTAAGAGGCAGAGTATCTGTTGGGATTGTAGAGAAAAAAAAAATGCCCACAAGCCCTGATATTCATTGACATTAAAAACATTCTAGGAATACACCCCTGTGCTGAAATTTTTCATTTATTATATGATAATTTTATTATAGTAAACAATTAACAAGTTTATAGGTAGACAAGATGAATAAGCCAATACAATGAAAAAATCTTGAGCTGTTAAAGTGCTGTTTGTTTGATCCAGTGAAAACAAAAGCAAAAAAACAAAAGAAAAAAAAAAAACAAAAAACCTGGCCAAGCGTTTTAAAGGCCCTAGACTAATCCCCTAGAGAAAACAAACATCAATCTCAGTGCTTACAGGATAAGTCCTGGCCCAGGCCCAATAATACAAAGTAAAGAACAGGTAGGTGAGCAACAAACAGATGGGAGAGTACTTCCTTCGCTTGCAGAACCTCCCAGCTCTAGGGGAGCCCCCCGCTCACACTCTGGAATTTCTTTGCTTTCTCAAACCTCACAAAAGAGTCTGTTTTTCCCTGCTTCTAGAACTTTCTCTAGTTAGGCCTCCAGTTTGGTTCAGTAGTAAAGGCGCCTTTTACCTAAGATGTGTTGTGGGCAAATGCCCTTTCAGCCTTCTTCCCCACCCCTAAGAAAGATCAACACCAGGAGAATCTGAGGCATTACGGTGAAGATCAACAGCTCTGCCTCAGCCCCAGGAAGCGTCTGCATCTTGGGAGAATAAACTTACTTATATTTGGAAAAGGCAGAGAAGAATGAAAAGGCACGAGGAAGGCAGTGGGAGACGAATGCAAAGGTTCCTTCATGATTCCCTGGATTTCTGCTTTATACTGAAAAGCTGCAAAAGTTCTTTGAACCCTGAAGTGGCTTGGCCTTTTTTAAATAGGGCAATTTAGTCTACTGGACAAAGTGTCCAGGACACAGGGCTTTATCCATGATCAGCCATTCATGATCACACAGGACCCAGCGACTCGTAAAAGGTGGGCTCCCAGACGCTGCAATGCCTATCAAGGGGCAGAGTCCCAGAAGGCAGCTGACTCATCAGGAATCACACCGTTTACATAGAGGGCCACCTCTGTGACCCATGTGCATCCTGCACAGAGCCCAAGGAGCTGATTTCAAACATTCAGATTTGTGTTTTAAAGGACTCACCTTCACCGCCAAGCCAATACGACTCTTGCAGAAGAAAGTACCAAGGAAGCGGGGTTCCATAGTCTCCTAAAAATAAAAACAAATAAACAGAGAAGGTCGAAGGAATCTCCCTATCCTACCTTACCGCAGTTCTATAAGATCCAGAGTTTATCTACCTCAAATTGTAACTACAGATATTTGTAGTTATCATTACACGGCTATTCTCAGGCTCCTAGAAAGACTTCTCCTTCCAACATATTTTTATCCACACAGCCATGTTTTTGGGGTGTTATAAGCAACAGCAAGACCAATAATCTTGGTTGACATTAGTTTTCCAAAAAAATGTTTCATGAGATTATTAAATCAAGTCCTTTTCCAGGAGTCAGATAATAATAATGGTGATCATCACTAACATGTACTGGATATTCTTTCTGTGGCAGGCATTGCTGTGAGTGCTTTCCATGTGTTAAATAATTTAAACCTCAAAACAATCCCAGGAGGTAGATAGTAATATTATTCTTGTGAGAAAGGAAACTGAGGCACACGGAGCTTGGGCCATCTACCCCTGGTCACAGATAGTTGCCCCTGGTCACAGAGAGTTAAACAGAAATGTAGGAATTCCAACACAGGTAATCCAGTTCTAATGTCACTGTTTTTAACTCTACACCCCCACCCCTCATTCTGCTGGATCCACCAGGGTTCCAAGAAAAAGACCCCCAAATTTCTAGTCCAGTTCTCTTTGAAAGTTCTGTTCCCTACAAAATGTTGATTTTGTAGAATCATGGTCTCAGCTTTTTTTAAGAGTTGCCATATGTTTCATGGCCTTTGCTGCCATTGAACTGTCTATTCCTCGGGGCAGGTCTGGATCTTTATCTCCACTGCTCTATTCCCGGAACTTGGCCCTGCTGAGCCTCACACACATGTGCTGCTCAGTAAATAGCTGGTGAATAAATGAAAGCTTTAGCTTGGCTAAAATAAAACTTTTGAATTATGCACAAATTTCAATTTTAATCAACTAATTTTCATCTATTATATTTCTTTCCAACAGTCTAGTAGGATAGAAAAAACAGACTAAGTTCAAGTGTCTTGTTCAAAGTCACCGTCATGGGTTGAATTTGGTCTCCCTCCAAAAAGATATGTTGGGGTCTGTGACATAATACAAAATATACTTGGTCTTTGTTCTCAGCTCCTGTGCAGGGCACAGATCTCCTAAAACCCTTGGAATTTCCTGGCAGAAAGGAGTGTCTTTTTTTATTCATAATGAGCCCCTTCCTCCACCACATCTGAGTTTATGCTAATGATGTGACTCAGGGTAGAGCCCCAAGATAGCTGCAGTTTCTTGGGACTGGTCGCCAGAAAGACCACCCATGTGAAGAATGGAACTTTCAGTCCCAACCCTCGACCTCCAGACATGTGAAGAATGGAACTTTCAGTCCCAACCCCCAAACTCCAGTAGGGGAGTAGGGAGCTGGAGACAGGGTTATGAAAACTCTTGAACAACAAGATTTGGAGAGCTTCTGGGTTGCTGAACACTTTGAGGTGCTGGGAGGGTGGTGTGTCTAGAGAAAGCATAGAAGCTCTGCCCCCAATCCCATACCATGCTTCTCTTCCATGTCGCGGTTCCTGAGCTATATCCTTCATTTTAAAGCTGTGATTGTAAGTACAGCACTTTGGCAAAAGTGTGGGTAGCCTGGGCACCACATTTCCAGCTGGCATCTGAAGAGGGGCAGTCTTATGGTACTGAACCCGTGGGGTCTGTGTGAATTCTGGATAGTGTCAGAATTCAATTGAATTCTTGGACAATCCATTAATATAGGAGAATTGGTTGGTGCCAAAACAACAACAACAACAACAACAACAAAAACCAAAACACACATTTGGTGTCAGAAGTGGTGTCAAGAAAAAAGACACCAGAGCGCTAACCCCAGGTACCTCATAATGTGGCCTTGTTTAGGAACAGGGTCATTGCAGACGTGATTAGTTGAGATGAGGTCACATGGGAGCAAGGTAGGCCCCTAATCCAGTCCAGCTGATGTCCTTATAAGATGGCCATGTAAGACAGGGAGAATGCCATGTGCAAATGAAGGATCAGAAGGGTACATCTACAAGTCAAGGAGTGGCCAAGCACCTATAGGTTTCGGAGGGAGCATGGCCCTGCTAACACCTTGATTTTGGACTTCTAGCCTTCAGAGCTGTGAGATATAAATGGCTGTTGTCTAAGCCGCCCAGTTAGTGGTATTTTGTTATGGCAGCTCTAGTAAACGAATGTACCCATGCCACTAGGATGCAAACCCAGGCCTCCTGACCCAGTCTAGAGGCCTTCCTCCTATTGAGGGTGGCTGCCTACCTATTTCTGCCAACAAAGGCTACCCTGAGATGATCTGAGAGCTGTGGGTTTGTCCCTCCTCATGGACTGGACCAGCCTCACTGTCCCTTGCCTACTCTTGGCTACAGCATCAAGAGCCAGGCATGGCTGCTATAGCACAAGAAGGCTGTCGGCTGACTTGGAGACCACTCAGATGAAGGTGAGGCAGCTCTAGTGAGCAGAAAATGCTAATTTGAAGGAAAATTTGATTTTCTACCAAGTAAATACACGACTGTGCAAACAGCCAATTTACAAAAGATGATTTTCCATGCTACAGATTAATTAGATATTTATTCAGTGCCACCAAAGGTCAGGCACTATTCTGGGCACTGGGACTGTCACAGTTAACAAAATAGACCACGTGCCTGCCCTCTGGGCTCATTTCTACTAAGGGCAGAGAGTCAGTAAATACATGCATAAGATACATCATCATATCAGATGGTGAAGAATGTTCCCCAAAATAAAGTAGGGTAAGGGGACGGGAATCCTGAAGGAATGTTGTTTATAGAGCCATAGATATGTAGATCTCTTCAGTCTGGAAAGATCCCTGTGATAATGTGACATTTGAACAAAGACCTTAACAAAGTAAGGAAGCAAGCCTGCAGATATGAGGGGCGGATTGGGGGCTCGGGGGAGAGAAACGTGCTTCTGGCATGAGAACAGCAGGTGGAAAGGCCCTGAAGAGGAAATGCACTTGGTGTATTAAACAGTCAGTAAGGAGGCCGACGTGGCTGGAGCAGAGGAACATGGAGGAGAAGGGAAAATCATGAGATGAGGAAGAAAGTTGGAGGCCAGATAATGAAGCATCTTGGAGGCCAGGATTGAGACACCGGGTTTTACTCTGAACAAGAGGAAAAGCCAGTGGAGGCATTTGACAGAGAGGGCTGACACCATATGACCTTGATTCTGAAAGGATCTCCCTGAATACAGTGTGAAAAATGGACTGATGCGAGGTGGTAGTGGAAGGAAGAGGCTGGGATTGGGAAGGTTGGGTGGTGACAGGAGATCAGATTCTGGATTTGTTTCTCAAGTAAAGCCAGTAGGATTTGCTGGTGGATTTTTGACTTCTAGATTTAAACTTCAAATGCTGGTTCTGACAAAGAGCTTGGAAGCAATGAAATTTAAACTAGATGAATGGAGAGAGCTGGGGATCTGAAGAACTCAATTACCTTTACCCTATAGAGGGGCATGCTTACCTGGAAACACCTGGTCAAGGTACCAAGCGAGTAAGCCGTAGACAGCAGCATCAAGGAGCATCATCTGCATGGACATCAGGAAGCTGAATTCGTCCCCTTCCGTGGGACTGTTCCCGATGTTGCTCCACTGCAGCCCCAGGCCTTGCTCTTCAAAGCGAACCAGGTACTCAGTGCCAAATCCAAATGCCACCGGAGACAGCAGGCTCTGCAGTGAGGCAGAGAGGGCACAGAAAATGAGCAGTGCCTTTTATCCAATGCAACAGCACCCAGATGCCCTCAAGGTAGAGGGGAGGGCCAAAAGAGGGTCCCCATTGCCTCCCAGTGTAAGGTCACCTCAGGAGGGGTGAAGGCAGTCTTTCTCTAGAAACTAGGGGGAGTTCAGAGTGTCTCTCTGCAAACAAGAGAGTCTCTAGCTGTACAGTCACAAAACACATGAAACAATTCTCAGCCCAGCCCTAACCCACAGTTGCGAGACCTATAGCTTCCTAGTGATCTACGTACCCAAGAAAGTGGCCTCAAAGTTCCATCTGCCTACTCAAGATTACCAAAATAGCCCAGCTCTGCCCACAGATGATTCATAAAGATTTCTTGCCACTAATCCATTGTGATCATTTTAGAAAATTGGGTGCTATAAATGGCAGCGATTGATTTCTTATTTAACCTAAGAAATGAAAGGCAGATGCCCTGACACCTCTGGAGCCTAATAAGTGTGAGTCGTGAGAACAAGTCAGACTTTCTGTCTTTTCCCAGCGAGGGCAGGTGGTCATCCCTTCTTGACTCTCCAGCACAGAGACAGGGAGACTCCTGAGGACGAGGGGAACTGCACCCTCCAGGGCCAGAGGCTGATTAGAGGGTGGAAATGGCCCATTTGAAAACAATTAGAGAAAAGACAGTGCTCTTTGTCTGGGTCTGGGAATTGTGAACTAGGAAGTTTCTCAGGCCATCAGAAGTCAGTTTCTGGAGTCCTCTCCTGGCCGGCAAGCCTGACTCTGTGGACAGTCTCATTTCTGCACTTCTTTCTGCAAGCACTCGTAGAGCATGTTAAAGATACTTGTGGAAATACTCCAAGTTTGTTCTGAAGCAAAACAAAAACTTTTAATTAATGGAAACATCTCTTTAGACAGAGAGTAAAGTGGCGAGCTCCTTCCCTTCTGATTCTTCTCAAAGAGTGGGAAAGGAAAGCCAGTGAAATGCGCTGCTAGCTCTCTCTTGTGAGTAAACCAAGGGACCCATGAGTTGAACTGGTTTTTTAATGACTTTCCAGGGCAGATGAATCAAGCAGGTGTGGTGAGGAGTCACTGTTGCATCACTCAGGGTGAGGACTGCTCCCACTTTTGCCCCTGTACCTTTTAGCCTCACATGAACCTTTTAACCTTAGGTCAAAGGCAAAGTGGACGCCCTTAAAGGGCAGGCTGGGTCTTCAGGACTGCTACAGACCCTTCCAGGGAAACGTGTCATAGGACAGGGGCCAGCCCAAGGGCCTCACCACAGCCTTCTTCAGCTCAGCGGTCATGCGGTCCTGCCAGGCGAAGCACAGGATGTGTGGCAGGTAGAGGGTGAAATAGATGACGCCACTACAGGCTGCTGCCACACTGGCCTTGGAGAAGAAGGTGCTGAGCAGGAAGCATAGCATGATGGTGGCAGTGGAGAAAGCCAACAAGAACAGGAAGAGGATGAATGGGTCGCTGTAATGTAGGATTCTTCCATGCTGAAACCAAGAGGCCACGCGTCAGTAATGCCTGCCCTTGTCCGGACGCCTTCTCACTCTGCCCTAAAGGGCTCTCTCCCACGAGCCTGTTGTTACTGTCTAAATTTCTACAATGCACACTCCATGCGCTGAGTTCCTTTAATCCTAGGAATGCCATTTTCCCTGGGAAGAGTAACACATTAGACTCCTATCAGTCATCAGTAATGTTAAAAAAAATTGATTGGGAGACCATTAGGCTGAAACGGCCCCAGCATTCTGTGTTCCTACATCAGCAAACCAAAACCCAACTCAGAGAAAGTTAACTAGTCACAAACTGCCCACTACTTCTAATCAGGCACTTTCCATGTGAACCAATCAAATACTTGCTTTGTTTTTCTTTGTCTTGCTTCCCTACCCCTCAGAGGTGCCCTGAACCACTTGTGATCTGGAGCCTCCTGTGAATCACTGTTTGCTGGAATCAACTCTTTAACATTTTAATGTGCCTAAGTTTCTCTTTTAATAGTATTTATTAAGTGTTAAGTAAGCAAATCCTCGGTGAGAAGAGTGGTAATGTGGAGAAATATGGCTGGGACAAGGGAGGAAGACCTGGGTAGGGCGTCTTGGAGCATCTCCAGGGCCCTGGATAAACCAGGTATATGGGAAACAAAAGAGGGAGATGGGAGGGGACTCCAGAGGAGCTTCAACGTTTTGCCTGGGGCCTGGCCTGCCCGATACCATCATCTGTACTTGATTTTCTGAGATTTGCTACCCACACAGGTGAAAACATCAGTAATTAATCCAAATCACTTGGAAGTGGATTGATCCTTCCCATCCATGAATATCACACAAATACATTTCCTAGCACCTGCTGGCAGTATTCAGTAACTTTCACATTAACCAATGAATCAACCACTTTGGCTATGTAGAAAATAGGACCAAACTAGCAACTTTCACTAGGGGAACTGCTATCCAATTGCACTATAGGATAAACTGAGATTGTCAAATGTATTAGACCTTCTTGGTTATCCTTTGCTGGAGGCATCCTATGAGGCAGTTTACTCTCTGAACACACAAGTGAGTACATAGAACTCATCCTGTGCTCTTCCCAGGAACATAAAGGAACAAATAGGTCCACGTCCTAAACGAGTTCTGATCAATTGGCAGTAGTTCGCTGGAGTTTTGGGTTCCTCTCATAGAAAGGAGAGACCGATGGCAGTATCTGTGACGGGCATGCGAGAGCTGAGTGGAAAGAACGTGCCTTTTGTCTGCTGCGGCTGCCATTTCTCCTTTCTGCTCTCCTGCCTGTGGGTACTGACAGAACAGACTGAAAACAGACAAAACAAATGGCAAGCGGGGGGCGGGGCACAGAAGAGACCCATGCTTAACCAGAACCCAAATCAGAGGAAATCTAAATACAAGTCTAGATGAGGACTCAGAGCTCCTGATTTTGTGTGTCACCCACACGCAGCTCCATAAAAATAAGTCCATGGCTGAACATGTGGCTTTTGGATGGAATCACTTTAAGGTAGTTGTTGCAGTTCTCAGAAGAATGAAATCCATTTCTTTTTTATGTTTATTTTTTTTAGACAGAGCTTTGCTCTGTTGCCCAGGCTAGAGTGCAGTGATACGATATTGGTTCACTGTGACCTCCACCTCCTGGGTTCAAAAGATTCTCCTGCCTCAGCTTGCTGAGCAGCTGGGACTACAGGCATGTGCCACCACACCTGGCTAATTTTTGTATTTTTAGGAGAGGCGTGGTTTCACCATGTTGGCCTGACTGGTCTGGAACTCCTGACCTGAAGTGATCTGCCCGCCTCCATCTCCCAAAGTGTTGGGATTACAGGCGTGAGCCACTGCGCCCGGCCTGAAATCAATTTCTTTCTTTCTTTTTTTTTTTTTGAGGCGGAGTTTCACTCCTGTTGCCCAGGCTGGAGTGCAATGCCACGATCTCGGCTCACGGCAACCTCCACCTCCCAGGTTCAAGCAATTCTCCTGCCTCAGCCTCCCTAGTAGCTGGGATTATAGGCACGTGCCACCAGGCCCAGCTAATTTTGTATTTTTAGTAGAGACGGTGTTTCTCCATGTTGGTCAGGCTGGTCTCGAACTCCCGACCTCAGGTGATCCACCCGCCTTGGCCTGCCAAAGTGCTGAGATTACAGGCATGAGCCACTGTGCCCGGCCTTGAAATCAATTTCTTATCCTTGCTCAAAACAAAGTCCCATAAACTTCTAGGACTTCTAGGACCACAAACTTCTAGGACTTTTCACTGACTTAAGCCAGAGGTGTAACTCACTCTGTGACCCTACAGTTTCACCAGCTGTGGCTTCCTCTGATGGCCACTTTTCTTTTTGTTTCTAATAGCTTGAATAACAAAGGGACCTTCCCATTGTCCCTGCTTCCAGCTTCTTTCCTGTGTTGCTGAGGTGGGGAGGAAGACACAAGGGAAAGGTGGGAGAGTCATTCAAAGGAAAACCCTGTTTTGGTGTGGAAAGCTCTGTTTCCGTCATCACTGGAACAATGTTCTAGTTCCCACAAAGAGAAACCCTTTTGTGCATGAAACTCCTGGTGAACGTTTTTTACCTCACATCATGAAAGCTTTGAAGACCTAATGGCCCATTCTTACGAGGGCAGATCTCAATGCTGCTTATCAACAAGGCAGGCAAAGTCTCATGGCTGTTGCTAGTCAGATGTTTACACATTTTTACTCCTTTAATTCTGAGGACACAAACATGTTGGTACTGGGAAAAGGAGCAGACTGAGGGATGGGAAAGAACAAGGGAACCCTAGATGAGGACAAGGGGCTCAGCTCCTCCCCTCATCTCTTAGAACTTTGGTACCCTTTGCAAATGTAAAGCCACATCCAGGTGGGGTCAGGTTGTTTGAGCAGAATGACCTCTACCTTAGCATTTGTTGTGCTAGGACTCTAGCACAGGGCATAACCAAGGCCACAGATCACTGGATCACAGATCCACACTAAAAAGACAAAACCTTCAGATTTAGTACATTTTACTGTAAGGAGAAAGGGCAAGATTTGGCTTCACTGGAGATGTTTTGTTTGAACAGGATCTGATGGAATATTTGTGGATCAGGTAGGTACCTGATATGGGCCGGCATGGGATGGGAGACACTCAGCCAGTCTGTGGTCACTACACACACTGCCTAGTGTGGTGCAGCACTTCATATCATGATGGGGAAGAAGCAGAACAAGCTCAATCCATCCATCTCTGGAGCCTGCAAAGCCTGAAGTCTAAAAATTATACCAAATTCCATCCAATAAAATATAAAAAATGACCTAAATTTATATCCTTGTCATTTAACAAGTACAAACAATCATCTACGGTGGAGGAGCTAAAAACGAAGGATAGCAACATATTGCAAAATAATGTTTCATTTCCAAGTCTAGCTCTCAGAGGAGTTGCGAGTTTGCAGAGGACAGACCAATGGAAGCTGCCTGTGGCTATAAAAACTCCTTATCACTGAGAAAGGATGGACTCCAAATTCCATCCTTTAAAGAGAGAGAGGTCTTGGAGATTTTTCAGGCAGCAGAATGTTTTTTGGTGAAGCCATGTAGGAGGTGACCATGATGGTGATTAGTAAATAATCCAAATCTCCTCCCCTACTGCTACTGGAAAGGCAAAAGCCTTTCCCCATTTCAACTCTAGCCAGTCGTTACAATTGTAAGCCTAGGAAAACACTCCCTGAACTGATTTCTTCTGTGTTTGGAAAGAGAAGACTACTTTAATTACACTATTACCCTGTGCAGGGCTCTGCTAATAGCAGCTTCTCCAGATGGTCGTGGAATGGGACTGGAAAGTCTGTGTGGACCATGGACCCCTGGGCAGGAAGTGGGAGATGGGAGGATGCTGTGATACAGTGGCTCCTTCGGGAGATTTCGTCTCTCTGAGTGTCTCCCACCTTGGCTAAAAGGAAGGACTGGGAAGCTAGATGTCACGCTCTCTTTGGTGGCCAGATGTCTAATACAGGCACATGAACAGGATGAAAGGGGAGAGGAACCAAAGTATTCAAGATTTTCTGGGCCTTCTCCATTTGGCTTACCATGATGAATATCGTCAGGAGGAAGATGCTCATTGACATGATGGAGAAGCTGTCCAGGAACCAGGTACACCAAATCACTGCATTGGAGACACCCTGATTTTTCAAGGTCTCCTTCAGTCTCAATTCCTTCTCCAAGACGATGCTCTTCACAGTCATAGAGACAGAATAGATCCATGCCAGCACCATGAAGATAGGGAAACAGCGGTTCAGGATGATCATGAAACTAAAGCAAGAGGAGAGAAGCAGAATAGTAGAGTGTTCTGTACCTGGTAGATGCAGAATAAATGTTTGTTGAATTAATGTGTTGAGAACAAAGCCCAGATGGAGGGAAATGAAAACAGGAAAACCTCCCCTGGACATTCAATGGGCTGGAATCTTTTAATACATTCCACGTTAGCCCTGAAGCATTATTTTTTGTTTATAGCAGAGTGCTGGCTTTCTGGTTAGCCCAGGTGAATGCTCTGCAAGTAAAATGTGTCAATAAAATTATATCCTCTATGTGAAAGATCTCCCCTGTTTAAGGCCTTGCAAGGACAAGACTGCAGAGTTGATGATGTGGATGGGATCTGAGTAGATAGCTACATGCTGACACCGAAACCCAAGAGTGTGGAGCACTGACAAGGGCAAGTGGTGGTGGTAAGATCAATAACTTGGCTCCCCAAGGGGTCAGCCACCCCAGCACAGTCTGCCCTGGTAGGTCAAACTCTAGTTACACAAAAAGATACACAAAATAACTAATCAGTTTGGCACTTTCAGAAGGCAAATGATCCATCAATAAATCAGTTATCCAACAGACACTGGCTCCACCACCAGCCATGCACAGGTGGACTAGACCCTGGTATATCCACCCGGCAAACAGGGTAGATTTGATATACTGGAATGACTTTGTTGTGAACTTTACACATGTTTTCCCTGTGTTTCATGTGCTAGTAAAGCCCTTGGGATTATTATCTATTGAAAACTGTTGTGTGTTGTCACTGGAAGGGCCCAATTCCAGCATGGGAGGGTTTCAGGAAGGGAAGCATACATTCGTAAAGCCTGCATTTCTGGGACTGGCCACCAGAGGACTCTCCCACACCAAATGACCTAGCACCCTATTGCCTCCCCACACCCACCTCACTTCCCCACGAGCCACTCCCATTCTGATCCCACAGTGGACCTGGGCTTTTGCCCCTGGATCCATTTCCTAGCTCTGCCTATTGTCCAAACCCAAACTAACTGCAGATTGGCCACTGTTATCTCAAGTTTTCTGTAGAGCTGAGGCTGGAAAACCCATTGGACAGTTATTAAAAGAGGGTTTCCTGTATCCACACTGAGTTTTAGGTGAACTCAATTGTAGGTGTCTACGGCTGTTTTGGTAGTGTGTCTGACCCCATCTGTAATGACAAATGAGCCCTCCAACCCTGCACCCCGGCCCTTTCTCTATCACCCCCTAAATCCATGTTCAGTGAAACAGTAGGCTGCTTGCTTGGCTTGCTGCTGGTCAACAGATATACAGGCCTGGGATGGGGGTGTCCAGGGAGGCGGGGCTTGAGCTCATCAAATACATTCCTCTGCCTCGTCATTGAGCATACATCATGGAAATGTTAGTTAGGGAAGGGGCTGCATTATTCTAGGGCTCCCAGGAACCAGACCTACTGGCCATGCAGAGTCCAAAATGAATGCTGATGTGGCAATCATTGGGCAAACATTCTGACCAGAACCCTTCCACATGCCAAACATACTATACAGTGGGGAATTTGTCCCCTCCCCGAGCCTCACTTCCCTTGCTTTAATTTTCCCCTTCCCTTTTCCAGCTACAACACCATCTCTTTTCCCTTTCCCACCACTGCACTGACTCATCGGTGCCTGCCTGGAGCTTGGGAGAAGCAGGTTCCTCAGTCAGAGCTCCATGCTCTCCAGTTTGGCTCTGCTCCCTGGGGCTCTCTCCAAAGCCACTGAATGCTTGAGAGCACCCCAGCCCACCCCAGCCCACCCCAGCACCCCCATTAGCATGTCATGGAGGAGGGTCGCAAACTTCGGACTCACGAATCGTCCACGAAGCAGGGGTAGGGCATCTGCTGGAGGTAGATTCCAACTGGAGCCTCCGCCTGCACCTGGCTCCTTGTGATCCCCTGTTCAACCATGTCCTGCAGATAGGCAAACCCACCCCAGATGTACCGGAAATCTTCCACAGGATCAGCTCTGGGACCAGAATCCCAGTACCTGAGAAGACACAGAGGGACAAAGGATGGGAATGGGCTCGGACAGCTCACTCACACCTCCTGACCACAGGGTGACTTGGAACGCATTCTCTTAAAACCTTTATCTTAAATGTTTCCAAAGGATCTAATTCTACTTCCTAGTCCTCAGTTTAAATCTCAGTTTTGAATATTAGCCACAACGTAACTCTGTACTTGCTTTCATTCAAGGACTCTTTGTGGAGCTTTATAAAATATCTTTTTTTAAAATTTAACTTAATTTTATTGATTTATAGGCCAAGTCCAGTCTCAATCCCTTTCTCTCTACCAAATGTAATTTCCCACTGACTTTGGAGAAACACAGCGAGCCCTTCCTGAAACATCACCTGTCTTTAATCTTATTGGTTTTCTCCACCACGTCTATGTCCATTCGGATCTTATACTTCACGTGGGGTGGTAGAGAGCTGGTCCAGGGATACATGTCAGGGAACACCACTCCGGCCCAGAACCTGTTTTCCTCCAGTAGAGACAGGGCACGTTGGGTGAGCTGAGTTTCATCATTGTAGCTTTCAAACTTATCCAGGACCAAGCACTGCAGAGAGTCACAAAGTTGAGAGAGTTTGAGGAGGACCAACTGCAAAGACTCAACTGCACACACAGAAAGGCAGAGGATAAGAGCTGCTGCCCCAGGAAATGGTCAAATGCAAGGAGGCCTATAAACTTAATGTTTGCTTAACTCCAGAGTCTGGTGTTAAGTTTTCAATGTGTCCAGATGTAGGGGTGCAAGAGAGCTTGGAAATGCTGACGTGCTCTTATGCCTGCAGAGCTAGTGAGGACCACACTTTCCAGATGTCCAAGGCTGTCCAAATATGCAAGTCCTCAAAATGACAAAAATACTCCAGGCTTTTACTCCCCAGCATGGGGAGGCGAGGGAGTGGGGTCACACTGGCTACAGCCTGCTTTGAAGATCAGAAAGACTGACGATTAAAGAGCTTTAAAGAGAGAGAGAAACATTCCTAGCATTGAACCTTTCTGGCTCTCTCCAAACACACAGGATAGCCAGCTGAGGGAAGAGCAAGGAGGAAGAGAGAAAATAACAGACAGCCAAAATGACTTAGTCAGGGAAATCACTTCCAATTACAATTGTGTGACAAGTAATGCCGGGGGAGGAGGAATTTCTATAATATGCCTCTTTTCTTCTCCTGGAAGAGGAAAAAAAAAAACCATTACCCACAAAACAGCAGAACTAAGAATGTTTAAAAATTTGAATATGAAGGTTGTCCTCTTGTATAGATTTGTTAAAGCACTTATATTGTTACTTGCGTCTATTTCCTTTTCTCTAACCTCTTGTTCCTATCATTGCGAGGGCTATTGGTGTTGACATTTCTTTCTTAGCGTGTAACTCACAAGAGGTCAGATGGTGTTGTCTTGATTAAGTTGTTCCCTGAATGCATACTGAGAGTCTGCAATGTGCCAGAGCCTGGTCAACTCTAGAAATACAAGAAGGAAAGATAAACATCTCTTCCTAAAAGAAAGTTGAGAGCTAATGATGGAGAGGATTGGAGTAAACCAACAACCATAATGTGAAGGATCAGGTTCTAATGAAAGCAAGCCCAGTGTACTGGGGAAGCCCAGCGGAGGGATGCAGCTAAGTCTTCCTGGAGGTATCAGGGAAGGCTGCCTGGAGGAAGAGCCTCCTGAGTAGGAGGATAAGCAGGAATTAACTGAAGAGAGGAAAGTGGGGGAAAGGTCAGCTCAGGCTCAGGGAACAGCACATGAGGTATCTGGGAACCTACAGGAATAGAGCAGTGGTTCCCATCTGTGGCTGTGCTTTAGAACCACTGGGGAGCTTTAAAAGATACCTATGCCAGGCCCTACCCCAAACAATTAAATCAGAATCTCTAGTGGCAGGGCCAGGGCATCCATATCTTGTAAAAAGCTCCCCAGGTAATTGCAAGGCACAGAAGGGAATGTAGGGTCAAGGAAGGTGAGTGTGACAGCAGCACTAGAAAGGAGGGTGGGACCAGACGGTTTGCTCTGCGGGACTCAGTAGTGTGAACACAGGGCTTCCCCAGACACCTGCTTTCAGTGCTAAGACCAGGGGAGCTCTGGGCAAGCCTTAAAGAGCCATAGGAGCTAATGCAGGGTTTTAAGCAGGGATATCACCTATGGGATCGGACTGTGATCACCGGTAGTGGAGAAGGGGGAAAGCAAGCAGGAAGACTGGGCTATTGACGTACTGCAGGCTTTAAGCAACAGATTCATCGCCACAAACTGTCAGTTACCTGGAATCCTCATTTTACTGAAGAGGAAATTGAGCTTTATAAAATATCTTATTTTGTTGAGAAGACCTCCCTGAGGTCACACAGAGAGACAGTGGCAGAGCTGGGACTCCCTCCCCAATTTCACCTGCAGGCCCAGAGTTCTTACTGCCACACCAGGAACCGTGGGAAAGGCTGGATCCACAGCCTGGCACTCGGCACCCTCGCTACTGTCTTGTCAAGTAGGCGGATCAGCAATTACTACTTATCCTCACTTGGCAGCCCAGGAACTTAGGTTCAAGGAGGCTGAGTGAGTCCCCCAGGGTGGTAGAGTAGGTATCAAACCCCAGTTCATTTGATTCCACAGCTATTACCCAAGAAAGAAAGAAATGAGAAAGGCGGATAGGACATAAGGACCTGACCACAGAACCAAGCTCCACTGCACTGGGAAGAAGCAGGCAAACCCAACTCGTTCACCAAAACCCCTGACTCCCGAGTCCCACCTGCGCCTCAGAGCGTGCACCGGAAGCCTCCGGCAATTCAGAGGCTGTGTTTGAACAAGGGGCTGCACACCCACACTTCTTGGGCCTCCTGAACTAAACTGTCCCACCTCAGCCTCCATGCCCTGGGGATGGGTCCCATGTAATGTTCTTAGTCTTCTAGATAAAAAGGAAGAAAACAAAGAAAACTATTAGTGTTCCAGCTGATATGGGCAGAGGAACACAGGTACATGAAAAATTCTAAAGGGCCCAGGCTTAAGTGACACCACGCTGATGAGATATTAATAATTACCTTAAAAGGAAATGGAACTGGTATTTCTTTGGGCCCAGGCTTAAGTGACACCATGCTAATGAGATATTAATAATTATGTTAAAAGGAAATGGAATTGGTGTTTCTTTAAGAAATACCAGTATGTGTAGTCACCCACCATAGAGCTAAGGGAAATGGCTAATTTTCTTTAGGCAGTGATTCTCTCACCAACAGGCATTGCCCAGCCTAACACTGACCAGTCCTTAAATGAGATGTAGGATTTAAACAGGTCACACCCCAAAAGTTCTCAAGAAGTGTTTGTTTCTTCTGGACAGAAATAATGTAAGATTTGCTATTTGATTAATAGCTTGGGTCTGTTGAGGGCGAGGGTAGGTGGGATCTAATATGTAGACCGTTAGCACAGTCCCCGACTATGGGCCTGGCATACAGTCTTTGTCAGTACCTAACCCACCCGACCACACTGCTCGACGACAAAGGATTGACAGTGTGATGCTTGGGCCAGGGGCTTCTGAACTGAACTGCTAGAATACATTTTAAAAATATGCATTTAAATTAGCTTTAGGGAGACCTCAATGTTCTACAAAGATAAGTAGTAAAATAATCTCATTTTAATTGGTTTGTCAAGTTTAGAACTGCATATAGAGAAGTTTAGTATTGGCAATTAGAGTTAATCTGCAATTTAATTCCTAAAATGAAAAACAAAATTATTTGGGGAGATGAAAGTCTTTGCTCTTCATGTTGTGACACACACATAGCATGTTCTACCCGTTCACTCAGTCATGGGGCATTTCGACAGAGCCCTAGAGGGCTTGTGGTCTGATGTTCTTACTTGGCTGGTGAAGAATTGGGATCAGAGGAGCAAAAGGCCTTGCCCAAGGTCAGTCTAGGTCAGAAGCAGAGCCTGCATCCATGTCTTCAGTGCTGAGCCTGCAGAGTGCCACTGTTCCCTATTGTTACTCTGAGGATAAGCCACCCTCTAGCCTCAAGCTGGGGTGTAACATCCCTGAACAAGAAGATCTTCTGCCCAGAGCAGCACTGTTCAGTAGAACATTCTGCAGTGATGGAATTGTACTATATCTGCCCTGTCCAACATGGCAGGCAGGAGCCACAAATATCTACTGAACACTTAAAATATGGTTAATGCATCTGAGGCATTGTGTTTTTACTTTTAATTAATTTAAATTGAAATAGCCCTGCATGGCTGCTGGTTACTGTATTGGCCAGCACAGTTCCAGAGACAGTAAATTCCTTGAGGCTGGGGCCATGGCTTGTTCACCATGGTCTCTGGAATGGCATTTTGTCATGACAGGACCTCGATATATGTTTACTGAGTTGAGTAGGTTTGTGTGTTTTGAATATAACTCTGCATCCTACCTTAGAATCACATGATAAATCAGGAGAAATTAATAAAATGTGAATTTTTGCTACGGTGCTAATGACAGTATAACTCTTAAAACAAAAAAGCTAGTAAAAATAAATACATTTTAGTAAGAAGACTCTCAGAGCTATCTGGCCCATTCTCTTTGAACTCCCCTTTCATGTCTTAAGGGGGAAATCTATACAGGAATAAGCAGCTGATGTTTTCAGTGGCATTGCTGACTCCTGTGATGACGTGGGCTCCATCCTGGCTGGTTTATCAGGCAGCTGATTCATAGTCATGTTTCCTGATGCATCCCCCTAGATTGATACCTTGATAATCTCTAGAGGGAAAAAAACTTAAAAGATTCTCAAATGTTCATTTACCCTAAAACATCTGACCCATTTTCAAAGGTGCTTTGTCTTCCTTGTCTTGCAAATTGGTGTAGCATACTGTTTAAGAGTCTAACAGACCTGTTGCCATTTCCTAATTGTGTGACTTCTGTTTCCCTACCTACAGAATTGAGCTATGCCCTATCTCATAGGTTTGTTCTAAGGATCACATGAGATGGTGTTTGTGAAGGCTTACACGTGCCTCCCTGTAGGAATAAAAGCAGATGCTTACTGAAGGCTTACTACGTGGCCAAAACTGGCCCAAGGACTTTACTCATATTCACCCATTTCATTCTCACAACCACCTTATGAGGTCCAAGTTCACTTAGGAGGCACGACTAAGCAAAGTAAACCTCTGGAGAGATTCTGTGTTTTTAACCACTGTAGTATACCAAACCGTCTCACCAATAGTGAGGACCTGATAAATACCATTTTTATGACTGTTTTTGCAAAGTATCTTGAAAGTCAACAGACTTTTAAGCCCCAGCCAGGTTACCTTTTAGCCATGACAGCTGTTTATCAGGGGAGGAAGGGAGCTATTTTCTTTAAATAATGTGTCTGGGAACATATCCCATCCTGAACTGATCCATAACACCTCATCTGGTTAGAACAATGCTATGGACAGATGCCAAAGCCCATGTCCCAGCTGGGCAGTAGGGGAGGTGAGAGGGGGTGGGTCCTCACCCACTGATGCTCGCTAGCTGCTTGTCGGTCATTAGGTGAAAGTCAGACAACTCTGCCCACAGGAAGGCCTTATAAAGCTAATCCTGAATGTCATCCTCCCCACGTCTTCCCAAGGTCAAGGTAGAGC